CCCCCTCCGCCACCTCCACCACCCGATGGGGGGACCTCCCCCAACCCCCTCCGCCGGCGGCAGGACCCCCAGGGGGGTTGTCGGGACCCCCCGGGGGCTCGTCAGGTCGAGCAGACCTCCTGGCGTCCATCCAGAAAGGGAAGCAGCTGAAACACGTGGACCCGTCCCAGAGACAGGCGGCTGCTCCTTCTGATCCCAGGGGAGAACTGCTCAGTCAGATCAGAACAGGGATGCAACTCAAACCAGTAAGTACTTTGTGTATACATACATGTACAATGGATGAATATTACACCTTGGACAGAGACATACAGGGCTCGAATGGGTTTACGTATGTAAAGATGTCAAATGCAGTATACAGCATAATTTTAACATCCAAGTGTCAAAAAAATAATGAAATCATTGCTTTAGTACTGAAATGAAACAATTAGTTTTTGCTGACATCTTCTTATTTTATCTAAATATGATATATGATGCACTCAATTTTTTAGGTTGGGTACACCAGTGCTCCTATTCCCAAATATGAATTTTGATCCCTGACATAGGCTTGAAACATAATCATATGTATGACTTTTATGACAGGTGAGTGAGACAGACAGTGCACCTGCAGCGTCACCGCAGCTGGATGGCATGGCAGGTGCCCTGGCACGAGCTCTGGCCAACCGAGCACAGGCCATCCACTCTGATTCAGGTATGTTTGACACCTGTTCCAGCTGTAATATTTGTAGCAGATGTTTGTAACGAAATGTGCTGACCATAGTAAAGCATACACTACATACATGTACAAGATGAAGACAATGCTATAAATTATACTTCAAGCTCTATGAGTTGCAAAGTATCCTTAGTAGCTGCTACATATCGCTTCAATTTTGTACCTGATAGAAGCAGATCACAACTTTCGTTACCTGCTATAGGCTCTATACATGCTCATGATTATTCCATACTAAAACATTGATGTGTATTGTGTATTTTTGCCATTGCAGATGATGATGATGATGACGATGATGATTTTGATGATGATGAAGATGAATGGGACTAAAACAGGTGAGTGTTGTAGGGCTGTTCCAGAACTAGAGAAAAAAGCATTTAGTTCCTGCATGCACACTACTGTTGCCATGTTGCTGAGGACAAAGTCAGGTGTTGAAAATGTATGCAGGCCACATGAATGAAAAGAAACATGCACAAAGACTTCAGTAGTTTGTAGTTTGTGTGTAGTCTGTACATTTTTCTTGTCTTGCCAACAGTGATTTCCACTTTAGACGTGTCAAACAAACTTCACAGTTTCTCTTTATTTCAGTTCCAGATTTCTTCTTGTGATGCTCTTCAAGTATCTGGATGAGGTCTTTTGCAGTCAATATAATTTATGAATAATCTGCACTCGAGTAAAACAGTGAAGAGAAATTACAAGCATATAATGAACACTAGCGGGTGAAATTTAAAGGATTTTTATTCAATGTCTCTGGATTAAAGGAATGCTTTTATATGAATTGTAACTGCATAACACATCATTTCAATAAAACACTCAAATGTTTCCATAACCTTTTTAGATTTAAGTACATTACAAATGCATTAAAAGTATTCACTACAAAATCTTGCTATTGGTCGGTGATTTGAAATTATAGTCATCTCCTTTGACATCCCTAAATATTCACTTTTCAAGTTACTTTCATGTCAATTGTCGCAACTAATATAATTAACCAAACAAATTCAAGGCACATCATGTATGATTATCTAAACCGTCTCGTAGTTCCGTGAATCATTATTCATTAGTATCATAAATGTCATATTTCACACCATCATTTCACACCATCATCAGTAACATTTTATAGCAAATATAGCAGATGCAAGTCATATGTAATAATTGTAGAATAAGGTCAACTGCATTGTACAATCATGTTAAGTACTAACTTAGTAACTAAGTATAAGAAATATGTTCAATATGTGAGAAAATAATTTTTTAATTGTTTAAAAGAGGACACAATGCTCCTTGCTACGAAGTCTATTGTTGATTATTAAACAGTTATTAGCACACCAGGTGTAAGCATACTGATTTCCAAATAGTTTCAACAATGCAGCATACATGTATACATAAACCACAAAATCACAATTTTCGTTATAGTTCACCTCATACTCGAATTTAATGTTGGACATATTCAAGAACCGACCATGGTATTAATCCAAGATAAGGAAAACACATTGTCTTATTAAGATCAAAATTAAAAAGCAAATGAGTCAATTTCCTACTGATGCTTCCTAAAATACCAAACAACACATGGCTGAAATTGTGATTTTTGAATTAACAACTGTCACCTGGCCAACTGTGATCCATTGTCCCTTTCAGTCAAAGTCCAGTAGGTAGTTCTCCATGTTGGCCGCATCAGACCATGCCGCGTGCCTTGCTCCGTCCATCTCCGGCGCCAAACGGTTGTCCGACCGAAGCCTGTGGCCCCCTCCTCCGATTCTAGCTCTGCACTCTGGGCACGTGCTTTCCTGGGGAGAACAATTGAAGAATATGGGTTGATTTTCATCAAGTCAAGCCATGTCATGAACCACAAATAACTCCAGTGCACTTTGTTGTTCTGTAACCCAAGGAAGATTGGGAAGGAGCTAAAGGGCATATCTATAAACTTCAAACTAAACAAAAACTCCAATGCTTACCACCGTAGCTCCCCCACAGTCTCCAATGGCGTACACATGTCCATTGGGACATTGGAACCAATGTCCCTGTGATAGACCCATGGCCTTGACCACCTGAACCCGCTCTTCTTCTGAGATACCAATGTCGGCACCTCCCGCCAGCCTGGGTGTTAGCCTCTTGACTTTTTCCAGGGCTTGCTTGACCAGCTGCTCTGTGCTCTCCGTGAACACTTCGCCCCCGGTCAGCCTGCATTCTGCAAGATCAAGGTTCCCCTGTGCCAGGCCGTCGAGGCTGATTCCCTTCTTCCGGATGATCGCTTGAAGGATGCGGAGCTTCAGCAGAAAGTTCAGTCGGGTCATCTCTCTCCCAAACTCCTCCCACTCCTGTGAACAGATGCCAAATTGTGATGAGTACCACTGCAGGTGACTAAAACAGATAGCAAAAGCCACTGAGCATGTAGTATATATAATTCTTACCTGTTCACCCACCCGGGCCGTTCGACGATGCAGCCACGCTTCCATCTCTTCGATTTCCTTATCCATCCCTGTAATGTGGCGTGTTTCTCCAAAAATGAGATTTCGATCTCGCCTCTTCTCTTTCTTTACTTTTGCAAGACTCTTCAGGAAAAGGACTTTGTTTTCATACATGGCCACTTGGTCCAGAGAGAACAGACGATGGCGTTGCATTTGCTGAAGAAGATCCTCTGAGGTCTGTAGACACGTGAGCAGATCAGCATCGGTTTGGAGCTCTACCATCAACCTGTTGGCAGTGGCTGTTGTTTGGGCCTTTTGGACATCATCACCGTAACACTTCTTCTTCACCTTCTCGATCATCACCAACGTCTTTTTGATGGTGTTGCCGTAGCGCAGGTTTCGTCGTATCGGCGTTTTGCATTTTGGGCAGGTCTTGAGTTTGATGTTTTTGTCGGTGCTGTCCATCCACTGGTCCAGTCCGCTAACCTCTAGCACATGACCGCAGTCCTCCAGCTGAACAAACTGGGCGTCGTCTTCGTCTTCCGTTCCGAAGAAGATTTCTGTCAAATCTTCACGGTCACAATCAGGGCACTTGTCCGGGCATGGTTCCCCACACATACCGATGCATGGCTGGTCTTTCTTGCACTTGCGGCAGCGTCGGGTCTTCTGGCAGGGTCGGTCACAACGAGGTCGATCGCAGGGCTCACCACAGGGCTTGTTACACTTGTGATGTTTGCATCTCCACTCACAGGGCTCCTGGCATGGTACGCATGGCTTCCCGCACTCGTGTGGGCAGCGGCTGTGGATGCAGCGGTTCTCACAACGTTTGCTGCATGGAGGACAATTTCGTGTGCACGGCGCCGTGCACTGGTGGGAGCAGACAAGCACACGGTTACATGGATGAATACACGGCTGGTGCAGCCTCCCTTGCTTGCAGCGGCCGCATGTACCTGCACAAACGTGCTCGCACTTTAATGGCTGTGAACACGGGGTGTTGCAGACCAGGTCTTCCTTTTTGGCTGAACAGGCCGCTTGGATGGTGTGGCCGCACCGGAGCAGATGTGGTACCATCTCCATGCAGGGAATGCTGCACTCTTGGCTACACTTGTTCTTGCAGTCGTGGCCACAAGGCAGGGGCTTGTCACATGGCGCCTGGCATTTGAACACATTTGGAGACGTGGAGCATGGGATCTTCTGCTTGTGTTGACATCTTGGAATGGTCTTCTCCACAAGCACCTTGCAGTCGCCGCATGGCTGAGAGCAGAGCTTCGTACACCTGTGACCAAGGTCACACAGGACTCTAGGACACGGTTTCTTGCACCTGTACTCTTCGTGTTCAGGATCTGTTGGGTGGCAAACGCTTGTGCACACATGGCCGCACTTCAACCTGTATGAGGAAAAACATACAGGGTTGGCTTTCAAACTCCGGAAATAAGTCAAGCTCATGGCAATGTACTTTTTGCACAAGAATATGTCTACTTGCCTGAATTCACAGGGCCGCATGCAGCCACCTTCTGGCGCCTTGTTAAAGTCCTTGTCGGTGGCCGCAGGAATCCTGCTGTCGGGATGGTTCTGGCAGCACAGGTTAAGGTGGGTCCCCACACAGTGTTGCTCTCTGAGTTCTTTGATGATCTGGAGAGAAGTGGATAGACATATTTTGCCAAGTTTGTTATGTAAAGATGCACAGGTTGCGTTGTCACCGACTAAATGTTTGATTTCCAAAGAAGAATACATTGTACTTTACCTTGCTCCACAAAGGACTTGCCTCCGCCAACATTGTCAGGTTTCCTATGGCGTAGAAACCCTTCTTTGCTCGGGAGAGAGCAACACAAACTCGGTTCTCAACCTAAATGATAAAACAAAAGGAAACAGTGATTTCGATGTATTAGTGACAATGAAACTTGTATTTGGGCGTTTTTCTAATCAAAGTAGTGTTCCATTTAAAGACAATCAAAGGCCAGAAAAGATCGACCCTGCACCATCTACGTACCTTGAGGAATCCCACGTTGCCCTCGTCATTGCTCCTCACTAGTGACAGCAGGATGATGTCGTTCTCCTCTCCCTGAAAGTTGTCCACGGCGCAGACGCGAACACCCTCGAAGACCTGCCGCGGCATGACCTTCTTGAAGTTGAAGAGTTGGCCCGTGTACGTGGTGAGGATGGTGATTTGGGACGGCCTGTATCCTTGCTGAAGCAGGTAGCGGCAGAAGCTGGCCATGAATCGAGCCTCGTGCATGTTGGACCGGCTTTTTGTGTCGGTGTCGTGCGCTTCCCAGTAGCTGTGATCCACAAAGAACATGTTGGACGAGACGCCCTTGATGTTGTCGAAGTTGAGCACCGATTCGTGGTTGTCCAGCGACTCGTAGATGTGCGGCGTCAGGAGCCGAGCGAACTCTGGCCGCATGCGATGCTGAGACTGAAGCCGCTGACACTGCATGTCGTTCTTTACCATTCGCTCGAACAGGGAGATGTCCATGTTGTATTTCTTTGCCAGTTGGTAGACGGTTGGGTTGGGACGGAGCTGCTGGTGATCGCCGATAAGGATGAGGTGTTGGCACTGCTGAGACAGCGTTGTGACGATGTGGGCCTCCAGAACTTCTGCTGCCTCCTCTACAACTATGATAGAAGGCTTGATGTCTTGCAGAAGTGATTGGTGTTTGGCAGCACCAGTAGTGGTCATTCCGATGACGGTTGCTTCTTTCATTATCTCCCCGTCCTCTTGGCTCTGGAACTCCGTGAGACGTTTAGCCGCGCGTTCGTACTCTCGCTCATAGTCTTTGATTGAATCCTTGTACTTGGCACAGTACTTGGCCACCCAGTGACGATAGAGGCGCCATCGGTCGCGTGGCTGCAACGTCCAGACATTTTGGACGTGGCGAACTTCAGTGTCGGTCATCATGTCTGTCTTGCTGAGCTCATGCTTCACTCTCTGTTTCTTCTTCTTTGCGTTAGTTTGTACCTGCCATTCACCCTGGTTTCCTGCCTGGTGTTCCTGTAGCTGTAGCGCTTCCACATCGAGTGCGAGATCCACGGCAACGACATTTTTCTTTGCCCTCCCCCTCTTGCTATGGCCGTAGGGCAGCTCATCGTCGTCCAGCAAACGCTGTTCCTCCAACAAGTCGGCTTCTTCCATGACGTCGATTTCCTCGTCTTCTTGCTCCACCGCTTCCTCCTCTTCGTCCCCTTCTTCGGGTTGGTTTTGCCCATCTTCTGTTGGCAGTATGAAGACAGTTCCCGTGAGGCAAAGCCACTGCACCATTACAGAGCCCTTCTGTTCAGCACCGGACCACCCAAATGCATCGTCGTTGGCCACGAGCCACATGTTCATCAATGTGTCTTTGTGGTTTTCCTCCATGAACGGCATCAGAGCATCTTCGTGAATGAGTCCTCTTTGCGTCGCCATCATCTGTGCTACAGCCATCTCCATCTGTTGCTGATAGCGTTGCATGTCATTCCTTGCCTCTGCACCGCCCTCGTGGATGTACCGAGGGACTTTTCTATCCTTCCTCTTACTGAACCGGATGGTCTTCAGTTGGAACTGCTCCATCTTCTCACTACGGCTTCGACCTCCCACTCTCACAATGCCTGTTGGGTGGAACTCAGAAATGCCTTCTAGGAACTGATCCAGGGCATGGTTTGTGTAACAAACCACAAGGATGGGCCTGGTTGGGCTGTTCTGCAGATCTTGATTCCTCAGCCACACGCTCTTGTTCTTCAGCAGAGCTTGAACGATCTTGAGCCCGATGTAAGTTTTGCCAGTTCCTGGTGGGCCCTGGATAACAGAGAACTCTTTCGTCAGTGCCATCTTCACGGCTTGATATTGGGAGTCGTCAAGATGCAGAGCATCAGCAGAAGGCCACCTATCCTCTCGTAGAATAGGAACTGCCCGAGATCTACCAAAATGTGGGTTGTTGTCGTCGTATACATCAACGACCTCTTCGTCCGAGTCATCTGATTCTTCAAGATCGGAGCCAAACAACCTTGGCCTCACACGCCTCACACGATGTCTCACTATCTCTTGCCTGGGGTCTCAACTAGAGCTCTGAGGTCGTAGTGGACATCCCCGAACCTCCCTCTTAGATAGGCCGGTGGATTCACGCCGTTGGCGCAGTCGCAGTCCACGATGTACTTGGTGAACGGCATTGTGTTCTGCCGAACCTCTTGAAGACCTTTCAGGACGTGTCGGTAGGCTTCGAAGTAGGCAGATGTCTCTACCATGATGAACGTCTCAGTGGGGCTGATGGCTGATGCGGCTTCGAGGTTCTGTTCGAACCGAACTTCTACGGACCCCTGTTCCAGCTGTTTTGGGTCGCGGTTTGCGACCGTCACGAAGAACATGGTCTTGAACTCGTCTTTGGAGAGGCAGAGGAGGGAGCCGAAAATGAGACGCTTTGTGGAGCGCCAGCGAACCCCTCGGAGTCTTGCAGCGTCGAACTGGATCCTGTAGACGATGCCACTGTTCGTGCAGATGGGGTGAACCACGTGGACGTCATGGTAGACACGGATGTCTTGGAGCCGGCGATCATGGCCCAGTCCCCGTCTACGCATGTCCAGGAACTCCGAAATACCCTCTCGTAGAGGCCGTACGAAGTCTTCTCGCAGCAGCCTGAACTGGACGTCCAGATACGTGTCCACGTCAGGGTAGCGGCCACGGACGATGTTGGGGCGAAGAAACGGTTCCTTGTCAGTGTGGATGTCTTCGAAAGTCGGGATGACCGACAGTTCCCTGAAGTCGTCTGGAGGCGTCTCGAGCTGAAGTTGTCGGTCCAGACGTGTGGCAAGTGTTCCGTCGTCGTCTCTTAAAACCGCTCCTCTGTGCGTGGCTTCAATAATGGCGTCTCTGCGCGATTCAACCTCCGCCAGGCCTATCTCTATGTCGTCGTCCACAACAGTGCTTACTGCTCTGAGAGTGTTTATAGTAGTCCCTAACACTGCCAAAGGGACCCCTACCTGCAGGAACATTTCAATGGCAACGCGATGATGATAACAAAGATAATAATTAGCCTGTGTCTACACAATCGCTGCCGGGGTTAATTGACCTCCTCTAAAAGGAGGTGGCAACTGTCGGGCGTCTATTGTGGTTGGGGCAGGCTCCCCCGTCTAGCTCAATAACAGGCCGCACATTGGGAGTGTTACGCCTGTAGGAGCTTTGCTAATAGAATTTTGTACGCCAGGAGTTGATTAGCCCCACCGTAATTGAACTCTCGTCGTGCAAAACCTATCGTTGAACCTAGCTGAGACGGGCGGAGAAGCGCTCCTGCAGAACTGAAGAGACCCAGCCCCGACACCAGGCTAACGGGCCGCTAGGAGCGCGATTTAGTCAGGGTAGGATAATAAATGCTCATTAGCATGTTGCGTACCTCAATGTGGGAACTGGCAGACCTGTCCAGGAGCTCACGGAACAACCGGAGAGCACATTTGATTGGTTCTTGGAACTCCTGCTGTGCGTGGTACGAGCTCTCTGCCGGCATTACCGCGAAGTACATCGCAAGGGCCCCGGTCAGGAACTTGGAGTAGCGGACCATCACCAACAGCTTCATGGTGTTCTCTGAGAAGTTAGCAGGAGTAGTTAGAGTTTGAAGTCTGTATCAGCGGAACATGAGCTAATGCCGGAGTGTCCTCTGTAGTATACATGTAAACATTATATACTACAGACCCGTAATGTTTCATCATGTAGCCATATCGTCAAACTTTGAACAATAGCTGGAGACACTGGCTGGAGATTTAGAAATATGTACAGCCTATACGCTGGTGTTTGCTACCAAGTACGAAAGGAGCTAATGAATTACAACAAGGATCCCCCCACACACAAAAAAAATCATCCATATATTGGGCATTTTCCATGACAACCCATGGAAAAATCATTATTGCTGAGCTGCCACTGGATATTCAATAAGACAGTGAATTTCTCATACCAGGAGAAGACGAACAGTCACAGGCTCGTGCGAGAACGCGGAGTAGCAGTGCCACCAGGTCTTTTCTGATGGAGGTCTCGTCTAGAAGTTCCTTACATCCGCTAGTCCGCTCCACTAACGTCAGAACGACCTGAAATAGACGAAAGAGTATGTGTGAAACCGTCACATTTCCAAACTGATGCCCCACCGGATAGGATCTCATGCAGGGTTGACGTGAGATTTGAATCGTGTTTTAGTCCCAGCTATAGATACCCTTTGACACTTTGCTTGATGATCGCATTTCATCCAGCGGTTCTTGAGATCATTAGCCGGATATTTTAAAAAAAAATTCCTACTGCAGTACCAAAGTCGACCTACACAATTCACTTTACCCCACCTACCCAACTGCTAAATATCATCCCATTCCGTCCGACTTATCCTGAGATATACACCAAAACATCATCCAGGCAAAAAAGCACCTACTATTTCATGGAGGTAACAAAAGGGAAGTGACCAACAAACCTACCTTTGGCAAGTACATACAATAATTCATCAGTTCTATGTAATATAATTTACGTTTCATAGACTTATGTGAGTTTTCTGTCACCTCTTTCGGGTCCTTCTCACACAGTTCCTGTAACCTCCGGTACCCGATCGGTCTGATGACCCTGTCCCGCCGTCTTTCCGAGTTGCCGCTGGCTTGTCCATTTCTGTTATACATTTACATACAACAGATGGTATAAGTTAAGTTGTCATTTCGTACATTGTCTTATTCGTACACCTCGTCAGTATCACTGCCTGTCGTTCTGAAACAAGTTGACCAAAACCAAAATAAACTCATAGGACCTAGACTGAAAATTCAACTGAACTGGATGAATATTCAATAAAACAACGTTTAAGAATACAATGTAACGTTAACAATGTACCTACATTATTATAAAGCTCCATTTTGTACTCACCTATCCTGCGGATCGCCACCTCCTCTGCCCCTCCATCCACCACGCTGCCCACCCCTCCCGCCAAAGTTGCCGCGTCCACGGCCACGCCCCCGGTAGCCGAACCCCCTTCCTCTGTCCATGGGGAAGGGCTGGCCTCACAAGAGCACACACCAATCGCTACCAGGGGGAAATGAAAATTAGAAAGGTAGATTATATATTATAACATTGTCAGAGCAAATACATAATGTTTACGTTCACCTGATCAAGCCTAACAAACTACAACTGTTTATTCTCACTCAAACACATTCATATTCAATATACATTGTGAGCAGCCCCTCCAACTCTGTTCTGCTACAAAATGTAACCCAACACCACAAGGCGTCTGCTACGTTACCCGTTACCATGGTGACAGCCGTCCGTTCCAGAGCAAAAACAATATGTTTACCTTCTGCGAAGGTAAATATAATGAGTCGTTAGCCTGATACGTCATGACCTCCATCTTGGGACCAAACTGATTGGTGTAATAGGGTGCTCTAACCTTGTAGGATGTATTTTATTATTGATTGTAAGAGTTGCAGTGTATTTCCTTGGACATCCTGAGACATTCCTGGTACAGTCACTTTCAGCAGCCCTCTACTAGGAAACAGTGGGCGAGCTTTGAATGACACTTCCTAATGACTATCTTCCCAGGGGTCTAGGGCGGCACACGTCCTGACCGCCTGGCCCTAGCCTTATTTGGGCATGTCCAGGGACTGGTCAGTAAGGGAAAGGATGTGACTCAGGATGATTGTGATACAAAGAATGTAATGGCATGAGAAGAAAATTTACCAGGAAAATAAATCTTACATGAAGAAAATCAACAAGTTACACATTTCAGTAAAATAGTTGTTTTTAAAATTTAATTCTAAATTCTACTATTTGGCAGGGACGTTTTAAAGTCTAAAAAACTTTTAAAAGTTTGATTATAATATAGGCATTTAGAATAACAACAAACCCCTGTGTGGGAGTCCCCTTCAGGACTGTTTTCCAGCCGGTAACCACCGTAAACATGTGCAATAATAGTAAAATACAAAATAACGTGCAATAGAATGTATTTATCGATGACTGATGCACAGCGATTTTTTGTCCTTAACCTTGCGCCTGGATCAATGTTGATCTGTCTGAAGGGGCCGACCGAGGCGTTTTTAACTCTTCATCGTGCGTATTGTTTTAATTGTTTTGCCAATTCAATAAAGATGATGTCAAACCCAACATGAGCTCCAAAATAGCGCATACGTGGTAAAGTCTCAGTCCAAGGATCGCCGCGAGCAAAAATTCATCAGGACCCCACCACACCCCCCTCCTATTCGCGAAAATCAGTGGACGATTCGATCTCCGTTTCACCCAAGTTTTGAGCTTCTCGGTAGTTATATGCGATCAACTATTTATGTCGCCAACAATCTTCATGCTTACAACGGACCCCATAATCCAGATAACAGCAACAGTTTGTTCGGTTGCGCACCTGCCAGCCAATCAAAGTACGCGTATAAAACGGGTGACACCTGTTGGCCAATCAAGTCGCTCGTACTACCATCCGACGGTCGGTCAACAGAAACTTGGCTCCCTTCCAAGTTTCACTGCCCCTCCCCTTCTACAAGTATTTTTTACCGATTGCTCCAGTGATATGAGAGGCAAACAACAGACATTCTATAGCCGATAAAGTTTAGTCACATGGGTGACCAAAGTATGACACCTTCATTCTTCTTTCGTGCACTTTTTATAAAACGTTTAGAAGTTTCTCAACACTACCACGTCTGTTAAGATGCAACAACTTACATAGACTTGCTGAAAATCTTGTGAGACAAAAAAGCATACGACGAATGTTACATTGCTTTCAGGGTTGCTTATTGCTGTCTTATTCTAATCCCGTGACGATACGTGATCAGAATGACAAACAATATTGAACTCGGCCTCTTTTATCGCTGATGTCAATATGTTTATAGTAGTAATAGTAACTGCAGTAATAAAAACACCGCTAGGGGACAGTTTATGGAGGCTACGCGAGGGCGTATAAATTATACATTTCTTTGGGCCCAACTAAATCAGCATTTAAGGATACAGTTAGCCGGCTACACCACGCTTCTTGTAGTCCGTCCACTAGGCGTGGCCCAATCAGCCACGGGCAGTTAAAAATCGTGTAAAAGAGGCTGAGGTCACAGTAGTTGGATCGATGGTCTTGGATCAGTGAGGTCACAGACTTATTTATAATTTCGAGCTAAAGAAATGTTGTACGTTAACGAGAAACTGAACGCCACCTAAAATATTTCGGCATGCAATGCTCAGGAAATTGCGACAATGCCTTCAACGCCTTCACTTGCTAACATACAAATAGCTCGTGGTATTAAGAACATAGATTGTAACACAGATAAATACTAGTACATGTTAAACAGTTCATATGGCTCGGAATGCAACTGATATCTAGTACTAAATCATTTAATGTCTGTAATGACAGCAAAGATTTGCTCTACGATTGCCATGACACAACATTGGATGTAAAACAAGCAAAGAACATATATATATATGTCTTACCACCAGAATAGTCTACTCCGAATCCCCAATTTGTATGGTAAGTAAAAGACAGCTTGTCACGCTTTCGACAGGTGCAAACACGGAAGTAAAAATGCAACACCTACTTCAGACAGGTGAGTTCACCTGCGGAAAAAACAAGCATTTAAACACAGCAAAAACTCACCTTAAACAAGTCAGATTTTCGTGAAGTCTCTAACTTCTCTTTCTTGCTGAAATGTACGATGCAGAACTGGCGAAACTCAGCTGCACTCTGATGTACGAACGGACTATTGTTTCCTTATCATGAGCCGAGAGGATCATGGGAATGGGACTTCCCGTTACAGCATACTCTATAGTTTCGCATACGTCACTCACGGTTGACCTCGACACATGATATATACATTCAAGACCTCAGGCTGCTGTTAAGTATTCCTACTCGAAATATTGGGAATGTTTGTAATAACGTTGACCAACTAAACTTAATACTACCGACAGGAATGTAGACTATTCAATGAAAAATTTGTCCAAGTTTCAGTAGGTGAAACGTGATCTTTGTAAAAGGTATGGCGATCAAAGGGGCAAGTAAACAAGCCTTTTGTTTAAGTTTAGCCCCCCCCCCCTCCGAACTTTCGGGGGTTTACGTGTGATTTAAGTCAACAAGCGTAGCTGATAAGGTGGTCGCTCTATAGTATGTCGCAACCTCTGTGCCTAGGACTGAAAAGGTTCCATAGATTATAAAGCAAACTAGGAACTGACACACTATAAAAATAATTGGCAAAGTATCTATTTGTTTTCCACTGATTAAGGGATTTCTCTTTGTATGCGATACTTTAAGAAGCTTTCCGTTTGAATGAACACAGCAAATATATTAGATTGCAGCAACAACTGTACCACAGTACAGTGTACTACATCATGATACACGCTGTAGTTGTGCATAAGAAGACAACACCTGTACGCCTGCATAGAACGGTCAATACAGGCAATACGTCCGTAAACAAGGGTGCGGCGAGGAGTGACGTCACGAAACTGCTACATGTATGCCCTCATCGGAAAGCCCCGGCAAGCGAGATATAAAATCGTATAGATGGTCCGTCTGGACATCAGATAGTAGCCAGGTGGGCTACAAGCTCAGTTGTACTTTGTGACAAGTCACTCACAGATATTCAGAAATGTAATTATAATACCATTGTAATAAAGGTTCATGGGTCATCTTCGTTGCATGTGCCGTATAAATATGCATCAAACAGTTTGCAGGTCCGATATCGCTACTCTGTGCATCAACAGGTCTGTGCGGGTCAATACAAAAGGCTGACGTATGCGAAACTATGGCGGTAAGTCCCATTCCCATCAGCCTCTCGGCTATAAAACAAGAGTACTCCCGGAGATCAGAGTACATTTGAGTTTCGTCAGCGCTAAATCTACACCGTGAAACTGAACAGAAAAGTAAGTGAATTCACTCGTATACTGTTTGACACGTTTAATGTATATGTTAGCACTACGTTTAAAGCGCGGGTAAAATGTCACCTTGTGGTGGAAGATACAGGTGAAAACAGGGCTCAAAGCACCCATGACGTGCGTTCTACTTCCGTGTTCTCACTTGCAGTAAACATGCAAGTCGAAATGTCTGGACGAAGTGTTGTAATGTCTGTATACTGATAAAAATAGATAGGTGGTTTACAGTGTTGAAGCGAGGGGATTAAAAATCTACATTTTAGCCGGTCCTTGGTAGCTTATTCGATTCAATGTGACGTCACGTACATGATAGACGTCACGTACATGATATACACGGCGGTCAATTTCTAGGGTAAAGTTTCCAATTCTACGGAGGGGTATCAGGTTACCGGGGTTCCACGCGCGGCTTCCGTGGAGCCAGTCTCAACGGTGAATTTTTTCTTAAACAATAATAAACAGTTTCACGGGGACTCTCTCATCCAAATGTGATAAAATCCGCACTGCATATACCTCAAATGTTGTTGTTTTTATTACAATGCTTAAATGTGTTAGAAATTACTCTCAACTCGTCGAATGCTTATTCTAGAACAATCGACGTCAATAACCAAACAACTGATTTAAACCGACCCCAAATCTTCCAGAAAATTCCATATTTTTGCATTTTAGAGAACAGTATAACAAAATTAAGATTTGAGTCGGACAGTTTTCTTTATTTCAAAGTTAAAGTGTTGCAAAGGTCGAAAAAATCGCCAAAAAATGCGCTTTTTCAACTTCCGAGACGGATAATTCCAGAAAGCCGCCATCTTTAAAAAATCCGTCCGACACAGATCGAGATTTTTGTCTTGCCTACAATTTAAAACGTTTTTGAGGTAAATTGAATTTGTTTTTGTTGCGGTTTAAATACCATGTTTGCACGCATGTCAGACCGTGTGAGCAAGTGCAGGGGATAACTTACAGCCCCGTAAACAACAATTACGATCTTCAAGGTCACACATGATTACGGCAGTAGCTTCGTTACATGTTACATATCCACTATAAAACAGTGCAAAGATATACTGTTCCGAAATTGGTTTCTATTTGTGAAAAGGTGAATTTTTTGCTGTTAGGCGGTATCCGGGTAAAAACTGGCTTGAAGCCGCGGGTTTACTGTACATGACCGCGGGTGACCCCGGATCGAACGAACGTTCGGTTCGATTGACGTCATATCGAACATGGTTCGATTCGATTGACGTCATATCGAACATGATTCGGTTCGATAAAAGGTTGGAATATTTGGGCCCAAATTTGACCATCGTGATAGGAGATTGAAACTCATTTTCATTCATATCACATGAGATATCATTTGATTACTTGCACTATATATTTTAGGCTTTTATTAGCACATTAAATGAAACTGCAGTTATATGTCTAAACATGTGTCTGCATTTATATATCTCAATGTTATGTGAAAGTTGCTATTGAATATAAGTTGCGTCAGCCAATCGAATATGTTTGGAGTTAAATTTAGCTCTGTCAACTCGCAGTATTATGAAATGTCTCCACAAGGTAAAAAGTCTGTAATCCATCTTAATAGTTGTCTTACCATTGCTACCCTTGAACTTCAATGGTTATATTTAGATACTGATCCAGTCGCCCTCAGCTTCCTTGTCCCAAACACTCTGACAATACTGCCGTTCTTGCTAATCAGTTAACCGCCGTTGGCTGCCCTAATAATTCGAAAACGACAGTAATAGGATAACTGTATATTTTCAGACAAAGATGACTCCTATGGCATGGGAAACACCTGGCATGACTATTAGCGGCGTGGCGGCCGTGTCTCTCTAATTTTTTGGGGGAGGGAAGGGGGAGGGGTAAAACTTGGAAGGGAGCCCAGTTTCTGTTGACGGACACGTCACGTTCCAATGGGCGTGCCTTGATTATTTCAATGATACTACCAGGCACGCCATTGTTGTTTACTGGACCATAAGGTTCATTTAAGCTGGCTAAATGTTAAACGTGTTGAAATGTGGAAACGTGGGGGGGGGGGGTACGCAGGTGCAGTACGTTCTGCGTAGTGCTAGTGCAAGTAATTAAAAGACTTTCCATTGCGTTAAATAGCAAGCTAGAATGCGACAATCTTATTTTCCTAGCAGAAATAAGCACGCTCAAGTCAGCCCTCACCTATGGAGAGAGGAAGGGGATTTGGCTACCGGGGGCGTGGTCGTGGACGCGGCAACTTTAGTGGGAGGGGTGGACAGCGTGGTGGAGGGAGGGGCAGAGGAGATGGCGGACAATGCAACAGGACATGGTGAGTGTTTGTGTGTTTCTTTGTATGTGTTTGTATGTATGTGTGTGTATGTGTGTGTGTGTGTGTTTGTACATGTGTGTTTGTGTGTGTTTGTGTTTGACGTTTGCGTCTGTTTCCCAACATATTACACAATGCAGCGTTCTCAGTACTGTTATTTTGGTCTTTGACACTGGAAGGGTATAGCAAAACAGCGAGGGTAAGGGTGTGAAGTTTGCCATCTCTGATTACCTCATTTGTGTGTGTCTAACAGGGCTGGACAGGGGCCAACCAATGGCAGCTCCGCCAGACGGCGGGACAGGATCATCAGGCCTATGGAGAGCTGGAAGCTGCAGGAACTGTGTGAGAAGGACCCGAAAGTGGTGGGCACTAGAAATTTATTTATTCATAGTTGTTTATTGGTTAACAGCCAGGGCTGTCCCACAAGTCAAGCTGTTGCCAAGGGCTTCAGAAATACGTGGAAAATCTACAATATGAAGGTTTAAACCGCCTATGGAACAAGTGGATTATGTACCTAAAGATAACGAGAACTCTTGCTTTATGGGTACATAAAGCATGATAAGCTTAAGTTTTTTTATATAATATAGCAGTTCTGTAGGGGTAAGATTTAATGTTAGATATCTTCTCCATGTTCTCGTCACCCATACAGTAAGAATTATTCAACACATTTTACAGGTCGTTCTGACGTTAGTGGAGCGGACCAGCGGATGTAAAGAACTGCTAGACGAGACCTCCATCAGAAAAGACCTGGTGGCACTACTACTCCGCGTTCTCGCTCGGGCATGTGACTGTTCTTCCTCTCCTGGTATGAGAAATTCACAATGTCTTATTAATTATAAATACCCTATTACAGCTCAGCCATAATGCTTTTGCCATTGATTGTCACGAGTAACTAAATGTTCTTTTTCTTATGTTCTAGTACCATATCTATAGTACCTACGTTTTTCCGTGCGATGTTACTAAATAAACTGGTCACAGCAAATCAGTGAAGGGCTTTTTAGTATCGTTGCTAAAACGATACTGACTTTCTTTCCTTTCTCCCAAGCAACATGATTTTCCGATGAGACGTCCTCACTCTAAGCTGTATTTCTCAGAGAACACGATGAAACTGATGGTGATGGTCCGTAACTCGGAGTTCCTGGCCCGGGTTCTCACCACGTACTTCGCCGCAATGCCGACGGATACGTCCGACGACCGCCAGCTTCATTTCGGAGAACCCATCAAACATGCCCTTAGATTGTTCCGTGAGCTCCTGGACCGGTCTCCCAGTTCTTACGTACAGGTGCCTTTTTTTCGGATACGTATGCATTGATATGCTTCATAGTCACATGCCATATGTCATATGCTAAGAGCCTAAAATTTGTGATTAAAAACCATATACACCATACCAGTAATTTCTAAGTGGCAAAGAAATGGTAACAAGAGGACGATGACTTTAAACAGTCGTCATGTATGAAATGTGCTGTTGTATATAGTTTGACTTTTATTTTGCTGGTATGTGAAGCAAAGCAGTACCTTAAAAAACAGCTAGAGTACCCAAAATTGATCTTGACCTTCCTTTTTCCAACCTCATCCTACATACCAAATATCATAAAGATGCATGCACCACAACCGATTACAAACTCAGCAACCCATATATTTGGTGTACCTAAACACATAACCTTGTGACGAAGACAATAATGGCTGAGTCACATGCATTCCTTATAATCCTCTGTAAAAATAAAGCTATAGTAATATTCATACAGGTAGTCGCGCCCCTGGCAGTGTTGAGAACTACCATTAACGCTCTAAGAGCCTCAAGCACTGCTGTGGACGACGACATAGAAACAAAGTTGGCGGAGGTTGAATCGCGCAAGGACGCCATTTTTGACATCAAGCGCAAGGGAGCAGTTTTGAAAGACGACGACGGAACACTTGCCACGCGCCTGGACCGACAACTTCAGCTCGAGGCGCCTCCAGACGACTTCAGGGAACTGTCGGTCATCCCGACTTTCGAAGACATCCACACTGACAAGGAACCGTTTCTTCGCCCCAACATCGTCCGTGGCCGCTACCCTGACGTGGACACGTATCTGGACGTCCAGTTCAGGCTGCTGCGAGAGGACTTCGTACGGCCACTACGAGAGGGTATTTCCGAGTTCCTGGACATGCGCCGACAGGAATTGGGCCATGACCGCAGGCTCCAAGACATCCGTGTCTACCATGACGTCCACGTGGTTCACCCCATCTGCACGAACAGTGGGATCGTCTACAGGATCCAGTTCGACGCTGCAAGACTCCGATGGGTTCGCTGGCGCTCCACAAAGCGCCTCATTTTTGGCTCCCTCCTCTGCCTCTCCAAGGACGAGTTCAAGACCATGTTCTTCGCGACGGTCGCAGAAAGCGATGCGAAAGAGCTCGAACGAGGATGCGTGATGATTCGTTTCGAGCAGAACCTCGAAGCCGCATCGGCCATCAGCCCCACTGAGACGTTCATCATGGTAGAGACATCTGCCTACTTCGAGGCCTACCGACACGTCCTGAAGGGTCTTCAAGAGGTTCGACAGAACACAATGCCGTTCACCAAGTACATCGTGGACTGTCACTGTGCCAACGGCGTAAATCCACCAGCCTATCTACGAGGGAGGTTCGGGGATGTCCACTACGACCTCAGAGCTCTCGTTGAGGCCCCAAGGCAAGAGAGAGTGAGGCGTCGTGTGAGGCGTCGTGTAAGGCCAAGGTTCGGCCAATTGGTAGACCCCGATCTTGAAGAATCAGATGACTCAGACGAAGAGGAGGAGGTCGTTGATGTATACGACGGCAACAATCCACAGGTCGCTAACGCCCGGGCAGTTTCCATTCTACGAGAGGATATGTGGCCTTCTGCTGATGCTCTGCATCTTGACGACTCCCAATACCAAGCCGTGAAGATGGCACTGACGAAAGAGTTCTCTGTCATCCAGGGCCCACCGGGAACTGGGAAAACTTACATCGGGCTCAAGATCGTTCAAGCTCTGCTGAAGAACAAGAGCGTGTGGCTGACGGATCAAGATCTGCAGAACAGCCCAACCAGGCCCATCCTTGTGGTTTGTTACACAAACCATGCCCTGGATCAGTTCCTAGAAGGCATTTCTGAGTTCTATCAAACAGGCATTGTGAGAGTCGGAAGCCGAAGTCAGAGTGAAAAGATGGAGAAGTTCCAACTAAACAACATCCGGTTCAGGCATAGGGCGTCAAAAGACGTCCCTCGATATATTCATGAAGGCAGTATTGGGACAAGGGAGGAGATGAAACATCTCGAAGCAGCCATGGATATGGCTGTAGCACAGATGAGGTCCACGCAAAGGGGATCCCTTCATGAGTATGCGCTAATGCACTTGATGGATGACAAGCACAGAGAATCGTTGATGAGCATGCGACTCGTAACCAACGACTATGGGTGGGTCAGTGTAGGGAAAAGGGGCTCTGTAATCCTACAGTGGCTTGGTCTCAGAGGAAACGTCTTCATATTGCCCGGAGGGGGCAACCAGAACCAAAAGGAGGAGAAAGAAGAAGAACAAGAAACAGGAGACGAGGATGAAGAAGAAGGAATTGATGTGATGGGAGAAGCCGACTTCTTGCAGGACCAGCGCCTCCTTGACAACGTTCATGACAAAAGAGAGAAAGCCAAGAGGGAAGTCGTCAGTGCAGACGTCCATCTTGACCTCGCGATTGATATTGAGGCACTACAGCATGAAGAGGATCAGGCCAAGCAACGCGGTCAGTGGCAAGTACATACCAGTGCGAAGAAGAAGAAACAGAAGATAAAGCGCGAGCTCAGCAAGACGGACATGATGACCGACACTGAAGCTAGCAACGTGCGAAACGTCTGGACGCTGCAGCTACTCGACCGATGGCGACTCTATCGTCACTGGGTGGCCAAGTACTGTGCCGAAAAGAAGAAGTCTATCAGGAAACATGAACGAAGCTACGATCGTGCGGCTAAACGTCACATGGAGTTCCAGAGGCAAGAAGAGAGCGAGATTATGAAAAAAGCAACCGTCATTGGAATGACCACGACTGGTGCTGCCAAATACCAATCGGTTCTGCAAGACATCAAGCCTGCCATCATAGTTGTAGAGGAGGCAGCAGAAGTTCTGGAGGCCCACATCGTCACAACGCTGTCTCAGCAGTGCCAACACCTCATCCTGATCGGGGATCACCAACAGCTCCGCCCCAACCCAACCGTCTACCAACTGGCGAAGAAATACAACATGGACATCTCCCTGTTCGAGCGGATGGTGAAGAATGACATGCAGTGTCAGCGGCTTCAGTCTCAGCATCGCATGCGGCCAGAGTTCGCTCGGCTCCTGACGCCGCACATCTACGAGTCGCTGGACAACCACGAATCGGTGCTCAACTTCGACAACATCAAGGGCGTCTCGTCCAACATGTTCTTTGTGGATCACAGCTACTGGGAGGCGCACGACAGCGACACAAAAAGCCGGTCCAACACGCACGAGGCGCAATTCTTAGCCGCCTTCTGCCGCTACCTGCTTCAGCAAGGATACAGGCCGTCCCAAATCACCATCCTCACCACCTACACGGGTCAACTCTTCAACTTCAGGAAAGTCATGCCGCGGCAGGTCTTTGAGGGTGTTCGTATCTGCGCCGTGGACAACTTTCAGGGAGAGGAGAACGACATCATCCTGCTGTCACTGGTGAGGAGCAATGACGAGGGCAACGTGGGATTCCTCAAGGTAAATAAATGCATGATACTGTAATGTACTGTTCTTTGTCCGTTCTTTGATATTCAGCTTGCGTGCTTGACATAACGTACGTGTTGCCATGAGACACCATTTAGGACGTGAACACATTGCATGCTTTCGCCTCGTTGACATTTTGATATCATTTTGTATTTCTCTGCTTAGGTTGAAAACCGTGTCTGTGTTGCATTGTCTCGAGCGAAGAAAGGTTTCTACGCCATCGGCAACCTGACAATGTTGTCCCGGACTAACACATTGTGGAGCAAGGTAATGTAGAAAATTTGTTGTTAAACTCTTGAATTGTGTTTGTTTTGACACGTTGCTTAATAGCTTCTACAACAAGGGCTTGTTGATTTTCTCTAGATCATTCAAGAGCTGCGGGAGCAAGGCTGTGTGGGTACGCACCTTGCGCTGTGTTGTCAAAACCACCCCGACACCAGCATCATGGCGGTCACTGAGAAAGACTTTGAAAAGGCACCAGAGGGTGGCTGTATGCGGCCTTGTGAATTCAGGTAAACAGAGTTGTAGATAAACAATAAAATTGTCATAGCTATACTTAAACCGTGGTTTACAACCAGGTTTTAGGGTTAACTGGAAAAATCTACTCAGTGATATCCTAAATAATATTATTGATATCTGTTCATGTAGGATGTGAAATAGATGACAACAACAGAACAGCACAAGTTTTCATATACGATCCAAAAACAAATACCCCCCGTTTGTCTTTAATATACAGGTTGTTGTGTGGCCATGTCTGCGCAAGCGCTTGTCACCCAATGGACCCTGAGCACAGAGAGTACAAGTGTAAGAAGCCTTGTAAGAATGTCTTATGTGACCTCGACCACAAGTGTCCCAAGTTCTGTTACGAGATCTGTGGCTCCTGCCAGGTGCTTTTGGAAAAGACCATCCCCAAATGTCAACACAAACAGATGGTCCCATGCTCTACATCTCCGAGCTCATTCATATGCCAGATACCGTGTGAGAAGGCCCTTCCCTGTAACCACGCATGCAAGAACACGTGCGGCCAGGAGTGCACCACATCCTGCATGGAAGTGGTAACACATCAGCTCACCTGTGGCCACACAGTCCAGGCGGCCTGTTCGGCTAAAGACCTGGTCTGTGACGCTCCGTGTCCACAGTTGCTGAAGTGCGGCCACCCTTGTGCTGGTACATGCCGTCTTTGCAAGCAAGGAAGGTTGCACCGCCAGTGCATGCGACAGTGCAACCGTGTGCTTGAATGCTCCCACCAGTGCAAAGGATCGTGTACTCAGGATTGTCCTCCGTGCAGCAGTCCATGCCAAAACTCCTGCCCCCACAGCCGCTGCCAGCATAAATGCGGGAAGCCATGCGTACCGTGCCAGGAGCCCTGTGAGTGGAGATGCAAACATCACAAGTGTAACAAGCCCTGTGGTGAGCCCTGCGATCGTCCTCGGTGCAACAAACCCTGCCGGAAGACCCGACGCTGCCGCAAGTGTAAGAAAGACCAGCCATGCATCGGTATGTGCGGGGAACCATGCCCGAACAAGTGCGGCGCTTGCGATCGTAAAGAGTTGACAAAGATCTTTTTCGGCACCGAAGATGAGCCTGGCGCCCGATTCGCGCAGCTGCGGGATTGCGGCCACGTGCTAGAGGTCAACGGACTGGACCAGTGGATGGACACCATCGACAGAAACATCCAACTCAAGCCCTGCCCGAAATGCAAGACACCAGTACGAAGCACCCCACGCTATGGGAAAGCCATCAAGAGTATCCTGGTAATGATCGAGAAAGTCAAGAGGAAGCGGTACGTTCCAGAGGAACGGAGAGAAGCTACTACCAAAAAGTTGTTGGAGGCGCTCGAAAGTGATGTCGACCTGAAATATCGTTGCCACGCAACCGTGATTGATCTCCATAAGCAAGTGACAAGCTGTCGTCTGTCTTCACCAGAGCAGGTGGCCATGTTTGAAAAGAAGGTCTTTTTCCTGAAGAAAATTGCAAGACGCAAGAAAGATATGGTGAGCCTATCTTCCTTTGACAAGCACCACATCCCGGAATTGAAACGGGAAATCGATGAACTAAAGAAGTGGCTGCTTCGCTGGACGGATCATGTCAGTGAACAGGTAAGGCCAGAATTACATGTACTGCACTTGGCTATACATGTATAAAGCTAATTTGGCGTTCCACTGCTTCTGCCTATATTAGCTAACTCAAAACATTCACACATGACACGTTATTTCTATTAACAGGAGTGGGAGGAGTTTGGACGGGAGGTGACCCGACTGAAGTTTCTCCTGAAGCTCCGCCTCCTTCAGAAGCGAATCAGGAGGACACAAACCAGCCTGAACGAAATGGCCCAGGCGAACCTCGACAGTGTGGAGAACAGGCTGACTAGGTTCGAACCTTTCACTGAAGACACAGAGAAGCTGGTGAAGCAGGATCTGGAAAAGATCCAGGAACAGACCCCGCAAGGCTCTGTATTGGAGGATGCCGGAGCAATGTGTGTATATGTTTGTTACAAGTATGTGTATCGTGAGGTTACAACGACAAGGTTACGTTAACGATATTTAATAAATGGTGCTGCAAGCCAAAACGCGTTTGGTTCCAATACGTATCTACTTGTATATTTTGTGTAAACTTCACAACGACTTATGCGTTTTATAACGTGTATGCCGTGAATTCAATTTAAACCCATCTTTTTTATATCTGTTCTCGACAGGAGTTCCGCCACTCTGCGAAGGAGGATGCTGCTACAGCAGGCGTCGGTCAGACAGCGGCTTGGCACCGGCGATGGACGGAGCGAGACACGCGCCCAAGTCCGAACCGATCCGGCAAAGCTGGAGGACCACGACGTGGAATTCGACTAGATGAACATTAACAGTCTAAAATCATGCTTAATTTGTGCCTTGTTAATGGGAGAACATTACCTAAGTGGTAATGTTTATTAGCTAGCGTGGTGTATGGAATAGTATGGTATAATAACTTTTGATATACTTAATCATAATAACAAATTGATTTAGTCTTATGTAACATTTATTGAGCCTTTGTGGTATTAACCTTGATGCAGAAGGTGTTTCTTTCACTTTAACGTTTGTACTTGGTACATAGTGTACAATGACATATAGTAAAATGGTATATAGCATACAATAATAAAGATTTCTGAAAATATTATCAAAAATTAAGGGAGCATATTGTACGGGTTTAAGAATTACAAATTTTTACAGATAATTCTAGGATACATTGTGGAGGTGAAACTTAAAGATGACCAAAACATCTTGTTACGTACTTAAGCTTAATAATACAGGAAAAATATTCATAACAAGTTGTAAATACATGTAATCTGATTTCATTCAAATGTAAACAGCATGAATATCATTTTACAGCTGAGAAGATAGAAAACATTTAACCATTCAAACTGCCAGTGGCTTAGATGGATATCGATTATGAAATACAAATACATGTACATGTAGTAACAAATCGAGTTTATACTGTTTACTATGTGCTTCTTGTATAATGTATGTTGCTTATTGTCAAATGAATAATCAATGTAATGTGCACTTACAGTACTAATAATATTTTTACAGCTAGAAATATTTTGGTAAAGCTACATGACCGGAGTAAAATTTACGTTAGTAAGAAATGAATGTTGACAGAGGTACATGTTACTACAGGATCAAGTTGAAGCACTATGTAAACTGTAGCTCAAATTACACATGCTGAAGTTTAATCTGCCAAATGTCTAACATGCCACTGAAAATATTCCAACTGAGTACAGAAATTCGTTTGAGGTAAATGATGTACACGTGTCTTATTTTGTCTAAACGCTACGTTTTTCATAACACCGAAATGGTAGAGTTATAGACAACTAACTCCGTATTCAGCCGCTGGTACAAGCCGGTCTAGGAATGTTGTCTCAAAACAAACAAATAAAAGATTGAAACGTTTCTTTCCCGATAAATTCGTGATATTTATATACTATTGTAGTTGGGGTGGGCATCAAGGTCAAGAACAAGAGCAGGAAAGACCCGAAGTAAAGCCCCCCAAAAGGCCCCATCTCGTTTCCCAACTGGCAAAATCTCGGAATGATTTTCGCTTCCTTCGTGAGAGATTACGCACCTTTTCAGAATGGGGGCTCGAAAACGGGTAAAGAATATCAGTTTTTTTCAATTTCAGAAAACTGAAATATTTGAAATTTTTCGGTCTGGAGCTGAAACATTTGACATTTTTCTGCCAAAAAGTAGACAGGTTACACCTCATGCACATGCCATCCAGTGGACAGCAGCCCCGTGCAGCCGAGAATCATCCCATGTGAGGATTCGCACAGTCAGACGTGTCATTGATTTTGACGTCACTTCGGCTGTGACTCGGAGATTTTTACCCCTCTCATCGTCCAGCTTGACGAAGCCAAAAGTCACCACGGGGGTTTTCCGGAAAGGCGTGGTGAACGTGGCGGTCAGGTCACGGTAGCGATTTCCATAACCGTCCCTTAAAGAGGTCCATGGAATTTCCAGCCTACCAGACTCGCCTTAGTCAAAAGGAGGAACAAATAAATAATGGAAAGAAATCGTAGGTTTAAAGTTCATCTGTGTTGGTAGAAGTCCTTATGAAACATGGCATTACAACCATCCCTCAACAGAGACGGGACGCCACAAATTTCTGCAACCTATGCATGATCCACTGCTCATTGAGTCACGTTCTTAACGTGACGTCACAGGAGCAGCCTGCTCATTTCTTGACAAAGATGGAGTTGTAAAATGGAGGATATGTTACAATTTAAACTTTCTTTTCCATGCATAAAGAAATTGCAGTTTCATGAAAACAAAAAAGTATGAAAATAAGCCTTTTCATTTCCAGAACCAATCCTTAAAACATTTATTTACTAATGACCCTTTAACCAACTCAACTCTGATCACTTCAAATTTAGAGTCTATAAGATAAGTCTAACATTACTTACAGCGTTCGATGTACGGTCGCTGTTCCAAGGCCTGGATCTTCTGGTCTTTAGCCGTCATCGTAGCCACAACGCTCTGGAGCTGTTGTATTTCATCCTGGACCTTCTGGTCTTTAGCTATCATCTCGGTGTCTTTAGCCGTCATCGTAGCCACAACGCTCTGGAGCTGTTGTATTTTATCCTGGGCCTTCTGGTCTTTAGCCGTCATCTCGGTGTCTTTAGCTGTCATCGTAGCCACAACGCTTTGGAGCTGCTGTATTTCATCCTGGACCTTCTGGTCTTTAGCCGTCATCTCGGTGTCTTTAGCTGTCATCGTAGCCACAACGCTCTGGAGCTGTTGTATTTCATCCTGGACCTTTTGGTCTTTAGCCGTCATCGTAGCTACAACGCTCTGGAGCTGCTGTATTTCATCCTGGGCCTTCTGGTCTTTAGCCGTCATCTCGGTGTCTTTAGCCGTCATCGTTGCCACAACGCTCTGGAGCTGTTGTATTTCATCCTGGACCTTCTGGTCTTTAGCCGTCATCTCGGTGTCTTTAGCTGTCATCGTTGCCACAACGCTCTGGAGCTGTTGTATTTCATCCTGGGCCTTCTGGTCTTTAGCCGTCATCTCGGTCTGGAGCTCCTGAATCTCTTCTTGGACCTTCTGGTCTTTAGCCGTCATCGTAGCCACAACGCTGTGGAGCTGTTGTATTTCATCCTGGACCTTCTGGTCTTTAGCTGTCATGTCAGCCCGGAGCTGCTGTATCACCTCCTCCAAATCCTGATCTGGCTCTGTTGAGACGTCATGTGTGTTGTATGTTACAACAAGGGTTTCACGACTTCATAACTTCACCAAATAATGTTAACCCTTCTGACGGACGAATGATGGTGATAATATTTGTAACCGAGGTGGTATTCACCGGGTTCTTTTAGGATGCTGCAAGGGAGACTAACTACAGGGCTAGCAAGAACACACGCAGGACACAGGCATAATTGCCGTCACGCACGCACGGGAGACGATGGGCTGGGACAGTCTCTCTCTGTAACCTCCTCTCGAGCTGTCTCTCTCTCAGACTGTCTCCTGACCGAGCTCCCAACCCACCGAACACCCAGCTTTTATTGTCAAACCACAGACAGGACACATATTGCAATGCAGACAGTCGTCTAGCAAGGGGAACAACACAATATTTCGCACCCATACGACATGTCCTTGATGTTCCTATCATCAAAGCCTCGAATTAGCATAACCAGATTATCACACTGGCCACAAAAACTTCAAAGACGATGGCCTATTACATTATACATAAATGTGTTATTTTCAACCCCTTACACCCACCCCTATTTAAATGCGAGCCGTCCCGGCGAGCGCACAGCGTTTTGTTTTTATAAAACAACAAATATAAATACAGCAAATATACATTTAGGACTCCATAATAAAACAGGATACAAATAATACATATGATACACTACAAATAGAAATGGAGGACATTGTTTCATAGAGAGTTCAGAGTTTGTCAGGTCGTCAGGGATTCCTCATGTTTGGATGCTCTCGGTCTGGTCGCTACACTGCAGCCTTCCCTGCTGCTCCTGGTACCCGTCGCTACACTGCAGCCTTCCCTGCTGCTCCTAAGTTCAACACGTCATCATCAGCACCTCGTCCCCCGCGTCTCCCACCGTGCCGTGTTGTCTCTCCCCCTCCCTTCGTCGCACCGCCACCGGACGTCCTTTCCAGATCTACCTGCTCTCCCAGCTATGGTCGCCGACTTCCTGGAGAAGTGTCCCGGTGATCCCTCCGCTGCTTCAAGTTTCCCGGTGTGGGTCACGACCGGATCGGCCCGTCCTGGTTGGGCATGGATAACGGGTGCCTGGAACACCTTGCCGCCATCACTCTCGTGCCCAGGTGTGGCAGTGCAGGGATTAGCCATGGAGAAAGAACAACCACGCACGTAGACTCAACTGACCGCCCTACCCAGACATGTGGAAACCGTACCCTCGACTAACTAAAAGCCCGTACCTACAAAGAGACTGTCAGAAATGAATGCTATCATAATGAAACCATCTTGAACCTCGAGCCAGGCCCGCTCAATACACATTCACCCTGGGAGTCCGTAGGGTATTACCTCCAAGGTTGTGTCAGGACCTTGGGCTAGTGAGGCAAAGCCCCCTGCTCAACCGAGGGAGTTGGTAGAGCTCCCAACAAGCTACCCTACTTGATTCCATATGAAGAACATTCCCAAACATCCTCTAAAAGTCCTTTTTACACTTTCAAGGTGATAACTAAGACAATAGCCACAACAAAAACGGACAAAGATAACATGATGGAAAAGACAACAAAAACACCGCACTACCTGCTTAATATTCAAACTGTCAACCTTTTGAATATTCAAAACAAATCAAAGTCCTGGACTCACTGTCCAAACTCCAGAGGCAAAAACATAAAAACTCAAAAGGATATAGAAAAAACAGTGCAAAGAACAAATTACAGACAAGCGAAAAACACTGTTCGACTTCAAGACTTTATCTAACCCAGGCGATGTAACCCCCTGAAGGACTGAAGTCCAACCCCCGAAGTCTGGGTTTCCCCGGGGATCACACCACCCATCACAGTTTCCAACTAGACTCTATAAAACCAACATCAGATGAATATATCCAAGTTCGAACACCACAGGATTCCAACATCCAACTCTCCAGAAGAACCATCTACAACTTCAAAATGAACATCAAACTTTCCTCAACTCCTTGTTCTTGCTGAAGGAGACTAAAAATATAAATCCGAGCCGAAAACGTTCAGTCACCACTTCCAACACATTATCAATTCTTTAAAACACTACCAAATCTAGAAAACTAATGCTAGAAGACACTTCGACCAAAACTTCGACATAGGCGGTCAGTCAGAGCGTACATGGCATTCTCAAATCCCACACGACACCGGCCCACTCACTGTCTCTGTCCGGCTCCTGGTTCTGTCCTCCGTCCGAACGCCCGGCGTCTTCCCCTGATCCCTGGCCGATGTCTCCCGGTCTCTCCCAGCCCAGCTCTGGTCCCTGTCGACATCCCTCCTCTCCTGCGGCTCTACAGAAACAGGCTCGCTGCCTCCTCTCGTCGTGGCCCGCCTGTCGAGGTCCGCTTGTCTCTGGCGTCGGTCCTGCCCTCCCGTGCGCGTCTCCGGCCCTCCTGGTCCCGGCGTGGCTTTGCCCTGCAGCGTCCCCCTAGATGTTGGTTGACACAGCATCCCATCCTCGTCGCCAAATGTAACCGAGGTGGTATTCACCGGGTTCTTTTAGGATGCTGCAAGGGAGACTAACTACAGGGCTAGCAAGAACACACGCAGGACACAGGCATAATTGCCGTCACGCACGCACGGGAGACGATGGGCTGGGACAGTCTCTCTCTGTAACCTCCTCTCGAGCTGTCTCTCTCTCAGACTGTCTCCTGACCGAGCTCCCAACCCACCGAACACCCAGCTTTTATTGTCAAACCACAGACAGGACACATATTGCAATGCAGACAGTCGTCTAGCAAGGGGAACAACACAATATTTCGCACCCATACGACATGTCCTTGATGTTCCTATCATCAAAGCCTCGAATTAGCATAACCAGATTATCACACTGGCCACAAAAACTTCAAAGACGATGGCCTATTACATTATACATAAATGTGTTATTTTCAACCCCTTACATATTTTCCAGCCAATGACAGTCTTATCTTAACAAAGAAGGCTATTATAGCATTTACTCATGAATTATTCAAATGCGGTCATGATTTGAATAAATGTTTATGTTTATGTGATATTCACATTCACTCAACTTGAAACAAATTTTGTTGATTGGGTTTGGTTGACACATTTTTCCTCACACGCAGCGGGCAGACATATTAATACTAAGGTCACATTTTCTAACCGTGGCCCGGCCGGGCTGTTTGCATAAATGAAAAATATACAATTCACATCAAAAGTAGATACATAGTACCTATGATTGTTTTTTTTAACTTCTGGTGTCTTCTTGTCTTTTATATAATACTTCTCGTTCCCACAGAAAAGGCCTGTTCAGGCCCTAAATTGTGACCTTAGCATGAGGTAAATAAACAAGGTCGGTAACATGTCAGACCCACACAGTAGTTGTAATGACTGCACAGTGGTGCCAAATTAGACCGTCTCAATCCAGCAACTAACCGTATCATTCAGAACAGAAGTACAGCACATGTGGTATAAATAGGTATATCAGGCTCATATTACCTTACCTAGCATCTTGTCCTTGCCACCAAGACACCCCATGGCAGCAGTTTGGTTTCGGTCGTTGAAAGTATCTGACAGATGTGATATGTCCTATATAAGCACAAAAATTAGGAAGGGCATTAGACAAGGAAATACCAGAACAAAAGGGGGTGTTAGACATCAGCTACCTTCTGTAAGAACATTTGACGACAAAAAAGGAGATAAACGCTCTTACGATTTAGCTGTGCTTACCTCTTCATTGATGAAGCAAGCCAAGGCGAGTCCCACAGCGATCAGACTCAGCACCACAGCGGTGGCGGCGGCCAAGCAGCTGCGGTGGGAGCGGATGAAACTTCGAGCACGGCGACCGCTTGCTTCACTCTGATACGCGCGGTCTGTAGAAAAATAACCTGTTTAGGTTATTCTAAAGTTACCTTCAAACCGTTAACATGATAGGTACCACAGGATGTATTAATGTGAAGACCAGAATCTAGAAGAATAAACTTTGTAGTGTCTTATATAAAAAGAAAAAAAGATAAAGGTACAACGACATGAGCTACCTGCAGACGTGTACGTTGCGTGACGTTTCACCGCCTCGGCTTCTTCGTACGCGTCTGACGACGTTTCTATACCGTCTTCTTGCTTGTCAGAAGCGGCCTTGCCGTAGCGAACACGTCCTGTTGAAGTACTCAGGTGTACGGTAGGTTCCTGCCGGCTGGTTTGGCCTCTGCCGGGCCCCGAGAGAGAGGACCGGACCGGCTCCGCTTGTTCATACATGTTTACTCTACTGACAGGTTGGTGTACACATTCTATACTTTTACAGTTAAATAGGTATGAATATTAGTAATCCTGTAGCGATTAGTCTAAGAAATAAGGTGTCGTTTTGCCCTTTTATGGCGTGATATGATGTATTGCGAATGGTATTTCATTTTCTTTTCTACAGCGGCGGACTAATTTTCTTGATGAAAAAAGATGATCTGAAAGAGTTGATATCAAAGAAAACTTTTCAAACGGGAAAACTCGTCATATCATTTCTCTTTATGTTTATATGAATATGGCAAATAATGAGATCATTTTCTAAAGAAGAAAGCACATAATTCCCCTTTTATGGACGAACTGGCACCGTATGAAGTTTTATGACTGGCATGTTGTTTTTCTGCTAGTAGCAGACCAATTTTCGACATAGAGTAGTTAATCTCAGCTCAGAGCCACAGGAGTAGAAGTTAAGTTTTTAAATGTACATGCTTACAAAGTTTGTGTTTTTTTTATACTGCTCATGCACAAAATTTCAACATTATAGCTTGAGAGGTTGTAGTAAATGGTACAAAAGAAAGTAAGATGGCATTTCTCTCCAAATTATGTGACAACTGTTATATATGTATATATATATATAGCATACAGTTCAAAGTTGAAAGTTCACATTGAATGATCATGAATATCTCTATAACTCAAATACGTATTGTCATTTCTGAGTTCGGAACAGTCTTTTACAGGTTCTAATTTATATAAAGATAAAGTAAGGGGCTGCTCATATGCTGGGTTGACTACAGAGTGGCCACCGAGGTCTTGTATATACTGGCTGTACATTTTAAGTTTTTCTTGATCCATGCTTCTTTTCCAACATAGTATTTACGACACAGTTTTGTGTTTGTTCTTGAAAAATGCGTTTCTTCTACGAAGAAAATGATGTCAATATCCCCGATGACCTGTCCTTAGCTGAAACACGATCGGAGGCATTGTTCAGATTTGCCCCCCCCCCCCCCACACACACACTTTCGAGGGTTTACGTCTGGTACTAGGCTAGGGTTTACTGACGAGAAGGTGGTCGCCCTAGTAAGTGGCACAGTTCCAAAAAGGTTGCGTCACAAAATATGGACAGCCAAAATCATGTTACACTATCAAACAGTCATCTGTTAAATTTGGGGAGTGATTGGCAATTTACCTTTTTGCTTGCCACTGATGTTTCCTGGCAGGAAACATATTATTATTGGCAGCAATAGTTGTATAACTAACGGGAGTACATTGTACTCCAACGTGGCGCTTATCTAAAAAAAACTGTAAGGCCGTAGTAGATTCGGAAATTGGAGTTTACATGTATGATCAAACACCGGATAGCTTTCACGAGAAAACATTGCATGACACGCCTGCACGGGTGGCCTTCGTTCAGGTACGTATCAAGTAGGCGGCCTGGAGACTACTGGGGGGAGAGTAAAACCTCTGAAAGCGAGCCAAGTTTCAGCCGAAACTCTTTTGTTTCTGACGTATTGAGGTATAAAACTCGATATGTTCTCTTTGTTTGTTTAAGGCAGTGTCAGTGTAAAAGCTGTATGCCCGCACAGAAGTGGTTTCGTCAACAATCCTGCGGTGCAGAGTGACGTAACGAAACTGTGCCGCCATCGGAAAGCCCCGGCAGGTTAGATATAAATCACATGGACGGTCGTCAGATTGTGGCCAGTGGGTCATGAGATCAAATGTACTGGACATGTACCAACTGGCCGGGAAAGTACGTTCTGTGGCTTCAATAGCATTTGATGTATTCAAGGTGAGATTCCACTTCGGCTATAAGATAGGTGAGTTCAGTTATTATCAAGTATCGATAGAAGATACAGATGAAATGCAGTCTTCTTTTACATCCATGAATGCTTCTTATACCTGCCAACTATGCGCCAAGCAATATTAGCGACTTTGATGTTTTAGTAATCTTTGCTGTTGACTAACTACGTAACGTTAACTTTTTTTGCAATTAATTTTCTAATGTTTGACGTACGTGTATCTACAATTGCTTTTTCATCATTATCAATCATGTTGGCACCGTACAATATAGACAGCATTACTGAGTTTGATAAGCAACAATGGACAATTGCAGCTGAAACGTTTCTTGTCAGATTTAGAATTCACGGTTTCTTGACTATTAGTATCTATATTTGGCCATTGTGATCCTATATGCAATGTCTCGACAAGGCTTTTAATCTGGTCATACATCGTAAAGGTTTCATATTAAAGGAGACATTACGAGGCACGTGTGCATGGATGGCCTCCGTTCAGATACACCTCAAGTAGGTGGTCTAACATCTAGAGACTACTATTTCAAAAGGCAATTTTTAATTTTCAAAAACATACTAACGATTACAAACTATTTAACATGGGGGGGGGGCTGAAAGCGAGCCAAGTTTCAGCCGAAACTCTTTTGTTTCTGACCTATTGAGGAATAAAACCCGATATGTTCTATTTGTTTGTTTAAGGCAGTGACGGTGTAAAAACTGTAGAAGTGGATTCGTCCGTATACAAGGTCCGTATACAGAGTGACGTAACGAAACTGTGACGTCATCTGAAAGCCCCGGCAGGCTAGATATAAATCGTATGGATGGTCCGTCTGGACATCAGATTGTAGGCAGGTGGTCATGAGCTCAGTTGTACCAACTGGCTGGGAAAGAACGTTCGGTGGCTTCCCTCGCAGAGGACAGGTGAGTTCTAGTTTGACGTACGTATACGCCCAATCGCTTATTCGATGTTGGCATCGTACAGTATAGACACCATTACTGAGCATGACGAGCCACAGTGAACAAATTGTAACTTGAACCAAGGACATTATACTGTGTATAATGTCCTTGCTTGAACGTTTCTAGTCAGATTTAGACCTCACCGTTTTTTGGCTATTAGCCTATATTTTGGCCATTCTGATCCTGATGCAATTGTAAATGTTTCGTCAAGATTTTTTTATCTGATCAAACAACATAAGTTTTCGCGGGAAGACATTGCATGACATATTTGCATGGATGGCCTTCGTTCAGATGCATCTCAAGTAGGTGGCCAAGAGATTACTAGTTCAATATTCAAAATTAGACCACGTACCAGCGATTGGGAGGGGTGGGTGTGGGGATTAAACCCTAGAAGCGAGTCAAGTTTCCCATCCGAAACTCTTTTGTTTCTGAGGTATTCAGGAATGAAACCCGATATGTTCTAATTGTTTAGGGCCGTGGTGATCGTGCGGTCATTTTCCGACGCTTCCATTGACGTCATGAGAAGAGAGACAATTCAAGTGTTGTTATTTAACTTGGGAAAGCTGTTATAACTAGGGGCACAGAGTGCATACATGTCAAGTTGCCACGGTTCACAAGCGATAGCTACTATCTACATAGCTGCGGTGGGTGGGGGGAGGCAAAAAGTGGATGCAGGTCTTAAATTTGATGACATATCGTTGTGTAGTTAACCCATACCCATGGAAGGTGACAGCGGCTCCAGCTTCAGCTACAGCTACAGGGGGAGGCCTGGGCGTGGACGAGGCGACTTTGGTAGGAGGGATGGTCAGCGTGGTGGAAGAAGGGAACATGCCACCCGACGGGAGACGCCTCCGGACGATTTCAGGGAACTGTCGGTCATCCCCACTTTCTATGACATCCACACTGACAAGGACCCGTTTCTTCGCCCCAACATCGTCCGTGGCCGCTACCCTGACGTGGACACGTATCTGGACGTCCAGTTCAGGCTGCTGCGAGAAGACTTCGTACGGCCGCTCCGAGAGGGTATTACTGATTTCCTAAACATGCGTAGACGTGGTTCGGGACGTCAGGCAGGCACGCCGCAAGACATCTATGTCTACTATGACGTCCATGTTGCCTACCCGACGTACGCTCATAACGGTATCGTCTACAGGATACAGTTCGATAGTAGCAGACCTGAGCTCCAACGGGTGAGGTGGCAACAGTCAAAACGGTTGATCTACGGATCCCTCGTCTGCCTCTCCAGTGACGAGTTTCAGACCATGTTCTTCGCGACGGTCGCAAATCGAGACCTAAAACAGCTTGGACAGGGTTGGGTGGAAGTTCGATTCGAAGGTGATACGTCGGAAGTGTTAGACATCAGCCCAATGGAGACGTTCATCATGGTTGAGTCAACCGCCTTCTTTGAATCCTACAGACACGTCCTGAAAGGTCTTCAAGAGGTTGACCAGAACACAATGCCGTTCCTCAAGTACATCGTGGACTGTGACTGCGCTAACGGCGTCGACCCACCAGCCTATCTTCGGGGTGTCACATACGACCTATCAGTTGTTGCTGAAAACGTGCATGGCAGTCGTACTCGTTCAGTTCGTTCAGTTCCCGTCCTTCGGGACAACATGTGGCCATCAGCGGAAGATTTGAATTTTGACGAGTCCCAGTACCGCGCCTTCAAGTTGGGACTGACTAAAGAATTCGCCATCATACAAGGTCCGCCAGGAACTGGGAAGACCTACATTGGGCTCAAGATCATCGAAGTTCTGCTGAAAAACAGTCATAAGTGGCGAGGAGTCCAAAGAGGTCTAGAAGCGGCTGGGCCCATCCTTGTGGTCTGTTACACAAATCATGCCCTTGACCAATTTCTTGAAGGAATAGCAGATTCCTACCACAAAGGCATCGTAAGAGTTGGAGGGCAAAGCAAGAGTGAGAAGCTAAAGCAGTTTAATCTCAAAAACATCAGGAACAAGAGACGCCAGAAGAAAAAGCACAAGGGAGCTGCCGATGCAACACGAAAAATGAAACGTCTTCAGGAGCAGATGGATGTCTATCTGGATCAGTTGACGGCAACGCAAAATGGACTCCTTCATGAAGACACCCTGATGTTGGACCAACGTCACAGGGACAGTTTGATGCAGGGATCGGCCAAGCAAAACGAGGACAGGTGGATGCTAGGTGGAAAGAAAAGGGAATCTGTAATAGTGGACTGGCTAGGTCTTGGAGAGCAAGCCCTGCCCGGAGCAGACAGGCAGAACCATGATGCCCAAGCAGAGGACGAGGAGGAAGTTGGGATAGAAATCATGGACATCCCAGAAGAACAGCGACTCCTCGACGACGTCGAACCGCTGTACGGTCGTGGAAACAGCAGACAACACAGAAGGAACTACAACAGCGTGGTAGACCTGGCCCTAGACCTCGAGAATATGCAGATCAAAGACCGTCGGGCTGGGGATCCCGAAGGATGGCAGGTTCAATCCAATAAGAAGAAAAGGAGAAATGAGCTACGGCGTGAACTCAGTAAGACGGAGATGATGACCCAAGAAGAAGTTCGAAACGTCCCAAACATCTGGAAGCTGCAACTGAACGATCGATGGCGCCTCTATCGTTACTGGTTAGCCAAGTACCACGCGCATCACAGGCAGTTTATACGAAAGTATGTAGACCAATACGAGGAAGTTGCCCGTCGACTTGAAGGGTACAGAAATGAGGAAGATCGAAGGATTATGGAAGAAGCATGTGTCGTCGGAATGACCACTACTGGTGCGGCCAAATACCACTCGATCCTGCAAGACATTCAACCTGCCATTGTCATTGTAGAGGAGGCAGCAGAAGTTCTGGAGGCCCACATCGTTACAACGCTGTCTCAACACTGCCAACACCTCATACTCATCGGGGATCACCAACAGCTCCGTCCCAAGCCAACTGTTTACGACCTGGAGACGAACTACAACATGGGTATCTCCCTATTCGAACGTATGATAATGAATGGCATGCAGTGTCAGCGGCTTCAGTCTCAGCATCGCATGCGGCCAGAGTTCGCACGGCTCCTGACGCCGCACATCTACGAGTCGCTGGACAACCACGAATCCGTGCTCAACTTCGACAACATCAAGGGCGTCTCGTCCAACATGTTCTTTGTGAATCACACCCACAGGGAGGAACAGAAGAGAGACACGAAGAGCCGGTCCAATATGCACGAGGCGGAATTCATGGCCGCTTTCTGTCGCTACCTGCTGCAGCAAGGATACAGCCCGTCCCAAATCACCATCCTCACCACCTACACGGGCCAACTACAGAACTTCAAGAAGGCCATGCCGCGGCAGGTCTTTGATGGTGTGCGCGTCTCCACCGTGGACAGCTTTCAGGGAGAGGAAAGTGACATCATCCTGTTGTCATTGGTGCGGAGCAATGACGAGGGCAACGTGGGATTTCTCAAGGTGAGGGAAGCTAAGGATCTCTTCGTTGCCCACCGTGAATTTATGTCTACATTTTTGTATTGAATTCGATATTAGGTTTTACCTGCAAAACCCTGTTTCCAAGGCTATTTCAGACATCAAATTGCATTACTAATTAATTACTGATTTCCTGATTCTGAATGGGCCCAGTTCGTAATGCATTAGATGTACGTTGAAAACATTATTTCATTGCACTTACAGGTAGACAACCGTGTTTGCGTTGCTCTCTCAAGAGCGAAGAAGGGTTTCTTCACTATAGGCAACTTGATGATGTTGGCAAAGGCGAGCACATTATGGATCAAGGTGAAGAAAAGTGTGATTTACTGCAGTTCATGACAACTTTTATCGTAATGACATTTGGCACTTTTCATACTTATCTGCACTGTACTGTGACTTCAGTTCAAATTTTAATTGATTACTGCCCAGATCATCCAGGAACTTCTACAGCAAAAGAGTGTGGGTGAAAGTCTAACGCTGAGCTGCCAAAATCACCCAGACAGCGAGATTCTCGTGTCAACCAGCGACGACTTTGAGAAAGCACCGAACGGAGGATGCATGCGGCCGTGTACCTTCAGGCAAGTAATGTTACAAACAGTACATAAACTTATTGTTCTCAGAAAATTAGTGTGGTTTGACTTTGAATGATTTAACCTTTATCTTGTTGATATTTTTACTTTATCTTGTTCATATATTTTGTCTGACCCTTACCTTTTGCCTCATGACCTCAATGAAAAAACGCAGTGCATGCCGATTTGAACTTTTATGACTAATAATGGCATGGTTTAAATATTATAATTATCATAATCCCTATCGTTTATGGTACACACAGGTTACAGTGTGGCCATGTCTGTGAAATGCGCTGCCACCCGACTGATCCGGATCATGAAGAGTACAAGTGCCAAAAGCCCTGTGACAAAGTCATTTGTGACCTCGGACACAGATGTCAGAGGCTTTGCAGTCAGCCTTGCGGTAAATGTCAAGTATTGGTCGACAAGACATTTCCCAGATGTCCACACAAGCAGACGATCCCGTGCTACAAAAAAGACGACGACGACCTTGTCTGCAACGCCCCGTGCACTCGACTGTTTAAATGCGGCCACCGTTGTGCTGGTACATGTGATAGTTGCAGGCAAAGGAGAATGCACGAGCCCTGTAGGGAACCGTGCAATCGTGTGCTTGTCTGCTCCCACCAATGCTCGGCACCATGCGGGGAGCCATGTGCACCTTGCCAGATGCCATGCGAGTGGAGATGTAGACATTATCAATGTGAAATGCCGTGTGGTGAGCCCTGCGACCGTCCTCGGTGTAATCGACCCTGCCGGAAGACCCGACGTTGTGGCAAGTGTAAGAAAGCCCGGCCATGCATCGGTATGTGCGGGGAGCCATGCCCGGACAAGTGCCGAATTTGTGATCGTGAAGAGTTGACAGAAATCATCTTCGGCATCGAGGATGAGCCCGACGCCCGATTCTTGCAGCTGCAGGATTGCGGTCACGTGATAGAGGTTCGTGGACTGGACCAGTGGATGGACATCACCGACAGAAACATCCGACTCAAAACCTGCCCGAAATGCAAGACGCCAATACGACACAACCTGCGCTACGGGAACACCATCAAGAAGACGATGGAGAAGATCAAGAAGGTACAGAACGTTCCAAATACACAGAGAGAAACCCCTACAAACAGGTTGTTGGATAAGAACAGATCTAGAGGTGTCGACCAGCGAGAGTATCGACGCGCACAGTCCGCGGCTAGTTTTTGGCATGACCAGCAAGTGGAAAGTCGTCTGTCTTCACCACCAGACCACCAAGGGACCATGAAGAAAATGGTGAGACGTAAGGAAGACAAGGGGGAAGAAAACGAGCGCAAAATCACGGAATTGCAACGGGATATCGATGATCTGGAGAAGTGGCTGCTTCAGCATGGGACGGCCGATGTGAGTAAACAGGCAAGGCTTTAGAGTTGCATGTACTGCACCTGGATACTGGATAAACTTCCTACGTATACATGCCATTCAAATTCCCCCCTCCCATGATTTTTTCCCCGTAAATTTCCACAGTAACACACAATAATGAATATTGTCAAGGAGGTTTTTAAACCTTCTTGATATTATATACGATCAAAATCATGTCATTGCCGTCATGAAGTTTGTGATTCCCACCCTTGCATTTCATAGTATGGTATGATACTTACATTATAATTTATACTCACACGTCGTTGGTTTTCCTTTACAGGAGAGGCAGAAGTTTGGGGGAGAGTTGACCCGACTGAAATATCTCCTGAAGCTCCGCATCCTACAGAGGCGAATCCGGAAGAATGGAATCAGCCTGGACGAACTGGAACAGAAGTACCTTGCCATGGCGGAGCGCAGGCTGACCGCGGGCGAACCTCTCACGGAGCAGAAGGAGGAATTTATAAAGCATGTTCTATCAAGACTATCATGGTGCTGACCATGGAAGTCTCTGCACTGGATAGTGCCGTATGTAGCAATGTCATGATGATATTTTGTATTATTTTTTTATGCTCAAATGTGACATGGTACTAATATTTGATAATATGACTTCCAAATCTTGACGCCTTCTTTCTATATTTTGTGTATATTTGATACTAGAAGCATTATTGCAAATGAGACTTTATTTCATGCATGTAAAGTTGTAAACCCACCTTATTCAACTGTTGTCGACATAAGTGCCGGTACTACGGTGGCTACTACCTTATATTCTGTTTGTGTACATAGGCGGGAAGTGGTCTTCTCTTCGGAGCGTGCGAAGAAGAGAATGACTAATTTGTTTGTGTCGTTTGAAATAGTATGGTTTATCAACTTTTGTGGTTTATCGAACTATTTGGAATAGTTTATTATTGTAATCTGACAATGGATGCTGTGATATGATGAATGGCTTCCGTCACATTGTAACATATCCCTTTGTGATATTGATCATGATTAATGCAGAAAGTGTTTGCGTTCGCACTTAAAGCACAATTTGTGGAACAATCTTATGTAATATGGACATGGGTGTGAAATTTTAAGTCAGACCCGTTTATATAGTTTTCATGTTTGGAATGCAGTATGTCAAATTTATGTGATTTGAAAGTGAATTTATCTTTATTATCATGATAGATTGTAGCAGTAAAAAAATTGAGGAAGAGCAAACTATGACTTATGGAAAAATACGTTGACATCTCGTCATGTATTTTGTTTTGAATGAATCATTTCAGAATCTACATTTATTGTAACATTGGTATGATGGATTTAATAAATGTCTGATTCAGAATAGAAGTGTTGTAACATATTATTGAAATGAAAAGCAATTACTTTCATCAGAACATCTTAACTACAGAGACTTCCAAGTCTCCCCAAAAACTTTAAAATTTATGTCTGAATCTTCAGCTGAGGTAGATATAGAGGAAGAAGTGGCAGTCATGAGTAGAATAATATATAATCAAATATTATAATCTAATTATATCATTGTAATAAGCAATCATCAAGTTAGTATTATTAACAAAGAAACACCACATTTGTATAAACAAAAAATCTCTAAGCAACATTGTTTTCAGTCTTATTGCAAGTATATTTTAATAATACATAATATACATAACTACTTCAAAATAATCTGACATCATTCGAACATAACCAGCATAAATATAGTACTTATTTTACTGATCAGGAGATATCTACATCTAACCATCCAAACTGCATGGATTTTCAAATACAAATGCATGTACATGTATATGCCATAAAATATCAAATTTATATTTTTCACTGCTCTCTGTGTAATCTCTTTGGCTTATTGTCAAAAGAATATTAATCAATAAAATGTGAAGTAACAGTACTTATAGTCTCTTTATTTTCACTTGACAGCTAATTTGATTATTACCTGACAACAGAATAATAACTATTTACAAAAGTGTAAAAACGTGTGCCTCTTTAGATTATAGCAACAAAATTGGGTAATGTAATTTTTATTCTAGTAACCTAATGAATCCAGATCCTTCTTCATCAGCCATGTCCTAAATGAGCTCGCACTGACAGACGACGATCTGTCTAAACCTTCCAAAACTTTAGTCCCAGTTGTTTGTAAGAAATTATCAGTAACTTTTGTGACTTTTCCATTTGGTTTTGCTCGTAGCTGACGTGCTCTTTCATCTTCTCTCTCATCCAGAACATTTTTTCTTGCCAACCACCTGTGCGACGTTCTGTCTTCCTTGTCCTCCTTGTGAATTTCTGGAGCTCGTACTCTCAGGATGGGTTTCCCGATACTTCCTGACGTTTCGCTCCATGTACGTCTCGTTCCAGACCCTGAGTCTGAGTCCACATCCTCCAGTTTGGCACGGAATCGCACTTCAGTGTGCCTCGAGACTTCTGACGCTTTTGCGTCACTTTCGGTGTCTTCGTCTTTTTCTTCGTCCTCATCCTCATCAGCATCTTCCTCCACTGCATCTTCAAAATCTTTCAGACCCTTTTCGTTCTCTCTCGAAGCAAACTTCATGCTTTTTAGGGGAGGAGAACCCGGTGCCTTGGAACTCTCCGGGAGGGAGAATCTGGGCAAAGTACAGTTGACCTTGGGTGCCCTTCAGCCACGTGGGCGTCTTGGAGTCAAACAGCTGGTGAGCCTTAAGGGTGACGTCCTGGGATGACCCATTGGCTCTCATCTGCGTGGCACGGACCTGCCACTGGAACAGGAACAGATGTCTCTCCGTCTTCTTGTGGTTGGAGTCGGCAGCGATGGTTAGAGCCGTCTTCCCCTCCCGGTCGGCGGCGTTGATTCGGGCGCCCTTCTCCAGCAGGATGTCCACGCATTCTCCCCTCCCCCTAGCAGCCGCAGCGTGTAGTGCAGTTCGACCTGATGGTGTTGTGGCATTCACGTCGGCACCTAAATCAGTCATCATGCAGTAGAGCAGATGTTAGGGCTTCCTGAATATCACATTTGCCATCTGAAAGCTTTCAAGACACTCTTATAAACAATAGGAGTTAATGAGTTGTTATTTCTTTATTTTATGTTATATTCTTGGTCTCCTCACCTTCCTCCATGAGGCTGTGCATGAGGTCCAGATGTCCACGGTTTGAGGCGATAAAGAGCGCTACCGCAGCGCGCTCAGCGAACCAGGCCCTGCGCTGACGGGGACCCATGTAGTCAGAGGTGGGGGACCGGAATTTGGTATCAGGTGTCACTCCCAACTGAAACACCTGGGGGAAACAAAAAAAAGGATTATGTGATAGATCAATTTTCATTCCAAAGTGATGATCCTTCATTAGTGCAAAGATATGCCACATTTTAGGAGTATAAATTAATGATGAATACCTGTGTTATGATCTTCAAATTTTGCTCAGTTATCTCACCTTTTCAATGTCTCCCTCTGCTGCAGCCTCCACTAGTGTCTGCCACTGAGACCACACCTTCAGCTTAATGGTCCCGCCTTGTACGATGTCGTTGTGTCGGAGGTCACTGTCCTCATGCATGTCACCTAAAGTACATGTAATTCAGTACATATGTATTGTTACTGGTAAACCTACCAAGTCATGTACAGCAGGATTTGTCAAGTTTAGAAATGTCACAGAGTTTTAGGAAAAAGTGCAACTTGAAGAGGTTTAGCCATTTCATTACGGTAACCATATCATCCTCCATAGGATCGACATGTTGGAATCATGTGGGTTAAAACTGCAGTTTAGAAGGAAGACACCAGAGGGAGTCCTCCAGGCAACTCAGGTACTATATGATGCCTTCTAGTAGTTCTACCCTCAGACATGTAAGAAAGAATTGTGCCGCTTGATTTAACGGACCTTCATCCAGGTAGGAGAGCCTCTGCAGGTTGGAGGGGATTCCTGCCTCCAGTTCCACGGCTTCCTTCAGCTGCCACACCTGCATCTCAGGGTATGCCTGACCGATGGTGAACATCTCACCTGTGGGGACCAGGACCACCTGGAAAGGTCAAACAAAGTTTTAGGAAAAGTTCAACTTTTAGAGAAAAGAGGTTTTTATCTATTTATCATACTGTACCTTCCTTGTGAATGTTGTATTAAAGCGTCTACTCCTACGTCGCGACCGTTGTTATCATTGAGTCGTCAACTACGTGTCTTATTAATGATGATACTTTTCCAACACAATGGACAGTATGGAAATTAACAGGTGTTTCTTGTCTAGGTCACATTTTCAAGGCCAACATACTGACAAAATCATAAAACACTAATACAGCAAACAATCATCAGACAACAGACATTGCTACACATGTCGGAACCAGGAGCACTTGGAGAGGACCGGAAACACACACAAGGTCAACTTCAAGGTAAAAAAGGGTAAAAGTAGTTTTAAAAAGCTAAAGTTCCTTCCCGCATCAGGTGACGCATAGGATGGTAGCAATCTCCATTTTGATAGCCGGGTGCTAGCTGTTGCTGTAACGTATATAGGTTTGTATATAATATGGAATACTCTAAGGAATATGTCATCAACCAAAAGGGCATTTGACAAATTGATTAATAATCCATAAGGACAGGACTTATGACAGGTGTACAGAAACAGTATTGTGAGATAAGGTCATAGAAGGGTCCCAGAGGGGGTTGGGTCATTTGTATTTATTATGAGTTATTGTTCACTGGCAATTGATAACTATGCAGTGTGGGTATTTTTAATCATTGAGGTTTTCTTGGCTCATTATTTGGATACAGAGTGATGACACAGATCACAGCAAGAAGGAAAAGTGTGTGTGTGTGTGGGGGGGGGATCATGATGAAGTGTACTAGTGACTGAACTAGCAAACATTGTCGTTTTCTGGGACTACATATCCAGTATTATTACATTTCAGGACAAAAATGAGCAAGAATTCGTAAAAAGTTAACGATGTAAGATTTAACCCACAAACAAAAGGCCGTGTGTACGGTGTATACAAGCTAGCTAGTACACTCACACGAATGTAGATAGATAGATGTTCTAAGTTGTCTTGTCAAAATGTCTCTTACCTTGAGTGAGAATGTCCGCAGAGGGGCGAAGGCTACCTTGCCCGTTTTCTTCCCCGTCTTCCCTGTTCGACCTGCCATTTGAAAAGTCTTCAACTCGAACTGTTTCTCAAGATATCTCAGCAAAACAGAAGTCAATACAGAAATGTAGCAACCGTGAGCAAGTATTAAAAGTTCAACTGCTCAAGATTTTAGTCCAAGGAAAGGGTGCCACATTTCGTAAACTGGTGTGTCCAGTATTATGCAGAGGCTCTTCAGGACAGTAGTATCTCCCTAGAAGCTAGATACTGCAATACGCCTGCCCTAAATAGGATTCAAGGTAATAATAGAGCCACAAATCCACTCATAACGTCTTGCTGGAAGTGAGCCGGGTTCTTGAGACCACTTCAACAGGTGGGTAACGGAAGAGTTCATTCTTTGAAATCGGTGAAACTTTTGATACTATGTACCAAGATGTATTTATAATTTAAAAACTACTTAAAAGTACGTCAGTAAAAATTCATAGAACTAAATTAATATGTAAATGTTATATGCTTTGCAAACATTGATGAGAAAAATTGTTTGAAAAAATGCTTTCTGAGTTTTCAAATAAGAGTCAACACCCCTACAGATAATGGTCATTACCGAAGGCTTTATAGCAACGGGCCTAGCAACCACTAATTAGGACTTTTCCTCGCGAGATTTGGCGAGAGTACAGGGGTGAAAGTCCCGGATGTTCACCTTCTTTCGGAGAGTGGGAGGGCGAAAATAATTAAGATGTTGTCCTCGACTGTTCGTCAACTTTCCAGCGCCTTGGTAACTCTATTTTATTCTTTCCCGAGCCTTTAGTGTCACTTATGTCATGACGTTACACTTATGACATTTTACGATGTTTCTGTCGATCGTTTTCTTGACTAGTTCGCTGCAACTTTAGCTCTTTGAGCTAGGCCGGTCCGTTACGCAAATTGTTTTGTAACATATCACTTTTATGTGATATTTACGATCGTACAAAAATTATGAAGTCCAAAACACTTCCCGTAGCGCCCGACGGAATTCTTATTGACGATGACTTTGCACTGCCTTTTTGATACATATGTAATGTGTAATAAGTTTATCTTTCATATGATATAAAGTTTTAATGATTTTACACTATGTCACACAAGTGTATAATTCTTGAAAATATAGTGCTCTTCTCAATTTTTTGTCATACCGGTTTACTGGGATATTTACAAAATATTAACTTCAGTTTGCAACTAAAATTCACATCAGACCCTATTATTAATATTGTTACCTTAAACAACCTGTACTTTTTCATCCACCCAACCAATACTGCTAATTCTTACACATAGTCTCTATTATACATATAACTTTGAAATGAGTTACAATAATAAACTTGGCAAAAGTGATAATCCTTTGACATAATTGACTACATGTTATCGCTTTGTATATACAACTGATTTATACAAAATTTATCATGTATTATTCCCCAGGTGCGACAGACGCGTGCCCTGCACCGGTCGGCACCGGCACTGGGCGGTGGAGGTCAGCTGTTTGTGGTAGGTTATCACAACACCACTGTACAACTCACTGAGTCAGCATCAGCATATGAATTATAATAATGATTTAGTCTATACTTGTCATTTTATGTCCTTTGGGTTGACTTGTAAATGCTGTAATTTTTGTTTACAGCACCGTGACAGCCCTGAAAACAACCCGGATACACCGTTTGAATTCACTGAAGAAAACATGAAGGTAAGGGTTTGATTTGTACCATTAATGTCAGCTTAAATCTTCATGATTCTGTACAGCTTACAGGATACCTTGGTAGTCCTTCAAAGTCGAAGTTGAACGTCAGCATCCCCATTCACAGGGGGGTGATGGCCTCATGGGGCTTCTGATCCCAAAGCTTGACGCATACAGTCAAAAGTACAGCATACACTCACACCAAGGTTTTTAACCTCCTTGCTCACACATAAATTTATGTATTGTCATGTCAAGTGTTTTGATGTTAAAAACAATGGCATCGATTCCGTACAAGCCATGTGACAGAAGAACAAAAAACTATATAAGGATTAAATGTCACTGTTGTAATGACTGCTAACTTTGTTGTTTGCCATTGTTGAATGTCTTTTTTTTTACATACCAGAGAGTGCAGCTGATTATAAACAACTACCCAGTGGGACATGAGGCTGCTGCTGTCATCCCTGTACTGGACCTGGCTCAGAGACAACATGGTAGGGGCAACTTGGAAACATTAGTACAAAAATTTTGGATGAAGTCGAGTGGATTCATTCATCTATCAGTATCTTTCAGTCAGGCTGCAGTCGAGGTACTGTAAATCACACATGTGCTGTCCATGGCATTTGTTGCTTGTCCCTACAAAGTTGGTGGCAGTAGAAATGTTACGTAACATTATAGAGTTGATTACTGATATAATATGTAAATTTGTATTTATTTTTCTAGGCTGGGTTCCCCTGTCTGCCATGAACAAGGTAGCAGAGATCCTGAAGATGCCCAGAATGAGAGTGTATGAGGTGGCTACTTTCTACACCATGTTTAACAGGTAAATACATTGTTAAAGGGAGTTCAGAGATTACATACCTTCACACATTATTGTTGTGTGGGCCAGTCTGTGTAGGCCAGTCTGTTCTGAATATTGATAACAGTCTCTACCATATAAACAGAAAAATATGCATATGTAATACTGACTTATACTGTAGCAAAGTCACTAATATCTGATGTTTGGTGTTATGTTTCAGGAAGCCAGTAGGGAAGTACCATGTGCAGATCTGCACTACCACTCCCTGTAACCTAGGGGGCGTCGGTTCTGATGTCATCCTGGAAGCCATCAAAAAGAAGCTAGGTAGGTTAAACTACATTGTACTGTTCTATCCTCTTCTTTCCCTATGATATGTTCCAGTAACTTACTACTTAACACATGTGAAATCTGCTTAGCAGTATGAAAAAAGATAAACTCTAGTCTGTATAGGACTTTTGAGTGTATTGGAATGCATGCTGTAGTTATTATGTATTATCTCTGATTCAGTGATTTGTGATTGTAGTAATGGTTTCAGAATCATATCCCCAAGAAAACTTTAATAATATGTGTTTTGGTGGTTGACTGTCAGGAATCAATGTTGGAGAGACCACCAAAGACAACATGTTTACCCTGATAGAAGTGGAGTGCCTGGGAGCCTGTGTTAACGCACCCATGGTCCAGATCAACGATAACTACTACGTAAGTGTGCTGAATATTCCCTTTTTTAGAAGCCAGACATTAAACTTGTACATACATGTATTAGTACTAGTATACTATAGATGCAGCTGTACGAGACGAGATGACCTGCACTTAGCCTTTATCTTTGTTCTTGAGTGTCTGTTGTTTAATGGTGAAATTCATCATATGCTGACATTGGTGCTTGTTTCATGTACCTGTATAGGAGGATCTGACAGCAGCAGATATAGAGGAAATACTGGATGATTTGAAGGCAGGGAAGACACCAAAAGCTGGGCCCAGGTACATGCATATAAAATATACCTTCATTTTCTTGTTTTGCCCACCATCCATACTGTATATCTGCAAGTTAGAGTGACAGCTACATGTATAAAACAGATTTTTCTTTGCCTTTTCCTTAAAGGAATGGCCGTTTTGCGGCGGAACCACTCTCAGGACTCACCAGTCTTACAACGCCGCCGACTGGACCCGGCTTCGGTGTGCGGGACGACTTGTAAGGGAAACATCGTGCTGCACAGCTATCTCTGTACATAACACCAGACAACTATCCAACATGTGTGAAAACTGTAGTTATTGTGCTCACTTCTGTGAGAATATCCTTCAATTATTCATTGTGATGAACATCAGATATTAAAAGCGGTATCTGAACTGGTGGTGTGGTGTATTTCTTGGTTGTCTACCAATGTTGTATTACTGTACATGTAATTCACTTTATGTTCATGGTAGCAAAAGTTTGTGGTCTGAGAAAAACAGAGGTGTTCACAGAACAATATGTTCACAGGCTGGTGCAGAAAAAAGAAAGTCAGCAAATTATTTGTTAACAGTAACGATAAGGTGACCACGAAAACTGTGAACATAAAAAAAGTACCATGAAAAAAATCAGGAATTACAGTACTATGTTTAATACACGAGACAGGACAAAGCCAATGTTAGAAACTAGTGACTCCTTTATTTACACACCAAAGGATGAACAGAAAGGTAGAAGTCAGTTGCCTTGTACTGCTAGTTTTGCAACTCCTGACCTTATACACACAATAGTACTATCCAACAAACAGAACATGTTCTGTAGCTTCAGCTTGCCCGCATAGACAACAGTAGGAGTTATTTATTTACCACTTACCAACAGAAGGATCATCATACGAATGCTATCTTACTTTGGGAATAAATACATGTACAATGGTTCAGGAATTGTATCTGAGCCAGAAGTCAATTTTTTGTGGTGAGCTCTGTCAGATCATGGCAGTACAAAAATAAAACTTGGCAATATCGATTCACTACTGTGCTATATACACAGTACAAAGGGTAGTACAACATTACATGTAGAGATGGTGAAAATTACAGTGCACTATTTTAACCTTTGAAGCATGGCAGCTATTATCTGTACCATTTAACTGCTTAAGACAATCTGCACTACTACTACTACTACACAAGTACACATAGGTGGAATGTACCTAGGACAAGTGTAAAACACAGGAAGTACAGATCACACAACAATTTGTGTGGTGGGTCTTCAACAGTGTACTTTTAACAAACTCCAACTATAGATATCGCATACGTATATATACACAACCTGCTCAACAGTGTGATCAAGGAAAAAATATATAATACCCCTACTCATCCAATCTATATGTACACTATGTACATAACACAACATATCACAGACATTGCAGCTCACTTATTCGTGGAAGATATTCACCAATCAAAGACAAGCTGCAGCTTTTCTTTTGCATCTTTTTGCAAGTACACAGGAATGAGTGGTTATTTTTCCATTGTTTCTTCGATGCCAAAAAACAAATCTGACTTCTCTTACCTTCACATTAAATGGACACAGATTACCAATTCAACAGAGGTAGAAAGACTCAGAATTACAGGATTTGTTATCAAAGGGGCATGAATGATAGACAGAACATACTAGTATGGATAAAAACCTGCAGTTCTCATTAAAGCAGCAAGGAGGCATCACTACACGCTCATTACCACTAAAACAAACATCGTACTCTGAGGTTGTAATTTGAGGACTACACTAACCACTACACAAGCTATTTGGCAACACCTGTAATGTTGCGGTTAAAATCAGCCCTATCTGAACTAGCTATTCGTCAATCTTTTGCGTGCATTCTGTCTTGTATGGCAGATTTGCACAAACTCTCATGTCCTCATAGTACTGAACTGTAGACGACTTTACATAGCCACTCGACGTTACCTACATCTCGTACACAACAGTGTTGTAATTTCTGTAACTTCTATGTGCAGATTACTGGCATATTTGTGATGTACAAAATCCGATTCTTCTCTGTTAAAAAAATTCATACCACAGACCTTGCACGCAGTCCTGTATCTATACTAGGTTAACATTTTGGTGTTTTGCGTCTGCCCTTAAACACCAACGGCTTGCTGTTTACGAGATACCCACTGAAGTTGTACTTTGGGCAATAGCTACACATTACCGTAACCCATGTAGCTGAACACATCTGGCTTCTTGAGCCAAAACTACCATATCACTGCAGTACTCCAGACGCCTGCAAGAGGGCTTTTGAGTTCTGTATACTGAGTGTCCAGTGATTCAATCTCATGCTGGAAGAAGGTCGAAGTCCTCGCTGACTGTAACCATGGGAACGTAGAAGTCGCTGATGTCGGTGAGGGACTTGGCGTCCTTGTAGCCGAGGTCCTGTAGCCGTAGCTGCCACTCCATCTTCTGGACGGCCTGGAGAGACGTGGCTTCATGGTGGTGACGCAGGAGCAGGCAGTTCTGGGTGGGTTAGGAAGAGAAGAACAATATTCAGACAAAGCAGCATTCAGTGCATGCAGCATTTTGGAAAAGAGACACTGGGCAGTCTTCTAGCCAGCATCCAATTTTCTGTCACATAATTTTGCTTCTCGTGACGGACAAAAATCGGCGAGTAAAGATATGTCATTAAACTAAGCTTAGTCTACCAGCAAAATTTGCCCCTCAAAATGCAAAGACCTTTTGCAACTTGCAAACAAAATCATGTAGCAGTAGCCTATACCTTGGCTGCCTCGTATTTCTCGTCCACATCTTGTAACCAGGAGTGGAACTGTCTGGCGGTGAACCTGTCCCTACCCTGCGGCTTGTCCTCGGTACGCTGTTCCGGGGGCACGTTGTACACCTCCTCGTCCAGTAGGATCTTACACGCGCTAAACGGCACGCTCTGGTTGGCGTGGGCACGCGCAGCACGACAGTGAACCCTCAGGATCTCTTGTTCACACGACATGATCAGCTTTTCCTGGGGAGGATCATACATTTTTTTTAATTTTTATTGCACATTAATATCTACATATAAGCCTAACAGAAGGAAAAAACAAGCCATAGATCAAATACAGTTGGACAAGTCAACTTGTCAGGAACTTACCCTTTCCAGGTAGTGCTCCAGTCGGATCTTGTGTCTGGCCTTCTCCTGTTCCACAAACAGGTCTGTCATCTCCTCAGGAAGGGAGGCGGGGGGAGTGTACTGTTGGTTGGGAACAGCAAAACATTGGTTATTCAATACACGGTTTAGTATTTTGAATCAACTACTGTATTGGTTTCTATGTTCCTACTTGTTAGATTCATGTCTGTGAATGCAATTTGATGACAGGAAACACAAGATTTTTTTCCTAGGCCTCAAAAATTTCTAACGTATCCTTACCATGGGGATGATGAGACTCTTGGCTGGGCTGCTGTGTAGCAAGTAGGAACACTGGTACAGTAAGTACTCGTCGAAGCACTGCGGGGGCTTGGGTATAACCACCGACATGTTCTGCCTGCGCTCCAGGATGACCTTCCTGATGTTCAGGTACTCCCAGTACGGGTTGGGCTTCTCCGGGCGGGGGCGTACGTACGGCTCGTCCAGCGACGCGATGTTCTTCACCTTGAGAACTTTCCTTCTGAAGGGGTGGACGTTTTCCAGGCTGTCTTCCACCGACGCGGCCTGTCCTTCCACCTTGATGGGGCCCGTGCTCATCTGTGAGTTGGAATCTTCTTGTTGTAGGATGAGCTTCTCTGCAGGGATGGGAGGGGTGGAGGCTTGGGAGGATGTCGATCTCATGGATCGCGTTATTCTCTGCGGTTTCTGTTCGCTGTCTTCCTCTTGCTTGACGCTGGGACTGGAGGTTGCCGGTGGACGAATGAGGCTAGCTGCAGGCTGTGCTACGCTGAAAGCTGGCTGCCCGGGTCCCGGTAGAGCTACGCTGGTGTTGGTGCTGCTGCTGGTTTCCACGCAGACCGTCGTTACGACAGTCGTCTCCATGAGTTCTATGCTGGTCACGATGACAGGTAGAGTGGTGACGCTGGATGATGTTGAAATGAATACCTCAGAAGGACCAGGAGGTACTGTTTTAGCTTCAGTGGTGGCTGGTTCTCCTATAGATTCTTTAGTTGCTGCAAGCTGGATATCAGCTGTTATCATTTTGACTTCTGGCTTGCCTTGAACTGTGATAGATGGAGTACTAACTGTTACAGACGTCGATACAACCATGCCTATAGGAGGGATAGGCAGAATAGGGGACTCTTCTTTCCTTGGCAAAGTTGCAGGAGTAGGAGCTGGAATTTCCTGTGTTGACTTTTCTGGTTCTGCAGGTTTACTGGATGGAGTTGGGGTGATGACATGCACAGGTATAGAAGCCTGAGGGGTTGTACTCCTCGCTGGACCACTGTCGTTGGACAAAGCTCCCCCTCCTTGAGTTGGCTGTGACTTGGGCAAGGTCTCTTTTACTTGCAGCAGGTTTGAGGGTGTTACTACTTTCTCCTTCTCTGCGGGTGGTTCTACCACAGGCGTGGTTGTGACGGTCATTTCCTTCACAGCCGTTGACGGTTCCTCTCGAGAGGCAGGCTTGCTTTCCTCTACGGTTGTCGACACCGTTGGTTCTGGGTCGCGTACCTTTGGCCTCTCCGACACGATCATCTGCGACACCTTTGGCTTGAGAAGCAGGGACTTCAGGTAGTCTGCGTTGGCGGGGGAACTGGCTTGGGTGACGACGGGACCGGCGATCACTCCCTGCGGCTTGGAGGACGTGAACGTCATCGTGCTGCTGGTGGTCGTCGTGGCCAGCGCGGGGGACGTCATGACCGGCACGGACGTGGTGGCTACGGTCTGCGAGCTAAACGTACTGGTCACGTTGGCTGACGTGACTACAGGAGGTCTAACCACAGGGCTTGGTGAGGAAGTCGTGGATGACGATGACACAGTAACAGAAGTTGACGATACCGCAGTACTCGCTGTGTAGGAGACTGTCGTTGTTGTAACAGTGACTGGAGAGATCACAGTGCTCACTGTTTGTTATGCTTGCCTTCGGAACTGTACTGGAGGTTGTAGCAGTGGAGAAGCTTACCGATGGACTCAGGCTGACCGATGGAGTGAGCTGTAGAGTTGTCTCCTTGATTTCTGCCCTTCCCAAAGGAGACTTATTGTAGGGCTCGACAAACTTGTCTTCTGAGTCCTTAGACTCTAAAGAGCTCCTCTCGGGCAAAGGCTTCTCACTCAAGTCTGCTTCAAGAGTCACGATTGATTCTGTCTTGGGAGAACCTTGATGTACTTCTCCTTCATCGTCTCTGGTTCTTCTCTTAAGTATGAAGGGATGGCAGGGAAGGAGAGGGTTGGTCGTTCCTCCTTCTGAGGAACTGCAGGTTTCTCCTTTTCTGGTGTCTCTGGAGTTACACTAGTACTCGATTCTGGTCTCTTCTCCTTCACTTTCAATCTCTCCTTGTCCGATTTTGATTTGCTTGAGATGTGCTTGGAACTCTCTCCCTTGTGCTTTTCTGACTTGATCTTGTGTGGCTTACGTTCCATCACCGTGAGAGTCTTTACCATCCAGTTTAACCCTTTCTTTCCTCTCACCCTCTCCTCTGGACTTCTCAGCTTTCAGAGCTAGCTTTTCCTTGTCAGTCTTGTGATGTTCTGACTTTGCTGCTAGCTCATGCTTGACACCCTCCTTTATCTTGTCGGGCCTTAGGGAGTCACCTTTGTCGGAATCCTTTTTGATCTTTGGAATTCTTACAATCTTTAGGTGCTTGGCCTTGTCTGTTATTTCTCCCTCAAAGAGATCAAAGGTTTTGAGCTTTTCAGGTTTGACGATACTTGCTTTGTCTGGTTTGAATAGATCCTGATTGTGTGAGTGGGGCTTGCTCTCCAGTCTCTTTGAGCCTTCCAACTTGACTTTCTCGCCTTTTGAGTTATGCTTGACCTTGGTTACTTCCTTCACCTTGCTGCCGTCAACTTTGTTTGTGACGTCTAGCTTCGACTTGTCCCGTTTGGGGCTGTCCAACCCACTGCGGTCTGTTTTCCACGGGAACAATTTGTCGTCCCTTGGACTCTCTGCTCCCTTCTTTGCCTCCTTCCCATGCTCTGTCCTGTGCTTCTCTTTCATTCTGTCTTTCACAGGGCTCTCCTTTGACGACCCACTTCTATGTCTCTCCTTCTCCCTGTGCTTATCCGTACGCGGACTCTCATGGCCGTGGCCACTTTTCTCCCCTTTGTGAGACTTGATTTTCTCCCTCGGCTTGTCCGTCGCAGGACTCTCAATTCCAGACCTCTCGCTGTTGCACGAATCACTCCTCACAGACTTCTCCTGTGCCCTATGAACCTTCGGGCTGTCCATACTTGTCCTCTCAACCTGCGGAGAACCCTTTCCTCCGTCTCCCTTCCCTTCATGGTGCTTTATCTTCTGTCTATCACCCTTGAAACTGTCTGTAGACTGAAGGGACTCAGAACTGCTACTCTTTAGTCTGTCCAGAGTGGCAGCTTTCAGTTCAGCCTTGTGCTTCTCCAACTTCAGTTTCTCTGTCTTTGGTGAATGTTTCTCTGACTTGACTTCCGAGGACGTCGATGACTGGAGAGATTCCGAGCTGCTGCTTTTCATTCTTTCCAAATTGACAGGTTTCAGTTTGTCCGATTTGTGTTTAGCGACTTTAGTTTGGTCAGAGGAGTGGGATGATTCAGACTTAATTTTGTGGTGCTTCTGTTCCTCTTTGCGCTTGTGCTTTCCGCTGTCAGACTTTGAATTCGTTTGGATGGAATCACTCTTGGAATTTGTGTGTGGAACTTTCTGAGAGTGTTCTCCTTTCTCCTTACTCTTGTGCTCGCTTTTGTGTCTTTTCTCTGCCTTTTCTAGTTTTAACCTCTTCTCTTCTGACCTGTCAACCTTTGAACTCTTGTCCTCTGACCTTTCCCCTTTGGAAATCTTGCCCTCTGATCTCTCACCTTTGTGTACTTTTGCCTCTACCTTGTCCGACTTTGAATGTCTTTCCTGACTGTCCAACTTCTTTTCAGCCTTCTCACTCTTTGAGTGCTTCTCACTTGCTTTTTCTGTCCCCGCCTCATGTCCATCTGATCTTGAGGTTTCTGCTTTGACTTTGGTCTCGTCGCCCTTGGACTTAGAATGAGAAGAGTGAAGCATCCTGCCAAACACCCCTTCCTCTGCCTTGTCCAAGCTTGCCATCTTTTTTAGTTCTTTTAGCTTCTCCTTTTTCGTGGAAGATGACAAGTCTGGCAGGGAATGCCTTCGAATCTCGCCTCCCTGCGGAGAATTCTTTCCCTCATTTTCCTTCTCCTTCCGCATCTCAGACCTCCCTTCCAGATCCTTAGTTCTCCTCTCATCAGATTTCTTCCCTTCCAAGTTGGCATGCTTAGGCTTCTCCCTTTTCTCGCTGTCACGGTTTTTGTCCCCCTTGATTTTCTTTTTCAACGTTCCATCGGGCATTGTGCCGGGGATTCCTGACCGTTTTGCTAAGTGTTTATGCTTCACTTTTACTTCTGAGCTTGGTTTTTCTTTGGTTTCACAAGATGTACTACTACTCCCAACACTGCTTGTTGCATCTTCTTCTCTTTTCCTTTTCATTCCCTTATCATGATGTTTCCCGTCCAACTTGGGAGTTTTGATGTTGCTATCAGAATACAGCTTGGCTTCCTTTTTTGACTCTTTCTTGCTCTCTTTCCTCTCGACACTTTCCTCTCTTGAGACACTGCTGGATACACTACTGACCTCCATTTCAGAGTCTGACTCAAAGTGTCTTTCTGGCAGTGTCTGCTTGTGTCTGTGCTTTTCGCTAACCTCGGCCTCTACTTGAGAAGGCTTCGCAATGTCTTCAGTTCTTTCCACTGTTTCCTGATCTTTCCTACTCTCGCTACTCCTTGAGTATGTTTTCAGAACCTTAACTTTGTCCCTGGGTGTCTTGTCCTTGCCATCTTCCCTTGGTTTGGGAAGCCGACTGAGTCTTATTTCCGGGGTGCTGGATCGACTTCTGTCCGAGTCGCTGCTCTCAAAGGCAAACCTTCTGTCTGCCTCCTTCTTAATGGCACTGATTTTTTCAATTTTTTCGAAGATATTGCTTGGACTTTTTGTGGAACACCTGGCTGGACTCTTGCTGAACTCCCCCTTGGAAGGATGTCTGTGTCTTTCTGCTGTTTCCTTAGGTTTGGTGGCGCCACCGTGTTCCAGTTCTTCTGCTGCAAACTCTGTAACAGAGATAAGAAACAGTCACACTTTGCCCACAATCTATATAGACACAAGATCTCTACAAAACTCACTATAATAAATGTATCTGCGAAATGCAGGTGAGTATTTCTAACACTCATACATGTATTTTGTAATAACATTAATTGCTTACATGTAAGTGTGAGTTTTAAAACAAACACAAGCTTGCAAGATGGGCAGATCAGATGACAATTGACAGATACCTACCATTGCCTTCTGCATGCTTTCTCTCCCTATCTCCTGACTTCTTCCCTGCTGGTGTTTCATCGTTGAGTGAAGCCAGGCTCTCAGGCGACGTGGGCGACTTGACGTCCAGGCTGTCCGACGAGTCACTACTGGATGCGATGGTCTCGCTCTTCAGTAGCCTCTCCACGGTCTCGTTCTCCGCCACGTCTATGGGAGTCTTCCCCTTGGTGTTGGCCTGGAGGGGGTCCGCCCCGTGCTTCAGCAGGAGCTCCACTATCTGCTGAGGTCAGAACCGAAAACACAGGCCTAGTTAATCTGAGGTCTTTTAGGGCTCGAAATGGTTTTATCATCATACGTGTACTAGTGCAAGTGACAAAGAAAATTACAGTAATACCTGCACCATACAAATTTTACCTGCACCACTCAGACTTTGAGAAGTATGGACCACACTAAAAACTATTCAGAAACCATCGCCATTATCTATTTTACACTTCATAGGTGTTAACAGTCAATGCAGTGACTACAAACTGCTTTCAATTTCACCACAGCAATGCATTGAAGTACTCCTTTTATAGTGGCACTGATTTTCTAGAAGTAGATATTGCTTTTTCAAAGGCTGTTAAATGTGCAATTTAAAGCTGCAAGAACAAATCTTATCTAAAATAACAAATATATCTCTCCCCCTTCCTGGACCCATTCACAAATTTCTACACGTGACAAAGGGATTTTCACAGCAATACAAGCCCGCACCACCTAGTAAAATGCAGCTTTCTGATAAAAACATGCTGACATTTACAGTGCATATCATCTCACACAGCCAGCACAGTTAAGGATATTCTAGTAAGCCTCTCAAACCCCTCCGGCTACCACAGTTACAGATACAATCCCTGATTTCAAAATCCTTTACCACGACAGTATGCCAGCAGACTTTCAAAATAGCATTGAGGTAACAAAAGTCCATAGAGAACTTTACAAAGGGATTTACATAAGTTACAGACCATCTCCTGCATTACAATTTGGAAATGGGGCTGAGAAAGCACAGCAGTAACAGAGGAAAGTGGTGTTTTTTTTTTAGTGTGCGGCATGGGCATACAAATCACTACTCAAGGGCTTTGTTGTAGGTTTTGTTTCAAGGAAGGTTGGCCATTAGAAAATCATCTGTGGCTGTTTTGAAATCAATATCTAGAACTAGTTTTCCTTACCGAAGATCTTACTTTTTCCACACAAAAAAGGCTAGGGTCAGCAGTTTTTTTCTAGTGTCGGTTGGGAAACAGGAAACACAACTTTATTTGTTCTTGCCTACCCCACTCCCTCCCATCATAGCACAAGAGACTCCACACTGTACAGCTATACTCACATGTGGATGGCCGTTACTGGCCGCGTCGTGCAGGGGCGTGTCATCGTCCAGCCCCTGCGTGTTGACGTTGGCTCCTGCCTGCAGAAGCATCTTGGCAACTTCGTAGTAACCGTGGTTACACGCCTCATGTAGTGGCGTCCAGCCTAACAAAACATGATAACAATCGCTATGTTCAGTTAAACAAGAAACTGACTTTTTTTCTAGGAAGTATCCTGGTTTGTGTTTTCAGTGATGGTATAAAGGAATTTCCAATCAGATGTTGGGCTGGAAGATCGTAACATTTTGCTTCTCTGACAACACTGTCCCTTACCCCCAACCAGGACTCGATATCCTTTTTTCTGCATACCTTCACTGGTGCAGGAAATACTGAAAATTACCTGCAAACTCAGATTTTGAGAAGGAGCATACATGCAGAGTTTGAATTTTCTATGAGTATTGTTTACCTGGATGTTTAACCTTCACCAATATATAAGCAAACATCTATTTCAAAGCTACATTCTTGGTGTGAATTTATAGCATTGCCGAATCACCATCTCACTACTGTTGCATGAGTAATGGTTAATTCTGGCACCAAAGAGTCTCCACGAGAAGACCAGATCAATAAGTCGATGCTGAAGGGAGCCAATCTTACCGGCGAAGTCCTTGGCATTGACCTCCGCCCCCTGCTTGATGAGCTGCCTGAGCAGGTCTGCGTCTCCCTTGATGGCGGCCATGTGCAGCGGCGTCTCCCCGCGCTCGTTGCGCTTGTTGACCTTGTCGTTCTTCTTCTTGGCACTGCTTGGCTCCGAGGATCTTCTGTCGTTACTGGCGCCGGAGGGCGAGCCTGGGGACGAGGAGAGCACCACAGGCTGAGAATTACGAGTAAACTCGGCCCTCATAAACCCCTTCATAGCCTCATCCCAGTTTCATAATAGATATTGAGGGGCAAGGAACTTGGCCCTGGGGCTACTACAATGTACTTTTACAGAGCACCACAGGCAGAGAATTACGAGTAAACTTGGCCCTCATAAACCACTTTATTGCCTCATCCCAGTTTCATTACAGATATTGAGGGGCAAGATTGCCGAGGAGTCAACAATAGCTTGGTGTGAACTTGGCCCTGGGGATAATACAGCATACTATAATTCCTGATTTTTTTCACAGTACTTTTATATTCACAGTTTTCACAACTGTTAAAAGTAAAAGCCAGAAACTGTTTTCACAGGAAGCTCTCAGCCACTCATGGTAAAAATAAACAAGAATAACTGGTAAATGTAAGTTACTGGCTCTTGTAACTTATAAGTAGCTTTTAAGCTAAGAGGTAAAGCTGTTAAGTGCTTTCATACTCATATAGTACCTTTTAAGCTATTAGAGAGTAGAAGTTAGTAGGAGTTTTAACCAACCATTCCTACCTGGTGACCCAGATTCCGCGGCCGTCATCTGCATAATGAGCGCGAGCTGCTGACGTTCCGAGAGGGGGATGGGTCGAGACGGCGTGCTAGCGGACGCATCGTCACCCGTCTTCTTTCGCTTTCTTTCTGGAGTCTTCTTTTCTGCTGTGTGTGAAATGTGGGAAACACTGATGAGCCTATAATCTCTTCAGAAATGAAATGATACCTGTTTGTATCCTGCTACCATGGGAGCCACCGTTTTTCTTACATAAATCTACTCAGGTCCCCATCTGGCCATGTGTTTGTCCAGCGACAAGTGGACAAAATTAATAGACCATCCAGCTGTCCAACACTCGGCTGAGATTGCTTATATGTTCTGAGAAATTAAATAGGAAAAAAGGGGATGGAAGTGTTTTTAACCTGTGTAAGTTTGTGTTTGTGTACATGAATGCTTGCGTCTGCATTAAACATAATTCATGCAATTTTATAACAGTATATATCACTCCAAAATCCACTTGACCTTATAAAACCATAACTGATTTCGGTATCGTGGAATAAAAGAACGTTTTGAATATATGTGCTAGTCCTACAGATAGAATAAAACCTACTCTTCTGACAGACAAAAAGAGTAACACTAAAGATGCATAGAAAGGAATCTACTATATTGGATTGGCTTGTCATTCTCTGATCATTGATCTGACCATGCAATGAAAATCAATGCCTTGTGGTTTGCATATCATGCAATTCTGAGCCAAACTATTCCATAATTGCCTCCGAATTTGGGTATAAATTAACACTGAATTTCTCTAGCATTCAATATTCTGACAATGCGCTATCATCTTGGCTTGCTGGTCCTTTCCACATCATTTTTGCACCAGCCCTGATGGACCTGTGCCATCAAATCTGATCACGTACACATGTGCAACAGGCAACTAAGAAGAATAGAAAAGCCCATCGAAGCCTTCTACTTAGGGCTACACACTATGCTTGGACAGTTTTTTTTTCCAGTTTCTTGAGTAAATGGCCCTCTGTATCTCCATTAGTGCATCAGAAGCCAAGCTGAGTGCGTGAACATAATAGTAGTCATGGCTTGCTTCCTGTGCGCTGCCGTCTCTAAAAGCTTTCAGGGCTCCAAACTGGCTAATGTGGTTGTTTAGCACACATCAGTTGCAAGACTCTTAATCTAGATTTCTCAACTACAAGTGCAATATGGCCTTTTGATGGCTTTTGTGCAGTTTTAACATCTCTCTTTTTCTTATTTCGAATTGCCTGCAAATATATTGTGTAAAATCACTGTATATTTTTGCTTATTTCATGACAATTCCAATGCAATGTTGACGTGGCAAAATAAAGGACTATTCTGTCTGATATAACTGCCATTTCTTAACACATGCCCTTCATCTCTCCCAATACTTAATGTTTATTCTGTGACAGCTAACGTGATAAAAATTTCCCTCAACAACTCTCCATAATGACTCGGCCCTGTTTAAGTAGACTCTACACACTCTATGGTAACCTAATTCCAGCTGCAATCATATCGCCCTATACTGTGTGCCTTCGTGTCTTTTGTCAACAGCTGGCCAGGTGTTCTGCCTACAATACCTTTTGTCAAGAGAGGCTATGTCCTCCCTGTGACCCCTATAGTGATTACTTTGAGCAAGCTGGCAGGCAATCCTTCCTTGTTATGAGAGCACTATCAATGAGAACCATTCAGTATGTATTTACTGACTTGCTTGTTAGAAACTGCTGACATCCAAAAAATGATTACAAGACTGCAAGAAAAAAGCTGACAGACAAGATATAGCATATATGCAGTCAGCTTTTCAGCTGCATTTTTCAAAATTCACTATAAAGTATAAAAAAGGATGCTTGTTAAAAATTAATCCTGGCCATAAGAGCGATATTCCGGCTAACAAAAACTGCTTGCATCATTTACAAGGGAGACTATTTCCGTCAACATCTCAGGATACACTTAGTGCTTCCACCCACATATTGTATATCTATCATGTTTCTATGTGAATGTTGAGGGAAATGACATGAATCCAACATAAGATTATCAATTTTACTGGTCTGAATTTCTCCATTTTTCTACTGAATTGAAATAGCTAGAACTGCTGCCAGAAATTAATGGCAGGATTATTTTAGCAGTTTCACAGTGACCGTCCCAATGTGAAATCTGGGCATGGCAAATATGTTTCCAAAATCTAATTTTATAGAAGTGCATTGGCCATGATTCCTTGTTAGGCCTAGGAAAAAATGTTGTGTTTCTGGCTTCCCAGTAGCCTGGGTACCATCCTACTTAGGGAAGCGAGTGTGGGAGCCCCGGCATACAAGTAGGATGGTACCCAGGCTAGCTTCCCAGCTGACCCTAGCAAAAACCCACCAACCTAGCCTTTTTTTGATTGGCTGCTGGTAAGGCTATAACATGTTCGATCAGACATCTGAATTTCAAACCCTCTGAAGTCCGAAACGTCATTAAATGAATTTTCAAAAGCATTCAGTACATTATTCAGTAAATCAGATGAAATATTTGTCAACAAGCTAACAGGTGGACGGGTCTTTGAGACAGTCCCGATATATTGTTATTCATTGTTGGATCATTTTAGCTGGAATCTAACAAAAATCCTTACCTTTACTAAAGGTAGGGATTTTTGCTACTGACAATAGACTTTTCAGGGCTGAAATACATTTATTTTTCCTAGGCCTTATACAATAGGATTATATCATAAAAGAATGTATGTCAGAGACTACTAACCGTCACCTTCATCCAGTATGTTGGACACCATGAACAGCTTTCGTTTCGTGGCCTTGCTCTCCCCACGTGATGAACCATGAGACTTGGACGACGACGGCTTCTCCTAAAAACAGCCGGAATGAAGACAGGAAATTAAACAGCAGCCCAGGGTATGAATCAATAATGTTTGCTTGGAGACACACATGACCATGCAAATTACGGGAGAAGGAGAAAGCTATTACAGTGTGCCAGCTGGAATTAGTTTTCCAATATACATGTCATGAGGGCAGGTTAGTTTTTATAATGTGCAGTTGCCTCCCGTAAAATTTACCTCCGTCCACAAACAGTTATTGCTTGGAGGATCAGTTTCAAGGCTGCAATAAGAAATATCAAGCAAGGACACGTAACAAATGAAAAAGAGTAGGCTAGGTACATATTGCAAGAAAAATAGAATTTCAAGCCCCGTTTTGAGATAAAACAGGATTTTTGTTAAATTATTACACTACCATTGCCATTATGCATGAGCACAAGCTCATAAATGTAAGTATCTTCTAGAATAACACTGTGCTATACTTTGCAAAACATGGCCCAAATTCTGTCCCTTACTTCTTTGCGAGGCCATAAATTCTGCGTAAATGACCCAGTTTTATTGTCAATAGGCCTGTTGATAAAATAAAGGCTGACGTCTTGGTACACATTAGCGTGCAATTGGGTTAGACAGCTCATTGATGTAGAAAAAGGGACACTTCTTTAGAACACTGATCTTTAGCAATATTTCCACTAGAATTACAAACCATGCTAATATTTCCTTAGCAACAACAAAATATTCTTATCTCTGTCTTTTCATGCATAAAGATATATGCAAGGTTCCTCATTATGTACCATACTTCGTTAACTGGTCCTAATTAGTCCATCAGATAGATACAATTACACAATGATTACATTACATGCAGTTCCCTACATGTAACCTTTCATACATCATGGCAAATCAGGTTTGTGTAAAAGGCATTTTCATGTTCACCAAAATGTAACAGACTTTCTATACACTTAGTGACTATTTTAAAATGATAATGGCCAATGCTATCCTGGTACGAAATTCAGTGTTATCAAAAACCTTAAAGCTGCATTGTGTAACATTAGGACGATACAAAAACATTAATTTTATCGTCATTTTCTTACAAAGTAAGTTTAATCAAACCTACTCCACTGCAAATAAGTGCCTTTCAGTGCCAAAACATGACGCCTAAAATGTATATTTAAAAGCTGGAAACAACAGCTGTCAGCCATGTTTGCTTACATTCTGATATTTTGTGGTGGTGCCCCAAACTGAGTGCACCTTGAGTAGGCTGTTTTAGCGCCAGCCAAAAATGCAAGAAATGGGAGATAAGTGCATAAATGTTGAATGTGGAAGTTAATCACACAAAGATTTAATTCTCATTCCTGGTGCAAAAATTTTACGTAATGACTGGAAACAATTACTTCCTTAATACTTATTACAGGGCTTGAAATGGATTTTTCTCCGTACCTACTTGTTCACATACATTTTGAAATGAGTGATATAATTTAGAGAATATGATGTTGGCATCTCATTATGACTTCCCTTTGCATTTGCCTCACTACATGTAGCTACACACCTGAAATGCCAAATAGAAGAACAATCTCTAAATTCGTCAGTAATGCAGCGGAAACAAAATTCAACCAAGCACTCAAGGCAACAATCCAGCTTCTAAAAATAACGTCTTTGTGAATACCTGGGGGAGAAGAACCCTGCCCAACTGTCTTTGATGATATGTTGCTGTCTCCTTCCACTAATGCACTCCTTATGAATTATGTATCCATATACAGAATATGTCTGAGGTGTGTGCAACATTTTCAAATCTACAACAGTCTTGCACTGAATGTTTTACACAGTCCGTTTTTGGGTGGTAGAATTCTGGATCAAAATTGAATCATTCAAGACACCTGTCCGTGCTGAAATTTATGAAGCTAGACATGGCTGCAATATGATATGATTCTGAGATATACCTATATACTGCTGCCATAGGGATAGTCTCAAAAGTATATTATTTCAAAAGAATGTTAACCAAGATTTTTCTACAATATAGAAGCCAGTTATTAATTATAATGTTAAGAACATTTAGTAATTTTGTTATGGAAGACAAGAACATGAGAGGAATTATCACTGTTCAGCACATGAACCTCAGCTCAAACAAACACATTCTGTCTCAGATATAACTAACATTTTTAGGTCATCCCTTATTCAGTAAAAGTTATAATGTTTTTTTTAATACCCCAGCCTTTTAGAGCTAACATTTGTTGTCAAAATGTTGGAGATTATATCCAGATATCCAGCCTAAACATGCTCACCATATTAAACTATTTTTGGTGCACCATTTCAGATGTGCATGAAATTATGTCTCCAGGCATATTTCTTATGTTCCATCCATAGATCTACAGAATATAAAATCTGAGGAGACGGTCTGGATATTCCAAGAATAAAACATTATAAGAAGTCACAAACTGTCCTCAGCATACTGAACTGTCATTTACTATTATGACAATGGTGGAAATGAATACGTTGACCAATTGTCAAAAAAAAATAAAGTACCTGCTTTTGATTGACACAATATTCCTGACTTTCTTACTATCTATGAGGAATTGCAAAGATCAAGTCCATTATGGATAATCTTCCGTGATCCAAACATTACTTGGTGCCTAGGTTACTTCAATTACGCACACTTTGCCCTTCAACAAAGATTAAAATTGACGTGTTTGAAGAGATGTTTTAAGGCTCCATCTGTATGATAAAAATGGCAAGATTATGTCACCTAATAATACATTTAATACGAGAGACCACATATCCTTGGTAATAATCTACATCTGACATTTTGGGTGGAGAGTCTAGGCCTGCTTCAACCACACATTCATCTATATCATTTCTCACCTTTTTCTGTGAAGAGGTTGCAGGTTCGGCCTCTGAGGCGGAAGAGTCTTCCCCCTTGTGATCTGGGGTGCTGGAACCAGGCTTGGCAGCTTTCTTCATGTCTTTCTTCCCGCCAGGCTTCGGCCCCAGCATCATTCAGTAAAATAAATCCCTGCCACAGAAAATAAAAGAAATATTCAAATAAGCGACAAGAAATTCCTAGAAATTTTTCTTAAATAACTGTTTTAGTAATTCTTGCACTATGAGTTTGACACAATGGCATAAAAAGCAAGAATATCACAGATGCTATGGCAAACTTTGGTAGTAAAACATATTGATAAGGAATCATAAAATTCATAAAGAACATTCACTGATCACTGATGTCTTATTAGGTATACTGCAAAAGCAGCTACATTAATGTGTTTCAGTCTTTTACATCCAAATACAGTGCATAAAAGATATATTACAAGCTAATGTACATTTCAGCTAGGTCAGTGATATGGAAAGACTATGTAATTTCTTCTTTCGGCAAAACCTTTTGAAAGAGTGAATCAATAAAGCTACCGCTCAGCATCTAGGTTGGTAAAGATGCTGACAAGTGGTTTGAACTATAATTTCCTGTCTACATGGTTTGAGGGCTTAAAAATCTTAAGATGCAAATACAAACGCTGACACAGTTCTTCCAGACTCAATAACAGATAAGACACATGAAGGGAATTCAAAGGACCACTTAAAAAAACCTTGGATGAAGATTTGTACAGTTCCAAATGTCAACTTACCAATTTACAGTTAAAGTTTAACCAATACACAGAATGAAAAAATGATACAAAAAATGAAAATAATATGCTCCGTTGTTATTTACACAAATGCCACTGTCTATATCCTAGGTATATTGCTGACAGGAATATTGCCCAAAGCCAAGAAATAATTATATTTTTATAGCCAACCCGAGAGTATCATTGAGTTCAGGCAGAAGCGTTATGACTCATACATGTATGTAGCATAGATGCTGACTAGTATTCAGGGATTTTCATGCATTTCCAGAGGAGCATTTCAAACCAGAATTGTATGTGTTGAAAAGATTACGATCGACGTTCTGCTTGTGGGGTTTCTAATTTTGTATGCTGTCAGTTAGGATTTAAATTTTCCCCCTATACACGGCTGTTATGTGGGATTTTCAAACACTGTAGCCCCCTCAAAGAGGCCACAGCCACCTGCTGGAATCCTTGAAGGAAGACCCGCTTTAGGACCCCGTCTTCCACCTTATAGGGTGCCCCAGGTGTTCTCAGCCTAGCTAGTAGCTACTCTGTTGTTAAAACAAAGTTCGTGAGAGATTTCTTTTAGTAGTTGGACTTGGTTCAAATCCAGCCTCTTGCAAAGGGCGGGTCGGCAACAGAGGTCAAGGACAGGATTGCCCAGGGGATGTGCAGACATGGCAGTCACATGATAATGATATTTCAGACAGTTTTGACAGCCAGACTGCAAGTGTGTGGACGACAACAGCAGATGAGAAAAAAATAATGGCTATTTGGCATGAAGAAAAAGAGTGCACTAATGAAATTTTAAGGACAGAAATCCTGCAATGATAGTCCACAAAGGACAAAAGGGTAAAGTATTTTCAAGGACAAAGGGCCATATTTATACAATACAAACCTTTTGAGAGAAGATTTCACAGAAAGTATGCCTATATAGCTTGCCTTTAGTCTTTATTTCTACCTGCATAATGTTGTGTAAGCATGCAGCAGTATTTCAATCCCTGGTTTAGCATTTTTCCCTGTATCCCAAATGCATTATCTCTGAAATAGATCTGCATAAACTACAATAATAACCCAAAGTATTTCATATCAACTATGGTATTTTGATTTGATGGACAACATCCTCCACTGAAGAAATATTCAACCATACCAATATGTCTCATCAAAGTACGGGTTTTTGAAACATATTCATGGCGATGCGATATAGACATGGCTTCGTCTCAAGGTGCCCACCAATTACCGTAACCTAATTATTCACAGACACAGGATGAGATAATGTAGTTTCAGTCAATGCCAATACAAGCTCTTTCCTTCACACCCCAGCAGTTTGTTTCCCTTCAGTAGCTTAAAAATGTGCAAGAACTACTCTATAATGTCAGGGCTCAAAATCCTTTTTCTGCATACCTGTACTGGTGCTTGTAACATTGAAATCTACCTGCACCAGACAAGTTTTACCTGCACCACTCAGAATTTAGGATGTACGGATCACACTAAAACTGTTCAGAAACCTTTGCCATTATTCCTTTTACACTTCATAGATGGTATCAGTCAATACAGCTAATGAAACCCACATATATCTTCATGTATCTAAACCCTATACATGGACCAGTGCGGGTTAGATGCAGGTAAACAACAGAAATACCTGCACAGCCCCAGTTTTACCTGCAGAATTTCAAGCCCTGCCATGTAATGATTGATACTACTGCCTGTGAATTCTAGTTCTACCCTCCTTGGTGTGGGCGTGGTCGTATAATAAAACAAAGCTCTTGGCAGCTGGGTTAACGTTTCAAACCCACGACCACTAGTAGTACCCACCACCGTACATCATTGTGACCTGAAATTGAACGCCTGAAGTTGGGTGTAGAGGAAGTGACTACATGTATAGATTGCTAGTTCAGTACATATTGAGGTTCGGGTGAGGACAAGACAGATTGAATTCTAATACCGCAGATATAGCTGCCAAGAGGACAGCCTGGATCACAGGAAAAGCATACATTTTCACATTTCTCTTTCAATACTGCAAGATGTACATAGCCCTGCCCAGATGGGCTAAATGAACATGTGACCATATGTGGTCTAGAGGAGAATTTAGTGAAAATAGATTGCCTTGGAACATTAATCTAAGAACTGAATAAATGACGTCTATGCAAAAAATCTATACATATTCTACTCCTACTTATGATGATATAGTAGAATGTTGTGTATTCGGATCCCTTGTAATGTATACTACAATTTTATCACATGAAGTTGAAATGAAATGATGTCTACCAGAAGATTTGCCATGTCATCACACCAGATTGGATCTAAAAATAGAATCAGTAGATCAATGAGATTTTGCTCCTTACAGTCAGATATGTACAAATCCCTGACTTGGCCACATAATCATGTAATATTACGTGTGATACTGAAAAATCACAGTGTACTGCAGGGACCTCCCTAAACAATGGAGCAGTGGAGCTCCTCCACCCAGTCCTTATCTCAGCTCCACCCTGTTAATTTTCAAAACTAGTGTTTTTACACCCTTTTCCAGGGTTCTTTGGTCAAATTTACCGATATTTCGCACCCTCCTCCATTCTGTCCTAAATTTCTGGGGAGATCCCTGTACTGCCAGACTCTAATGATGTAAATAGCTGCAAAAAATTAGAAAGCAATCAAAACATGGCAAAATAAAACTTTTGTCTAAAATCTGAACACAGATCTGTGGATACATGAATGTATGAGTAGGTATTGCAATGAGGCATCCTGCTGGAATAAAGGCAGTCTCAGCCAGTGCCAGCCAGTCTATTCACTCGAGTCAAGGGGCTAGTCAGGTGACCAGGTTGATCTACGTAAACAGCAACATTACGCCTTCCTTTCACCTGTAGCTAACTGCCGTGAGAATCAGTACTAAATTTACCAAGAAGCAAAGGATTGAAATTCAGCCACATAGAAAGCCCTTTTCATCTGTACTTTTGCTGAGGATGACATTCAGCATTTGTATGCAAGTCGTATACCACCATTTTAGTAGAAAAAGACACCTGTTTCCATCTAGGGACTTCTGTACATGCATATTCCTACATGTAGCGTTTGTTCCTGTAAATAGGTCATTTCTCCAGGGGTAAACAACATAAAATCTGTACTCAATGGATGCCAGTATGTAGGCCGTTTACCTATAAATAGCAAAATCCAGGCGGCATTATAATGTAGCAGCAAGACAACATTCCCAGGGTTGCATTTTATACACACTCAATTATACCATGTCAATCAAATTTGAATTCTATTGTTGTGAATCGGAAGTTATTGAAACCTCTCTCTGTATAGACACTTATTCCACGGATATTTGCAAACCGCAAAATGACATAAAAACATACAGGAACCAGTTCACCACAACAGCCATACTATTGAAGTGTCCTGGTAAAAAAAATGGTTGCTGTATCAAAGTCCAGTGTATTTTGAGGCTTACTAGTCACACAGTGTTTGGCAAAAACACTTTGAGCTGACCACGCACCAGCACAATAACGAAACAAACATACCACTAGGTGGGAGGTCATTCTAACACGCAATGTTAGTATTTTCAAAATTATGCCTTCACCAAAAATGAAAACAAGAACTTCTGACAGGAAAAATTCATATATGTATTACCTGCTCGAAATAAGCCCTCTTCCTAGAATCATTTTGGGGCATACTTCATTTCAAAACTTTATTGAACAAATATGCAATAAAAAAACAATATTGCACATAGCCAAGGCCACTGACCCCTAGCTATGTGTCAGAATATAGGATGGAGAAGTCTAAAAGTAAAAGGGTGACCGTGAATAACCTCCCATTTTCAAGTTTTTGGCTAACTGAATTGGAAGCCCGGATCTGGACATAGTTGGATTCACAATCATTGTCTGAAGTTCTGAACTGGATCCAAAATAAACATTGTAGAACAGAAATAGGTATGACCTAACCAGATATTACTGCATAAAAATTTGCATATGTTGAATACAATACCATTTCATCATCAGTCAATGTATCAAGATGCTAGTATTTAACTGATATTATCAGGAAAAAATTTGAAGTTTGATATCTACTTTCCTGTTAGTGTTATTACCTTACCTGACCTTATTAAGTTATTTGTTCTCAAGATATCAATAATTTGTGGGAGTCGCACGTTATGAACACCTGTGTGCTGTCCATTATATAGGTGTGACCTGGGTAAAATTGGGCCCTACCAAACAGTATAAACTTGCCACTGAAGAATATTTAACAAGGAAAACATGATGTATCAGGCCAAGGAGAGTGATTTCTAGCCCTGTATGGTCAGGATCACTTTCATATTCATATTCAGAGAAATTATGTCACTGCAAAGCAATTCTCATCCATTCTCCATAAAATATATGGAGAAGGAAACCCAATTTCACGAAAATAAAGCCTAGCATATGAAGACACCTTCTAAAATGCATTTATTGCACAAATGCTGACATTCTGATTGTAATATATGACCAAGACATAAGCTCTCTGGGAGTCCCTTCTGTTCTCAACCCCTTTCTGTAATATCTGACCTTTTCAATATTCTGGCAGTCACCTGCATGTGGATATACATTAAATCAGCTCTGGCGTTGACGAGAAAATGTTGGTGATTTATATCATATATATAATTCCTCTTTGGCAGTTTTTTTCTTGTCATCCACAAATAAGAAAATGCTTCCCCCCAAAGCTCATGTCTCCTTCTGTTAGAAAAATGTTTTTTCTTCACTGTTTGCGCTTTCGCTTCATACCCGCATGAGCCCTATACCTGACTCAGATTCAAAAATAGATCCGGTGAATTCAAATCAAGCAAATCTATTGAGTACTGTAAAATTTTGTGGTATGAGAAAAATGGGCATATTCACAAAACTATTATCAGTATATGTTCGTGGAAGCAGCAGGTGCAGAAGAAGGAAATTCAGTGAATTATTTGTTTGTGGTGATGATAAATGTGCGGTTCGGAAGTGACCTTGAAAACGTGAATATAAAAGTACCGCCATGCCGTGAATATAAAGGGATTTGCGGTAACAATTAAAACAGGCTTATTTACAATATCAAAGCTGCCCTTGACATGAACTGGTACAGCCAACATTATAGTATATGCAAGATGAAAAGGTGGACTTTGTTCCAAAGAAAACCATGTCAAACTGGCTAGGTACATGTATGTTCCTGTTTTTTTTCTTCTTCTTTTTTTTTCAATTCACTGCCATACTAAAATGTCAGTTTGGATGCATTACTGTGCATAATTAGCCTTACCACTAACACTGAGTCATATTATAACATAGAGGGCAAGCCCACAGTCCATACAGGAGACAAATTCGCTGCTTGGCACTTGTTGCATTATCAATATCTATAAATGTCATACAAAATGTGTCAAGGACCCAATAACCAGAGCTAAGGCCATATCGATTTGGGCGGGACAATTTTTGCTGCAATATTTTAAATAGGCTTCCTATTTTGATGGTGAGAACAATTTCTTTTGGGAGGAAAATTGGACAAATGACGATATAAAATGTACATCTGACACACTACCATCCAATTGAGAATATTGACAAGTATTTTCACTGGGAAGAATATTTTTCTCTCTTTGTATACTGCAATTCAGGTAGTGCTTTTTGTAAAAACTCATTTACTGGATCCTTCTTCCTGTGAAATAGATATATTCACAGCTGTGAAGCTTTGACATTTTTTTGTATGAATCTATGATATAAAATTTGTATTAATGTGATGGTCAGCTTCCAACCATTAATATTTTTTTGACATGCAACAAGTGCCGTATTTCTGCCTGAAAATTATGATGTGGTAGGTTCTCAACTTGATTGTTTAATCCTTTCCTTCCGATGCACCAGATTTGATTATTGATTAATGCATAAGTCAGGTGGAACAGGACTATGTAGACAGTAGTCCTTTACTTAAGACATATATAAAGTATGGAAGTATTTGATCACAGATTTGCAATGGAAATGTGTATTTACTTTCAGCAATGCAATGTAGCCTATATTACAGGTAAGTAGCAGTGGTAGCTATCCCACACATACATACATTTCACTAATTTTAGTAGTTTGTTCTTGTGAGTCTGTATAGTACATAATGTATAATATGATGCTTGGTTGCTGTTGTATTCCATGTGCACACAAAACATGTTGTAATAAGCCACACCTAACAAGGAGTCTTGTACTAAGTACACAAGAAGAAGAAATACAAAATTAATAACATCAGCCATTATGATTGAAAGATTTTCTGTCACCATTTCATTTGCCCTACATTCTGAACTTGATCCAATTCCAAGAAAGATCTACCTGAAATTGGATTAAACTTATATAATCATCTGCTGAACTAAGAGTAAGACACCGTCACACCAGCATTTCTTTCTGATTCTGAAATTAGGTGGACAGGCCTCAAAGTCTATCAGAAAGATTGCTTCAGTAAAAAAATCATTGGATTTGCAAATGCAGTGAACCCGAACTTGTGGTACTATTTACAGCCTTGTACCATCCCTGTTAATGACCCATGCATTCAGAAGATGCACACAGTTATTACGTGATAATATCTGCACTTCTATTATAACATTCTTGCAAGATCAAATGAGATGATAAAACCAAAAACTCGTCTAGCAACCAGTCAACCAAATCTTGAGGAAACAGATCCAGACACTTCAAGTCTAAAATCTTTCCAAACTGTAACCTGCCTGAAGAATGACAATTTGAGTTATTTCAGTATTTGCACACCTGCAGTCCAAGTGCAACAGGTATATATTTCTAGTACGGTACATGCTATATGTGATCACTTCATAGCTAGTGGGGGTGAACTTGAATCTTTGGTTCTTTGGGTAGTGCCGTGAATTCTTAAATGTGATAGAGCAGAAAAATTATACAGGCTCATGTTGAAGACAAATATTTTCACCCAACATCACAGATGGCACAATTTCTATATTTCACACCACTTCTAAATAAATATAAATATCTTTTAATACATTCAATGATTCAAGAGGAGTGTTGAAAAATGTGACAATTCATACTCCTGTACCACTTGAAGTATCTTCTAATAGGTTCTGAATGATGCTCAGTTTATAGATGTATGGACAAGACAGCTCAGTCTGTGATCAGACGACATCGGGCAGGGAAAAACGCCAGAGAAAAAGAGCTGACCTACTGTCTTTTATTCACCTTCTGCAAGCCATGCACTGAATACAGCTCCCCCAAACGACAGCCACTCCCACCTAAGTCTACTTCTCCCCACGTAGATCGATTTTTGACACAATTCTAAGACGCAGACTGACCAGAGAGGTCAGAAATTAGGTGGACAGGTAGGGGGACGGGCTGCCAGGTACGTGTTATCGTGCAAACAGAAAAAAATGGCGTCATTGGAAACACAGTCGGGTCACCTAAAGGCCAAATACACCGTATACACCCCCTTATATACCGCTATGTTTCCTCAAAATATCACCTATGATATCTTAAGAGACCGTTTGTATGATTTAGAGTGTTGTACGGTGCCTATGATCGCTGTTTGGTGTGCAAACAGGGAGGTTGTACGGCGAAGGTTGTACAACATCGCTCCGAAAACATGGAAGCTTGTTTCCAAGGATGCCCCCAGTTGTTACGGTCCCATTCTCCATAAATATACCGCCGATCGCCTGCATATTTTCCCAGAAGATACTTAAGATCATCAAGACTTACCTAGTATTGTAATTATCCCTCTGTTTGGTCTGCAATAATGAAACTATTGGAAATTTTAAAAGGATGCTTACTTGGAAGCTGGCGCGTCGGCTTTTCCGCGGGCGAAACCCTGATGGTAATTGGTTTGTCACCGTCACGTGATGACTCGTGCCAAGCCGAGATGGCACGAGATCTGTGATTGGTCCATCTGTGTAAAAAATGAAACGTCACTGTTAGTTTTTAGCAATATTTGGGCATAATTCATACATTTGGCATCACCCGAGTATGCCTTTATGGCAAAAATTATTTCATAACACATGAAAAATTGGAATTATGCAACTTTTTTGACTATGATTATTGATCCCATGATGCTCTCATGTAAAATGGCTGCCGCTTGTGACTGACGACGAAGATTGCGGAATATTTTAGACAAATTTTAGTGTATTCCGTCCACCTACGCACCCTGTTCCTGTAGGAAATGGCGTACCGTCTACTATCATCCTGCCAGACGTCTTACTTGCGGCAGTTGGGCAGAAACTGCCTCAGAAATGCGAAACGAAATGAGCCAATATTGCGTCAGGCAAGTTCTTCCACTCGTTACATAAACAGGAATGCGCGGTCGTTCAACTTGTCGGACTTGCAAAACAGTCTGATTCCGTGCCTGGATTGTACTACTAACCGGCTGGGACACAGGACCGCGGCAAGACTCAACAGATATGTACAGGTTTGTATTGTTTTCCGCTTTATTTTGTCTGCAAGATATTTTTTCCAGACACTTTCAAGGAACATTATGGAATTGTGTTTACGTAATAAATTATATGCAAATGATTACACAAGGATGTTACTGTTTGGTAAACATGGCGCATAGGTCACTTCTTGTTTACGATTGGGTGATTTTGGCCTTTTGAATATTTGTAATATATACAATGCTTGTAGAAAATGCTGCCTTATGACTGATAATTTTGCTTTTATGTGTATCAGAAATATGAAAATTATGAAATTATTTATCTATTTTAGTTATTTATTTATTTATTTATTAATATCAAAGGAACTAGTGAAGAAACGAGTGATCAGTCACTGTTTTGTTTGCCAATTACAAGTTACATCAATTGCTGTCAGGGCATAAATGCCCATGCTCACTGTAACTTTGATGTCATCATATTTTCTATACAGGAAACAGTTCGACAAGTTCAGGCAGAGTACAGAGGGATCTGTCGTTTACTCACCAGATCTGGGATGGAGGTTCCACAAAGTGTGGTCAGCAGACTATTTGGCATAGGTATGTGTAACCAAATTATGTACATGCAACACACTATGTAATAGGAACACTGCCTAAGGTAAAGAAAATAATGACAATTTCAATTCAACTTTTTTTTTACTTTGGCTAACCTTGGGCATTTTATGCCATGATAAGACTTATCATGGCATAAAATGCCCAAGGTTAGCCAAATTAAATTAATGTTGAGTTTCCTAGTATTATCTGTCTTTCTTGATGTCGTTGACAGCATGAACAAGACTGCATTTCTGTGCTATATACTAGTAGATACCATGTGTAACCATCATGGTAACCAGGATTCCTAATTTTTCTCCAGGCTTACTACAGTTCCTGAGAACAACCCCCAGCCCACAACAACAACGTCCAGGTGGCAGACCTCCTGGGCAACAAGGAGAGGATGATGGTACGATTTTTATGTTAACTCTTCTCTTCAAACTTTTATGTACACCAATATATATCAATATACACAGACATAAGGCCCTAAAGTGTTTCTGATTTCAGTCCAGAAAATATTAGGGTCGGTAGGATACTGGACAGTGACCGTATTTGTATCTGCTTGGACACAGGTCAACAACAGCCGAACGATGACAACTTGAACAGGCTGAGATTCGTGGTCCTTGTCTTCTTCCTACTCTCCTTGTTCTTCATGCAAGGTCAGAACGACGGCGGGCGCATGGTGTCATGGCACGAGTTTGTACATGACATGCTGGCAAAGGGAGAGGTAAATCATCATGATACAGGGTTCCAAATACATGTACATTCATGAATATTTCGGGTGCATAATGTCTGATTAATGATGTATGTCATCAGTCAACCGTATAGGTCTGGATTGATACAGGTGGATATTACCCTTTGATACCCCTGCATACATATATGTACATGTACATGTATTACATGCTTCTTACCATATGTTCTCCCAGGTGAGTAGTGTGGATGTGGAAGACTCAGATGTGGTTCGTATCCACCTCCAGCCTGGAGCTCAGGTGTTTGGACGTAAGGTGAGCTAAGACTCATTTACTTGTTTTTTTTACTATTGTTAGTAGTTCTAGCCATTCATTCTCTGAAGTATCCCTCAAGCAGCTTTTTTTAAACTGCAGTTACTTCTCAAACCACAGACTACAAGACTAAAGAGCCCAGCATTTTAAACCATTAGACTCTAGATCCTATATAGTAGAGAGGATTCATTCTTCCAGCTAACCGACATATCGCACACGCAGTCGTCCGTCAGTAAGACATCTGGAGCCTCATTATATTTTCTCCCAGTTTAGAAATTTTATTCAGCGATTATAGATCCTACTCAGAGAACACTATGCCATCTTTGTATAAGGGTTAGCACTGCACAGTTGTCTAGTTTTGTTAAAGAGTTGCTTGTTTTTTTCTGTGCCGCAGCACTACACCAGTACAGTATACTCCATGCGGGTGGGAAACACAGAGACGTTTGAGGAGAAATTGAGACGTGCGGAGGACGACCTTGGCATCAACCCTCAGGATTATGTCAAGGTCACCTTCAGCCATGTTGGTGCCGGGACCAGGTAATAAGCCAAGAACGTTCCTCCCATGACAGATGTGAATTTTGGCACTGGGCCATTAAATCATGTCAGTAGACTAAGTAAGTGCCAATAGAATTGCAGTAGGCGCACATAAGTAAGAACTGCAAATACAATGCATTTATGAAACATAGTTAAGTGGTGTGTGTTTAGTCATTTAGCATTGAAATAGTTATCAAGAAATGAAGAGATTGTCTATGTAGAAGCCACTAAAGTTAGGTATACAAAGTCTGCCTGCTTTAACCTGAATGCTTGTTAGACCTGTCCATCAATGAACCAATAAGAGCGTGGCTTTGTTGTGTTCCTCCAGGTTGATGTCCACCCTGTTGATAACCGGGGCCCTGCTGGGCAGTTTGATGCTGGTCATGATGTTTGTTGCCAGAAGTGCCATGAACCAGGGAGGCTTGGGAGGATTTGTAAGTACTGTTGAAACTGCTTGCTTCTGCTTTTTGATAACTTAAAAGCTTGTCTATATCCTGAGTTGCCATGAAAACCTATGTTGTTGTTTTTTTTGTTTCCCCAGGCTCAGATGACTCAAGCAAGGTTCACCCAGTTTGGTGCTGGAGGAAAAGTTCCCAACGTGAAGTTCTCTGATGTAGCTGGTCTGAAGGAAGCTAAACAGGAGGTTATGGAGTTCGTAGACTACCTCAAGGTCAGTGTCATCTTACATTCCTAGCCAGCGTCTGTCTTTCCATCATTTGATAGAAAAAACTTTTGCCCAATCTGTCATCTTTGAAGGGCAAAAATGGAAAGAGATGTCATTAAACTAAGCTTAGTCTACCAGCAAAATTTGTCCCTTAATATTGAGGAAATGCTCAGCTCCAAAATTGGGTGCAACAAGGTGCACATGCCCCCAGTACTATAGTATTTCGAGCCCTGATGCACCTTGGGGCATATATTTGCATTAAAGATGAATGTTGACCCTCTCTGTTCTACAGGCCCCCAAGAGGTATCTGGACCTGGGTGCCAAGTTCCCTAAAGGTGCCCTTCTGCTGGGCCCTCCTGGGTGTGGGAAGACTCTCCTGGCTAAGGCAGTGGCTACGGAGGCACAGGTACCCTTCCTGGCCATGGCAGGGTCTGAGTTTGTGGAGATGATTGGCGGTAAGTACTACACTATGAAAGAAAAATCCTCTATCTTTTCACCTCTTCACATCATATCTTTTCTGCCCAATCATACAATTCAATGATATTGCATATTCACTCCCTAATATTGTTATGGAGTGTGATACATTTGATTCAACTTACCATATTGGTATGACCAAAAAATTGACTTCAAACACTGTTCAAATCTTACAATTACATTGATTATTATTGATGTACCTATATTGTAGGTCTGGGTGCTGCCAGGGTTCGTTCACTGTTTAAAGAAGCCAGGAAGAAACACCCCTGTATTATCTACATTGATGAGATTGATGCTATTGGCAGGAAGAGAAGTCAAGGGTAAGTTTCACAGAATATAATACAGAATATAAAGGATATGCTTTTTTTAGTTTTCTGTACCAATGCAGATGTTTGGGATGAATTTGGATATTCTTATTTTTTAAATGTATGTGGAAGAATAGCACAGTAGCTGCTATAGAAATATGACATTTGTTCTGTTTTGCTACAGGAACTTTGATGGTAGAAGTGGAGAAGAGGAACAAACGTTGAACCAGCTTCTAGTGGAAATGGATGGTAAACAAGCACCTTCATGATATCAGATCAGGCACCTTTATAATATCAGGTCAGGTATCTTTATAGTATCAGATCAGGCACTTTTCATGCACCAACTTGGACAGCATCCCTGTATGAGATCTGGCTTCTCTCATGTATGGTCCCTGAAGTGAATGCAGTAAAATTGTTTGCAATCTTAGCGTATACGAAAGTTTTCTCTTTACAGGCATGGGAACTGAACAGGGTGTGATCGTTCTGGCTTCCACCAACAGGGCAGATGTGTTGGATGATGTAAGTTGTTTTACAGCCCAAATCAGTACTGTTGTCATTACTGTTCATTGCATTCTGTTTTTTTAACCTTTGTGTTACAGTGATGTCATACATGTACTTGATAATGTGTTTCCACAGAATCTTGCATTTGTTGAACTTCAGCTACACAAAGAGCATTCCATATCTGATAAACTCTATTTGCACAGCTTTGCTTGAAATTTTTCCCACCATAGTATGATGGAATAAAGTTTAGCATTGTACTAGTACTATGACTATGCTTAAATTGTCAATGAAAGATCAAGTTAAAGCTGACACTACCATACACTTTCTCCAGGCCTTGCTGAGACCAGGCCGCCTAGACCGGCACATCCTGATAGACCTCCCGACCCTGGCCGAGCGTAAGGAGATATTTGAGCACCACCTGAAGGCCCTGACTCTGAAGAGACCCAGCTCGGCCTTCTCACGACGACTGGCTGAGCTCACCCCCGGCATGAGTGGTACGGTCTATTTCTGTGCTGTATACAGGCTTTTCATTGATTTGAATCCGCTGGTGACCATGTTGGAGTACAGCAGCAGCATATTGGCATGGTGAATAGTGGTACAATATACTCCAACATGTCAAAAATGATGTCACATGAAAAGCCTGAATCGTATTAAGGTGATTTCATGGATGAGAGAACTCCAAAGGCGTGCAGATAGTCTGTCAACACTGAACTGCCAAAGAAGTTTTAGGGAGGAAAAATGGATTGGACAAAAAGGCAAGAAGGGGGGGGGGGGCAAAGCAGACTATGTGGAAATGACAGAGGGATAGACACTTATGGAAACAAATGAAGAAGAAGTCATGCCACAGTTGTGCCAGGCAAATTCAACAACATCTAGAGTTTGCATCATGCATCACTTTATAGGTTACTTGCAGCATGCTGTATTTTAGCGGTTTAACCTATTTCCTTTCTCTGTATCCAGGCGCCGATGTTGCCAACATTTGTAACGAGGCAGCTCTCCACGCAGCCAGGGAGAACAAGAAAGTAGTGGACACCCAGGACTTTGAACATGCAGTGGAGAGAGTTATAGGAGGTACAGCGAAGAAGTCCAAAGTGTTGAACCAGGAGGAGAGGAAGGTGGTGGCCTACCATGAGTCAGGTCACGCCCTGGTGGGGTGGCTACTGGAGCACACTGATGCACTTCTCAAGGTGTGGAGGAATCTCAGTTGACTTTATTGAGATATGCTTCAGCCCCTTTATGGGCCTACTGTGTTATATCCAGCATCCGTCTCTCTGTTATTCGACGGAATTTTGCCAACCAGGACAGACAAAAATTTTGCCCAAATTGTCATCTTTGAGTGACAGCCAAAATTCGTTGCCATTGATTCTCAAGCTGATGACAGTTAAGTCAAACAAAGTTGAGATGACAAAAAGAATAACAGGCAGGCAAGAACACTGATCTGAGGACTGAAATCAGATTGGTTTGGTCTAAGATATAGAATATGTGATCTGATGTGTCTGTTTCTACCCCAGGTGACCATAGTACCCAGGACATCAGCAGCTCTGGGGTTTGCCCAGTACCTACCCAAGGAACAGTACCTCTACTCTCAGGAGGAGGTAAGGTCTTCTCTGAGAAAATACTGTGCTTTCTTATTTTTCACAGTACAAATGTACTTGTTTGCTTGTTTTGTGGTCACTTCTGTACTGCAAACGTATCATTAACATGGACAAATCTTTTTTTTTCTGCACCTGCCACCACTGCAACATATAGTTTCTGTGAACACCTCATTTTTCTCAGACCATGAACTTTTGCTACATGAACATAAAGTGAATTACAGTGTGCTTCAACATCTGCATAGTGAGTAAGCAAGCATTGACAAGCTGCATGCACTACCAACAATACAAAAAGTGTTTCCTTTTCTTTCTTTTTTGTCCCACATGTATTGCACTGTTGCAATTTCAATAAATCAAATCAAACCTGGTCAAAAAAATGCTTATATGTTACAATCTCTGTCAGTACTAAATATGAATATCATAATAATAGAAGATTATGATGACAGTTTTCTTTCTTGTTTGTTTTCCCAGTTGTTTGACAAGATGTGCATGGCCCTGGGTGGGAGGGCAGCTGAAGCCATCATCTTCAACAGGGTCACTACAGGTCAAGTCTCTCTGGATGATATTTTAACCCTTAGGGTCTAAGTCAGCAGTGTACATGTAGCAGTACCAGTTTTGTGCATAGACAGTTGAACGTTAAACCTGTCTGACATAACCATACCGGTAGTAGAATACACAGCCCCAGAACGTTGACATCAGTGATTTATTTGCATACATTTAATAAGTATCTGGTAAAGAGCACAATTTTTTGAAGTTTCTTGCTTAAATAATGCCTTTTACTCAAGAATACAAACGTAGAACAAGAGTGAAACACAATGACAAAATGTATACATAATTACAAAGTGGATAGAAGAAAATGAATGTAAAGAAGCAAGTTGCTGATCTATCAATTACAAGAATGTTTACAGTCAATAAATGTTTGAACTGTGTCAAAGAAGTTTTGTATATGTGAAAGTGACGTGGACCCTTGTAGCAGTAAAGAGAAGAGCATAATGTACTGTCATTGAAATGCTGTAACTCCACTATATTGGTGATGTAGTAAGAAGTGATGGAAAGCAAATATTAGTACAATTCAGAATATGACAGACATTGTTATGACTGACATTTTCACCTTTGTTGTGCAGGAGCCTCAGACGATCTGAAGAAAGTGACCAAGATGGCGTACGCTCAGATTAAACAGTTTGGGATGAACCCTAACGTGGGGTATCTGTCCTTTCCCGAGGAGGACAACAACGGACTGGGCAAGAAACCCTTCAGTAAATATCTGGCCGCTCTTATGGACGAGGTAGGGGATAGAAAAATTTAAAAAATACATTTGTAACTGTGTTCATGTAGAATGCATTTAACTCGAAGGGATCAGTTGGGTTTGTTGTTTTTTTATAGCTTACACCCAACAGCTTGAGGTCCTTTCCTCCATCTTCTGTTGAGAGCACTGCGCTTCTCTGTTTCCTTTGACTTATTTTGCATTCTATTTAACATTTTTATCAGGAGGCAAGACGATTGGTTGCTAGAGCTTACTACCAGGCGGAGAAGATTCTTGTGGACAACAAAGATAAACTGGATGTGGTGAGTCAATTTTCTGTTACTGAGTTACATCGTAAATGGTAAATACTGGTGCTGTATGTTAGGGTCAAGTATATAATGTATCTTTATGGTTTTCTCTAAGAGCCCACTGCTAACATAAAATTGCTGCGAATAGTACAGAATTTATGGTATTTAATGACTGTTCTGTCCTGTTTTCCCAGCTTGCTGAAGCCCTGCTTGACAGAGAAGTGCTGAACTACAACGACGTAGTAGACCTACTGGGCCCCCCTCCCCACGGGCCCAAGAAAACAGTGCAGGTGGCCGGCTGGGACTTGGACGATGGGGACGACGCCCCCTTGCAGGTCGGCGACAAATCGCAGCCTAAACCTCCACAAGTGCCTGAGAATGAAAAGTCTGCTGCATGATGAAAACATAGAACTAAGAAGCTTCTTTTGCTGTGTTTACATGTTGTCTTATACACTGCATAGCGGTGCACTGTACTGTGGCTTTGTTTGTGTTTCAAATTGTCATGCTACTTGCATCTCTGTTCCACCTTTTGTGTACATTTTGCATGATGTAGTAAGATTTCGTTTTCCAAAATTATCAATGAAATTATTCTCAAGAAAAAAGTTTAGAGGAATTTTCCATGCTATATCTTATTTTGCAGTACACAACTATAGGTGTACCTGTATCATATACCGGTAGAAGGTAGACTCACTGCAATATTCTTACACCCACTGCATGACCAAATGCAGCATGTGCACACTGCACTGCTTATCATTTAATGATATTATAGGAACAATGTTTCCAACTTGAGCCATGGCTTGGGTAGCAAATACATGTAGCTCAGCTGAATGTTCTATTTGCATGTTCTACTTTGTATTTACTAGTGGTGATTTTTGTAACATGTGCATCTCAATTGTAAGATTGCCATATATTATTATATAATGTTCATTGAATATGTTTGAATATGTATATGTATATGTACATTTAAAGCTTCATGTATCATACAATGTTTCCATTCATATCTTGCTGTTTGAAAATTATTTATGTTTGAGCTCAGAAATACATGTACTAGTAATGATAGCATATTTATAAGTTATAAGAGTGCCATATTTTCCACAATTTTTATGAATCACAAGCTGAATTAAACATTGATTTCTTCATACAAATTCATCACTTAGTGTTCCTATGTTCCCATTTATTTCAATTTCTTTACTACTGGTACAACTTGAGTATGACTTGTCCTTTGTATGAAATACTAGTAAAAATTCTCTGTCAGCCAACTAAATACTTCTTTTAACTGTGTAGAAATTTTAATGTAACTTTCAACTTTAGGGAGCAACACTAACCAACAAGACTGGGTATTTACATTTTGTATTTAAAATCTTTTTGGCAATTTTGGATTTTTAAAGGCATAATGTTGTTAACACGAGAATTATCTTGATGTCTTGTCCCCGACCATTTGAAGAACCTGAGTGCAGGTGTGGAAGAAGACAAGCCCATAACTGCAGCTGGCAGCGTGAGCCAGGATTCGAACCCACAACCTTGAGTCACTGGGTGAGTCAGGCAACACATACCAAAAATGTAAACAAAATTTTTGTGTGGCCTTGCCTATGTTTAGGCCACACCAATTTGATTTGTTGGTTCTGAGATTTTCTTCAGAAAAAGTATGAAGCAACAGTGGAAAAAAAATAAAAACAGGCCTAGGCATCCTATGATAGCTGCAAATGCTATGATACCAGGCTGGTTTGTAATTCTAACTATGAATTTTGGACTTTGAACCAATTGATCAAATCGGTGTGACCTTTGTATTCTACAATGCCTGTGCATGCCTGTATGCAGTACCGACATTGGGCATCAGGTGGCGCTCAGTGCCTTATCAGCACTGTCCAAGAGTCGTCACAGATGCTTGTCTGTGCTAGTGATACAACACAGATGACTGTTACTGAGAATGTACCAAACGATCTGGCCTATTTGATTACAGTGTACTGTTTAAGAAGAGACATTGTTAGTTAAACTGAGGTCCTTTAGGGAACCAGACACTGCTGCTAGTGTTACCAAAGGGCTGAGTATGGGAATGTGAAGAATTTATATACAAGATTTAAAGTAAGCTCGCACCTGTAACCTCCCTGGCACTGCTATAAAGTCTACAGACCTGTAAAACTGATCCCAACATTTAGTCGGAGATTAGGACTGGGTGCTTGAGTTGAATAAGCACTGTTGTCAACTGTGTATGTACAACTATTTAACTGTAGTGCCTACCTAGATCCTTCGATGATATAAAATGAACTAAAGGTTTCAGACTATAACATGCCAATAGAATACTGTGGCAATGTAAAAGTCCAGAAGGAAAAACCATATTTAATGTTGTCCCCTCCCCCCACATATAAAAAAACGTTTTATTTTTCAATTCTATTGTACGTTTTTAAGAACACATATAAGCTGCGGAATGTCACAACGTATTGTATGTACAGTAGAACTACTTTATGTAACAGATTTGTACCGAAAATTGAAGTATTCGTGTGATTGTAATTTACTTCCAATTTTGTACATGTAACATATTTGTGCAATCATTTCTGACATTTATGCTTGTGACTAAAACACTGAGCTTACACGAGGCGCACTCAAACTGCTGGTGCCACCACAAACTACTAGTACCAGAATGTAAACAAACATGGCTGATAGCTGTGTTTCTAGCTTTTAAACACACTCGTAATGCGTCATATTTTTGCACCTCCACTTCCTGAAATGGCACTTATTTGCAATGGATTACATGACCAGAAAAAATCCTTTTTGTATTGTCCTAATGTTACATAATGCAGCTTTAAAGAAAACTGAAAGCTTCAACTCAGATCTGCTTGATAGACCAGCCTAAGCCTTTGTTTTCCTCAAAAAAACTCTTGAAAAAACTTCGTCTCATTTCTTTCTTTCTTTTTCCTCCTATCTTCTCGCAGGATCGGACTAGCCCTAAACAAAGACTGGATGAGATGAGAACTCAAATAAACACCGCAGCCACATATTTAGACAGCGGAGAGCCGCGCCATCCTGTGTTAGTCACGTTCTCGTGCGGTGCCCGGCGCTTCAAATCCACCTGTTGACTGGTGTGTTTACGTAACGAGGATAGTCTGTTATGTTTCATCTGTTAGGGTGCTGCTCGGTGACTAGATGGGAGTATCTTAGATGTAAATACGTTATCCCAGTGGAGGGATTGTTTCTCACGGATTCTGTAAGTTGAAGAATGCAGATTTGGGCTGGTATGGGTTTGGAATATGTCTAAAGTACTGGAATGTACGATTCAAAGAACTGGGGAAGGACATCAACAAGTGGATTGTATGGATAAAAACGTCGTTATCTTTTACCAAAAATAAGACTTGCATGTTGCCAAAGTTCTTAGTTGACTCTTCTGTATATGCAGTGCTTTTCAAAATATTGTTTTCAGTAGAACCTCAGTAGAATCGGAATAAACGATGATATACGTTGACTTGGGTGTCATTCTCCTTGTTCTAAACTACTACGCTAAAATACATCAGGATTGTGGTAGAAATGGCTCGGTTGGTTTGCTACAATAAAATGCATCTGGATTGTGGCTTTCAACGTTTTGAACTCGCATGTTTTGGTACTAGTATATCTTTTGGTTGGATGTTTTTGTATGAATTTCATTTTGGTCACTTACCATGCCGCACGCTAGATGGCGCTTCATTCATGCGCCCCTTTGGAAAGTGCTTTTCCACAAGAGCGCAGTAGAACAACGAAGTTTTCTAATTTTGAAAATGACTAAAAACTTAAAAGAAAACACTCTATTGAGTTAACCGATACATCATATTCTATTTTTATTTCCAAGCAGATGTAGCTTGCATGTCAAAGAGAGATTTTCGAAAAATGATCGCCAGCGCAAAAAAAAACCCATCTGCTGGCTTGGATAGTAAGTATTTGATTTTATTTCATTTTGATGGCAATCGTTTCTAGAACATGCGCTTCTACTCCGCTCTGTTCATGCCTCTTGAGTCCTGGCCCCGACCCAGGGTCCTAATATGGCAGCTGGATAAACAAAGTTATTTCAATGGCCCAATCAGCATGTGAAAAGCCGCCGCGATTGAATATTCCATCCGCACTGAAATACGACACAACCCCCCGTGGGCTAAGGTCGTCCTACACCACACACACACACACACACACAACGGTCGACTCTTTCAGCAAGCGTTTTATTCAGGAATACGGGAGGTGTTTCTTCCGTCTAAACACCGTCATACGGAGCTATCGTGGCGAAGAGAAGATCGCTGGATGTTATCTTCATGTAGAAGCTGAGGAGGGCTTCGTTTGCGGGAGCAGAAATCGTGCGTTTTCTGAGGTTTGGGGACACATCTGGCTTGGATTTATCCGCTGACTGGGTAAGAGCGCGTGTGTTGAGATGCCTGTTATTGTACTTCTGTCCTCTCTCTCTCTCTGTTTATCCTCAAAAACGCTCCAGAAATTCAGAAAGACCTTCTGGAGAAAATCCTTGTGAAAAATGTGTATTCGGTACCACGACTTCATCGCTTGCTTGTGTACTGTACTAATGCTTGGTTTAGGTTGCCCAGGTCGTGTGCTTCTCTCTGGCTGTAAATTTCTGTCGTATCGCCGGCTCCAGGCCAGCCAGGCCATGCTTGTCCTCCTCACCTCGCTGACATGGCGGCGATATTGCGAGCTGACAGTCGGGCTAGATTTTCGTCAGCATGCAGCTTCATACCCAACCTTTCCAAAACCCCACAAGCAAGCCTAGTGCTTTAAATTATATTCGGCCGTTGGCTTCAGACGTTAATTTTTGCAGCAGTTATGAATCCACGCATCTATGGGTCAAGAGTTGGCTTTGTAAGAGGCAGTCTGAGTACGTGTTAGTATAACTGTTGCGTTTGAGCCCTTGGTTTTCCAGATGTGACTGTGTGCATACAAAACAAACCGGACTATAGCATGGATCCGTTTCTGCTAATTATTAGACCACACGCATGCACATTCATTTCCTAGCTGTAACAGAGCTGAGTTCGTGCGATAATTTTTGTATCAGCTAAAATATTATGCGTGTGTATTCACGTACTCCTTCAGAATCAAGAGACGCTATGCCAGCAGTGTTTTCGTTCCTAGATTTTTTTTGTTTCGCATTATGTTTAGCATCAGTTCCTTTTATAATCCATCTATAAAGAACTACAGTTCATTAAAAAGTCACGGTTTCACGCGTCCGAGTCATAAAAGCCGTCAGGATTTCACACGTAGTCTGCAAAAGCGGAACTACAAATGTGTTACAAGTGTGTGGATGTGTGTTTGCATGTGTGTGTATTGCAAGTCTGGCCAGGCCGTCAGTCTGTGTGCTCAGCAATCTTGTTGAGGTGTCAATGAGGACGAATTAGGGGGTACCGACTTGTGAATGACGGTGTTGAGCAATTGCCTTGTAGTGCAAAAACAAATCATAAATTACTATGAGCTCATCCGGACTAATTGCTTATGACGTGCTTCACCAGAATTGAGAATTACAGATTTTAACGATTTCCCTAATTTCTGTTCCCTAAAGGTATATCCTTCACTTTAAGTATTGAGTATTAGCTTGCTTTTTGTAAGACAGATCTTGTATATGATGTCCATGGACAGATGAAAAGAACTTGTTTCCAAGAGCTGCACAACAGGTAATTTGATCTTGCTTCTTTCTTGTGTAGTCGTCCGGAAGCAAGACGTTTGATTAGAGGTATTTAACGTCGAGGAAAGACGTAAGCTGTTGTGTGCGTGTGTCTCTGTTGTGTGGTTTACAGACAAAATTTAAACCGTCTTGATACAACCGTGTCTGTCCTGTATCTGTTCACTGTCAACCCTGACTTGCTGGGATTAGTGAAGAGAGGTTTCATTATGTAGGGCAGTGGATCGTAAACAAAAGAACCTGGACGCACGTTTGCAACTAATGTCTGACCCACAACACACAGGCGTTCACCGTGCGTTGTACTTATAGAATAGAAATGCCAAATGAATTGCTGCAATTGTGTTTCATACTACTTGTACGTGGTAGTCTACAGGAAATGATTATGATTTACAAAGAGAGCCCCTCCCTGCCTCTTATCATCACGTATGATAACACCAGCCACATGTGGACAGGATCCAAACAGATCTGTGTAACAGTGTATGGTTCGCAAACCTGGTTATTTTGTATAGCCTGAAAATCCAGCCTTGTTGGTCTGCTCCCAGGCAGTAGCCTGGGTGCCAGACTGCTTCCTGGGTCTACACGTACACAGGCCATCGGTTCCAGTGAAACTGGGACGAACCTACTTACCTTGCCAGTGACACACATACCCTAGGCTGTACCCCAAGGAGACTGGTTCGTATCTGAACCAGGGAAACTAGTACTAGTGCGTGACCAGCTATGGAAACGGGACAAGAACTTGGTTATTAGACATCTAGAGTGTTGCCACTCGGAGAGTCTGGCATTCCGGACGTGTAAGGTTTCCCAAATGTGCCTTCAGTCAGGATGCCTGGACAAAATGGTCGGAAGTGTTCAAGTGGTTACGCTATGTAACGCTACACGTCTCCATTCCGTGGGGAAGGACGAATGGTTTGTCCCCCGTCACTCCTACACTACCGATCTGCTAATCTCCAAGCAGATCTTTCGGTGGCTGCCATGCAGTATTTAATTGGCAAGACAGCAGCATCAAATTCGCCAGTATCCAATACACCACCCCACAAAAATATGCCAGTACAAAGAAAGCCCGATAATACACGCCTACAGTATAAATTTTAGTACAAAATTACTTCATTTTCCAGCCTATGAAGATCGTCGATGGAATAATGAACCGTTTTAGTAGAGCGTTTGCCTTTGCCTTATAGGGTTCTACGTAGTATTATTTTTGATAACGTATTATTTAAACCTAGAGAGTTGATGGGAATGTTTTCCTCATCAAACATGAAGTCTGACATTAAAAATACAGTCGAGCAGACAAACAGCAAAGTTCTCAAGTTCGAAAAAGACTTAGACCTCCCCCAGAGACAGTTTAATTAAACAACCAATACTAGTAATCAATCGACCCCACGTAGTCTAGTACACACCCCACTTCAAATACATTCATGTCGACCGGCAGCTGAAAACCTAAACCTCCCCGCTCATATCGCGGCCAGATTGAGTGTTTGCCCCCAAACGCGGCCGCATTGTGTCTTCTTTGCTCACCTCTCCGAGCATAAACTCGATACATGTTGACAAAGTGGCTTAATATGCTTGGGTGGTTACACAGGTGGCCTCAGTACACACACGATACATGTCCCAGTCTGAGGGGTGTCTTTGTGTGCGGTGCTCCGAGGTCTGCTCCAAAGATTAGGGTCTCCGAAAGAGACGCGACGTTCAGTGGAAGAGTTTGTACGTGGCGGGTATTTCTTCTGTATTTGTTCGAATTCGTTAATTTTGCTCGTCTACTTTCTTTGTGAACCTCTCCTTGAAGTGTTTGCTAGATTTACATAGAAGAAACATAGACAGAGAAGAAACACAGAGAATATACACAAAGCAATCTTGTTACAACCTTTTAACAATTTTTGTATTTTCTTCATTCGCATAAGCTGGAAAGCGTAGTTTTTTTAAATGTCTTAGTCAACTTGAAAAGCTGAATAAAGGGAGAAAAGTACAAATGTGATGTTTATACGTTTACACTGTTGACGAATTTCATGTTTGTATTGCATTACATGAAAACCCGCAAAATGTAGAATTCATGAACGTAGATGAAAGGAATTCTTTACATGCTAGCTAAGTTTTTGCGCGGTTTCGCGGTGTTTGGAAAACACAGCACACGAACTGTGGCTCACAGGTTACACCTGTCTGGTCCTGGGGGAGCAGGTCGACTGTATAGCGTTGTTAGGTCGGCTGCAAACTATTTCGTCAATGCGCCTTTTCCAAAACAAGTAAGACATTTGCGAGAGGACACAAAAACAAACAATGGGGTTAATTCCAAAATAGTGTCATTTTATTTTGCACTTCCAATATGTCTCAATATATTCAAGTTATATTCTTGTCACCTATAATTTCTTTAAAATCGTTGAAAAAATTGATTGTGATTGTGATAGCTTATTTTCGACGTGTTTTGTGCGTTTTTATCGGGCTTTTCTTTTTTTATACTGGTATTTTTTGTATTAGATACTGCCCTGCCATTTTCCCACCAAAATAGTATCTGCTTGGGGATTAATTAACGTCAGCAGCCCTTGCCCTTGTACATGTATGATGTACAGCTTACGTCTGTCTGTCGGGTACAAGATAGAGCGACCATGGTACGTACACTGGGGGATGTAAGGCTCGTGTTTTCCTGGCTCACAAGCCGAGCACGAACATTCAACATGTCCCAATTTAACAAGTGTTCAACTCTTACAGTTGTCGTGAAAGCATCGCACATTCCTGTAACTATATTCACATGTGTTTTTGTACAGTGATTGCATGCGAGGGCTTCTGTCAGGGCTTCTTTCTTCCAGAAACCGACCTTTGACCCAACACGTCCGACTCTGTCACGGCTGTTTTTAGTGTGTAAATCCTACCGGTCTATGTTCTCCATTCAGCGTATAAACCAGTCACTCCGGGCACATAACACCCTCAGCACGACGTAAATACTTCGGTAATATTACAGTAAGTGCCCCTACGGGCGATACTTGTTGGAAATCCGTCCTCGAGTTAGGGGTCTTTCATTTCAAAGTCTGTAGATTATGTGGATTTGTTTCAGACTATAACACGGTACAACCAATATCTTCGACCCGTATCTTTCTCTTCTGTAATAACCTATACGACAGGCAATGACAATACAAATCTACTGGTGGAACCAAACCTACAATTTCCGGTCACTGGACAGAATTATGTCGCGTAGGTTTTGCGAGACGAAGGCGACAATTACATGTTTAGCAATGCATATAAACCCCCCTTGAACACATAGCCATGCCCTCAAGCGTCGGAAGCTACTGTACCATGTCATCTTGTCTGACAGCTTTACCTGTGTCAGTATTGTTGTTTGGTCGTCTGCGGACAGGCACGTTGTAGAGTGTTATATATCAGACTCAGAGTTTTCAAGCAAGATTCTGGGTGCGTTACACAGTGCTCGTCTGTTATACGTGTTTCCGTTGTAGGAAGAACGGATTTGAGTACAAGACTTGGAAGTACTTGTTGGTTGATTAAGTCAAGTCGGGCACCTGGTTTGGACTACAATTGAAAGGTGAGGACTTTTGTTTAGCTTTTCCACCATATTTCCGGTATACCAACAACCGTTTAACGTTCATACGTTTTGCTGCGGTGTTACTGTAGTCGCAGACAGTACGTGTATTTTTGGAACATCACGTTCAACTTCAAATGTTCAAGCGATACCTCAGACAGAAGATACATGGGGTCTGGTCGCCCGGTTATGTGTCAAAGAACTAGGGGAATGACCTCGGGACATTGAGCAAGCAATATATATATCTGATATATATACTGAACTGTATGTACATGTAGCGGTTGTCGTTTTTGATTGCTAAAATCTTGAATTAAGCTAGATCGAAATATATTTCCATTTTCGGCGGCATGTAAAATGTTACCAATTTCTGGAAACTGGAAGGCCAATAACAGACTGACAAAAATGTTCACCATATTTATAGCCAGAAACGTTTTACATGCATGTCTGACTGACGGAGACCGTTTGAAACATTCAAGACTAGGTCTAGTCGCTCTAACATTTATATAACGTATTTCTTGGTCTCCCATTGCCTGATCTTCCCCGTGTTTTTGTATGACAGTTTTGTGAACGTGTCCAAACCGTAACTATGCCAGATATGCACTAAGAGGGCTAAGTTGTCGGCCAAAAATGGAGGGTGTGCCTCTCTAGAGTTGATCCTTCTCTAAACACGCGACCCACTCGACATGAAGCGAGCTCTAATGGAGGGGTTTGCTTGCCCCGAGGGCTCGCTGTGCTCTTCCCAGTTTTTGCAGACGACAGGAGTTTGACAACTGTCGTGGTGCTTGTTGTCAGGCTAGCTTGGGGAGCTGGAAGTAATACTAGTAGTAGTTGTCACAGTTGGGAGTTGCCGTAGTTGTCACATGTTGGTATGGTCATTTTGAGACTGGACACTACAGCCTGTCTCCGTTTGTAGTAGAGTACAGAGTACAGTTGAGCCTTCTGCCTCCAGTTGAGGCCGCTCATCTTGTACTAGACGTTTGAATACAACAACGCTACAAACTGTATTCCTTTAGCATCTAGAATTCTAGATGGGTTACCTTGTTTTTGCCAAGGGGGTTTAATATATTTGTGGGGATGAACAGAAGGGGTTTGATTTCTGTTTTTGTGGTTTTCGAAGCAAGGCATGGTCTAGCTTTAGCCGGGTTCTTTCTAGTAACACAGCGGAAGCTTAAACAAAGCAGGTATTTAGTCCAAAGTGCAGTGAGCTCAGCCCGTATTCTTTACAGCTGAGCACAGGTGGCTTCAATTATGCACCGATCTATACCATTCCAGGGAGGAACGGGTATTCAACAAGCAGTACTTCGTAGTGTTTTATCGCAACCCCCGGAGGGTTTACACTGGTAGTGGCAGACGTTTTACAGAGATCCGTCCAACTTGACCCCATGAAACACAAACACAGGTGTGTTGGATAAAAGGACGTGGAAGCCGCGCCCCGACCCAAAACCCACCGGGCATAGCTTCCGGACCAGGCGCGATGTTTTGGGGGATAATATCGCGCTGCCGAGTGGGAAGAGACGTACCTCATACGTGCATCTAGTGAGCGATAGGTTTATTTCTAACCTCTAGCAGGCTTCAGAGCCTCTACCAGGTTTCAGAAGTGGCTGGAAAGAGTAGAAACACTAGGCTAGAAAGTAGCTATGGGTCTGACACCCAGGGTAGCTATAAAGGCACCATAGACATGCTAGGAGAGTTCGTCCGCTACAGTAGTGCCTGAGTAATGCATTTTGGAGCGGCAAACAGCAGTCCTTTAGCGGACCAATTTAGCAACTCCCATGACATGTTATCTTCTCTTTCCAGCCGCTTCTGGAGCCTGATAAAGGCTAATTTATCTTCAAGCAGATGTAGGGTGTGGCTCAGTGAGTCTCAGAGTTTTGCGCCTGTTATTGTACATCACAGAACCTCTTGTATATCACCATATGATACTCTATACTTGTTTTGCTAACCCTTTTCACGTCAGTGTCATTGACCCCGAAAGAAAAGATTGCCAGGGAATATTGAGAAAACAGAATCAAGATGGCGGAATGATGAATCTCCTGTTGATTCTTCAAAGGAAGAGAAGCGATTTTTACCTTCGCCAAGAAGGTTATGTTTTCAGGGGCGTTCGTGTATGTGTGTGTGTGTGTGTGTGTCTGTCTGTCTGTCTGTAAACACGATAACTTGAGAAGGCCTTGATGGATTGTCTTGATACTTGGTAGGTGGGTAGGTCTTGATGAGACCTCAAAATGATTAGATTTTGGACCCCCTAGCGGCTTGTTATGGTACTGCAGCTGAACTTCCGGTTTTGATATCTCATGATCTAGACATGCTATGGTGATGAAATTTTGATGGTAGGTAGCTCTTGTGCTGGGAAAAAAGTGACGTGAGTTAAGGCCCCCTAGCGGCTTGCTCTGGAACTGCAGGGATAAATTCTTGAAAATATTCAAAAGGGGATAACTCAAGAACCGGTTGACGGATCGTCGTGATTTTTGGTATGTAGGTAGCTTACGTGATGCTTAATATAATTATGTGACAATTATGCAAATATGGATGTAATTTGCATAATTTATGGGGAAATTCTATAAATTAGCTGCATTCCATAATAGGACAATTGAAGCTTGTGACATTGGTATTGACAACGAGAGGAACACAGGAAGATGTTAATTATGTTAATAATGACTTAATTTGCATAATTAATGAGAAAATTTTATGATTATGTAATGATAACTGCCTTGAATTTCATACTTGTGGTATTTGAAAGTTAAATTGAGGTGAACATCATTAAACATAATTTATTCAAATCAGGACCTCATTTTCATAATTCATTAGGAAATGCTAGAATGCATTCTTTGTTAATATAAGACTGTCTTTTGGTTGAGATGATGATAAAATGATATAATTAAAAAAAATTAGGTTCCTATTTCTTAAATCAGGGGGGAATAATCTAATCTAAACTTTGTCAGTTATAAAGATTAACATCATTTGGCGAAGGTATGAGATCGGGGAACTCTAGTTAATGATGCGTCCGATATGTGGCACGGTAGACCGTGTAATCAGCTAACGAGAGTGCAGGTAAACGAAAACAGTTCGCGTTTGGGATCGCAGGGAGGTCGGGTGTTCACAAGGTGATCTCGGAAATCTAGAAAGAAAGAATCACACCATTAAAACCGTTAATTAATATATAAATGAACCAATTAATCAATGTAGGGTCATTGACCCAATCACGCTGGTTAAACAGCATTTGCAATCCATCAATGTGTATTGATATTGTTTATTTGAATCTGTTTCTGTGCATTTTGGTATAAATGTAGATTGTATATATTGTACGAGCATTTTATGAGTGAGATGTAGAAATAAAAGACACTGGGTCATGCCACAAAATTACGTATTGTTGCAACAAAGTACATCACAACCGTTATACATGTTATATCAGTAGTTCCAAGCTAACGAATCACTATACATTTTCAACCAGAGAGAGAGAGAGAACTTTTACTCGCAAATAGGAGACGTACTGTAGTAATATTATATATCAAGTGTGATCTAAAATATTATTAGAGATCGTCTTAGCTGAGCCAGTCATAATCCTGCTTAATTGATGATAATTGAGTCAAAACTGTACATGGGTTAATAGTTGAGGTGATTTTTCACATAACACTCCTTTCTCCATTTTTAGGTCTATCACCATGAGCCGTCTGTTGCTGGGTATCGCCGTGGTGTTCCTGGGTTCCGTGTGTTGGGAGGTGTGGTCCTGTAACGAGGCTCTGTGCGCACCTGACGTCAGCAGGTGTTTACTGCTGGAGACCTGCAACTGTAAACCTACCGAGAACAACTGCACCTGCTGTCAGGACTGCTTCAAATGTCTGCACAGGCTCTGGGATGAGTGCTGCGACTGTGTCGGTAAGAAAACATTTTCTCCTTCATAGAAGATAGAATGATGTTCGTTTTGGAGTTTGAAAGAGTAGAAATCTGCAAGGTAAGTAATGTGCATGATTTGTACATGATTATTATGAAAAGCAGCTCATGGTCTTTCGAATTCAAACGAGAATCTGAGCAACAGGTGTCAATTTGAAAGTTGGAAAATGAATTTGTTGACTGTTTTTTTTGTTTTGTTTATGGAAGTGTACAACAGTGTATGTATTATGTTTGTGCAACTTACGAAACAACCACATAACATATTATTATGGAAAGGATTCCCCCGATAGATTCGTAATGCTATGAGTGACATTGAGTCTCAAATTTAGCATAGGGATATCTGTCACTGCAACAAAGGGTCAACACTATTGTGTATTGTGTGAACACGATCTTTGAAAATGGCGATGATATTATGTGTACAGTGTATATCAGAACGCTGTGTCTAGTGTGAAACTTTTCAGGCTGTCACCGCCATTGCAGGACAGGTCGCCGAAAGGCCACACATTCACGCCCCGCCTATGTTATGTCCACACTCCCGACCTTCCCTCAACGCCCACCGGCGTTTCCTGCTGTTTTCTCTTTTTTATCAACCAAATTTCCGAAAATTCCGTTCAGCAAGGTTTAATTAGAGCGCCATTCAAGGCTGTTTACTACCGATAGGTTGGAGAACCAAGAGGATTTGTGCATGGTCGGTTCCCAGACGCGTTGCACACAATGGCCCTGAGGAAAATGTCGTCTGATATTACTGTCAATTTCATGACGACAGACAAAGGAGTTGTTTAGACTGTAGACAAGCCAAACTGTGGGAGATTATAATGTCTTCTTTGTTTAGTTTTCGTTTCTTCCCGTTTTCTGACTGAAAATATTTCAACACAAGCTTTCAGAAATTTGTTTGGGTTTCGTTTCTACCATTTCCTGACAGAAAGTACTGCAACATTTGTTTGGGTTTCGTTTCTAGCGTTTCCTGACAGAAAATATTGCAACAAAGGCCTTTAGAAATTTGTTTGGGTGTCATTTCTACCGTTTTCTGACAGAAAATACTGAAACACAAGCCTTCAGAAATTTGTATGGCCCTGTATGAAGTAGGCCTGGAATGGAGGGGGGCTAAACCAGATTTGGCGGGGGAATTTGTCAGCCTGCTGTGCCAGTCTCCGAGGAACAGTCTCTTCCATTTTAGGCCCATGTTTTAACGAGCTCTAATGGTGCCTAAATGGCGTAAAGACATGTCACAAATTCTTGTAATTATACGTCTCGAACCAGTTGTGCTGGTGAGTTGTGGTGGTCTAATCCCGCCCCGGGCTTGCACAGGGATTACTCCATCAAGTGACAAACAAAAACAATAGAGTTTGGCTCGCAGTTATGCAGGGATTTTCACACTATTTACTTCAGCTTTCATGTAACCTTATTAGATAACGTAAAAATGCTGTATGTCTGTATAAAGCTTGAACTACAAACATGATTTTAACGAAAATGGTTTTAAAGTATTGCTTCTCTCTTGCATTTTTCTTTCCATCCATTTTGAGATTTGCTAGAGTTGACAAGTGTTGGTGATCGTTGTAGCTCCACAGCTCGTACACACTAGATCTACATTCTAATCTACTCCTATGGAGTGAGATATTGAAAAACGTATTCAGAATGGCCGCATCTGCATTACCCGAAAGCCACTCTTTAACACATATAAAACGCTCCGAATACAGCGACACTTTGCATTGTCGACAACCTACGAGACGAAAATACTCCAAATATAGCCCGTATTTTGATGGCACTTGTAAATCGCGATGACTGGAATTACACTGGAATCACTCCGGAATTACCGGGATTTGGAAGTGCTAAGACAGAAACGTTTGGGGACTTCTCTAATTAATTAACCCGATTGAGACAATAGATAACATTTCTTATTCGCTTATGCCTTGTACGTTTTGTCTTTCCTTCACCAAATTTAGAATTCATGTTCTGAGGCAAAAGTTGATAATAAACGACAAAAATGTCATATGTAACCATAGTGCTTTTGTAAATAAACACGGGAAAAGGAAGCAATATATGTTTAGTTGTACGTCTGTGAGGTATAAGTGTTGGGGCTTAATATGTTTATAAAAACTTTTAGTAAACGGGTATATGAAAGCACGACATGTTTAAAACAGCACAACGCTGTCGTATATCAAACATAGACAAATGTTATGACATCTTACTTAGGACTTGGCTCATTGTCAACAATTCCACGTAATGTCTGAGTTAATAAAAGTAACTGGAAATATCTTTGCTTTACTCTAAATTACTGCTGAAATATAACTATATGGAGCATGTAATAAATTGCCATTTGTCCAGAGCCCTCTCACATCACATCAGGGCTGCCACATTATACAAGTTTCAGCATAGCTTTATGCAACCAACCGTCTCACACAAATACAGCCACGACAAAGAGGCATTCATCCAGTTAGATTCAGCCCTACGACATTGAACAAAGTGTCTTTGGTATTGAGATCAAAACCCCTGCTTAATTCCGCTCGACTGGAAATCGGGAAGCGATTTCGCGGGTCATGTCTCCCGAACAGGCCCGAGTTGTGGCGGGCCCTGGTGAGGTGACCCAGAAATTATGGGCTGTCTCTCGTCAATCGCGTTGCCATGGGAATCAGACGACAGAAGCGCAGAAGCCCATGGGGCGCGCTTTGATGTAAAAGTGGTCTTGGCACGGCTTCAAGTCTTGCCTTGTCGTGTGTGTTCAGGACGGCTGTCATTATGCATTCGCTAATGGCACATCACGTAGCAAGAGCAGTTAATGGGACAAGCTGTGTGTTCCCTCCTGCAGTATTTTGGCACTCATGCGTCTCCAAATGTTGCGATGTTTTCAGCGCAGAAATTCTCAGGTAGTCGAACACTAGATTTGCACGGAAATTTAGTCATGTTAGTGGAAATGTTTATTAATCTAACCGTAAAATTCTTGTATTTTCCACAAATTTCAATATTTATTTACATCGTAAAATATTCTCTGAAGAATCACCACTATGACTAGTCGAGATTGTACTCCGCGTCCACAATAGTCGGGCTCAATATGAGTCGCTAGGTGGCGCCCTTGCATAGCGCAGCAGATTTCGCGTATGCTGCATGCTGGTGGTACCATGGACGTTGTTTGGAACGTTCTTACTCAATAATTAAGAGCACTTCTTTTGTTCTAGCTATGTGTCGGAAGAACCACTCCAGGGCAGCGGCGTCGTCCAAGAGTTCTATCTCGGACCTGACCGACCCCATCCCGTCCCTGTTCAACGCGCTGACCGACCCGTCCCAGGACACTCACCTCAAGTGGACCATCATGCGCATCCCGGCAGACGGCGACCTCCCCGGCATCTCCGCACAGCACTTCTTCCACGTCAAGGAGAAACTACAACAGGGCGCAGACGGTAGGTGCCCAGTCTACACCATGGGTTTGGTAGAACTTCAACCATGTATGTAACGTGTATCATGTTGTATCTTATCTGACCCTGACCTCAATAAAAAGCGGGCAGCAGACCGATTTGAGTATTTTATAAAGAAACGAAAACTCAAAGAAAGAAAGAAACCGACAACGCATGCTGAATATTTGTAGAGAGAATAATTTGCCAGGGGGGTTTAGGCACCATATACTAGTAGTTCGTTTGCCCAATCAGCATATATACTCCGAGGGGACAGTACCCCATTTCGGGTCTTTCATGATTTCGCCATTCATTCTCACCAACGCCTTGTGCTAATTTCTTCTCTCCCTTACAGTTCTGCTTGAAGACCAGTTAATAGACAAGTCCCTGCCGGACCTCCCCGTGCTGAGCTCCCCACACCACAACAGCACCCAGGACCTCTGCACGGTCGTGTTCTTCGACGACTGCATGTCGGACGACAAGTGTAAGATGTCGTGCGAGTCCATGGGAGCGTCGCGCTACCGGTGGTTCCACAACGGGTGCTGTCAGTGCATCGGTCCCGACTGCAAAAACTACGGACTCAATAAAGTCAAGTGCACGAACTGTATGAGCGACTTCTGAGCCACCCTCTTATAAAAAAATTAAAGTAGCGCCTTTTTACTGTAAATACTACTTTACTACAAATTTGGAGTCTTGGCGTATTTTGAACTGAACAGAAACAAGGATAAGATCCGTTGCCTGGCAACGCAGACGATAGAATCAGTCTGAGCGCCTGGATCGGAATATGGACTTGGGCAACCGAATTGTAAATTTTGTAACGGTACGAATCGGAAAGATCTTGCCAGAATTACTATATATTAGGTCATGTCGGAAACTATACGCTTTTAATGCTTAGGTAACATTTATCTAGAGTATGTGAACAAGTAAAACTAAAATATTTGTATTATTTCCTGTGTTCAAGCGCTACTTTGTGGCACTTTCAATGCCTGTGTAAACTCTACCGTTTGTATTTTGACATTTCTGTATTAAATCTAGACATGGAAGCGTACTAACTAGCTTGTATCTGAAAAGAATCTGGCTAAAGACATTGTACATACCTGTTGCCATTTACAGTAAAATATTAAATAAAACCATTTGACTAACTACCCTCTGACGCTAGTCTGATATCTACTGCTGTGTACATTGATATTTTGTAAAGTACTTTGGGATAAAACAAATGACACAAGTAGCGAACAAGATGACACATTTTTACTTCGATCCTCATCGATACATCATTAAGGCAATTTGAAACAGTTAGTAGTTTTTCTTTTCAATACTAAACCATGTATAACCAAAAAAATAATAATAATTTACAGCAATAAATTGCATTCAACCAAGCCATATAAACCTAACATTGTTAATATAAACAAATGTTACAAAAAAAAGAAATGTTATTTGTGAAAAGGAAAGTATAAAGATGCCCTGCATGCAATTATACTTTTGACATACAAAAAAAGATAATACAGAAGGGGACTGTTATCTAAATCAAAACATAAACCTATCAATAAATGAAAAGGATTCAAGAGAACATGTATTTCCGTACATCACCTATGCACTTATCCATGTAAAATTCCAGCAAGATTGATGACAAATTGACAATTGTTCTGACTGCTAGAAGAGTTTTGCACCTTCAATGCATTGTAGGCTGGTTCTACCTATTTATGGGTGGTATGAACAAAAAAAAAACTGTCTGAAAGGCTGACTGCTGTAATAGATCGACTGGCCTGGATACTGCTATCCTTCCTTACTTCTACCTTGTCCCCCCAACGACCAGGAGGTTTACATTGATAAGTGCATAGGTTGTACATGTTCGGCCTAAGAAATTTTGATCTTTGTGAGCATCTATCAATCAAGTTTTATCTCTGAACAGACTGCATTACTCAACATTATGACCAGCCCCCAACAATGCTTTACTTCTCTACGTAACTACCACCTAGCAACATTTTACAGAACTGCAGCTAGTTCGACTCAACACTATCTCTCTTCATGTGTCATTTCTGTGACTCAGACCACCTTAGACTGGCCAGGAAGTCTTTTTTTTTTATCTCGTCTTACCACAAAGGCACTTTGTAGCTCTCCTATCCCGCTACAGACAATCAGGACTCAATGACTGGAACAAACTCCAGCATAGAAAATCTTGTGATAGTTCATTGTGTAGAGATTCGGTATAGTTATAATCATAATAATAATAGATTCACTGTGCTTTCAGTCGACAAGTACTTGTACAAAAGCTAGACGTTGTCAACACGATTTTACATATTTTGATACGGGGGCATGTAGGCTAGTCTTCTATCTAGTTTGGGGTGTCCGCGCATTGCACTGTCGTTATGGGGGGGAAATCCGGTGAGGGGGGCGGGGTGGAGGGGGAGTTGTCTCCTGCGGTGGACCAGGGGGACGTGCTGGCCATCGGGATCGGATCGCTCCACTGCGCCGTGACGGAGGGGTGTACCTCGGGAGCCGACCCCTGCGGAAGTGGGTCGCTCCACTGCTGGATGGCGGTCACATGGCCGTCGACCGGAGGGGGCTGTTCCGAGAACTGGAATCCTCCCGGGAGAGACCGTTGCCATGGAGACTTGGGCGGCCATGTTTTTGTTGACTTTGGTTCCTGGGGGAACAAATATATGTATGTACACAAAACCCAACAATGCAGCAACCTGACAACAGAAAAGAGAGCCCCCTAGTAGACAACACAACAAGTGCCGCTGTGCACACTAACCAGTCATCCTTCATCTTTTGTATCTTCATGACTGCATTCTCCAAAGAGATTTCTTATCAGCTTTTTTGTGTTGAAGAATCTTGAAAAATGATGGAAACCTGGCCACCAGACTCACCATCTGTGCGAGCTCGTCCAGGAATCCCTGCAGGTGTTCTGACTCAGGTGTGCTCTCTCCTCCTTCACTGCTGCTCACACAAGACAACACAATACATCATCATCATCATTGGTCAATCATACTGGTACAACACAATAGATCATCAAGGTTAAGGTTTTAAAATTTTCTGGGCCACAATGGTGCTTGACATGCTGACATGAGACAAAATTGAGATAACGGCAGAAAGTTTCAGTCTGGCTAGTATACTGTCATATACTACTGAGCATCCATGGAAAAAAGCTGGGAAACTGGCCAAAAACAATCCACCAGGGCCCAATATTGTGTATGTCATGCACAATACTGGGCCTGGCTTCTCCAGTGACACACCATCATCAGTTTAACAACCTCCTGCTCCACAACCGCGCAGACCACCCACCATTTCTGTATGAGGTCGTTTCCGGTCAGGCCCAGCCCCATGGAGAAGACATCACCGTTGGTGGAGGAGGTGTCATCACTGGAGCTGGCACTGCCGGAGTCCAGGTTACACCAGCTGTTGTTCCCTCCCAGGGCTTCACTGCTGACCAAAATACACAACTGTCAGATCTAGTTTCACTAACGGTGCATTAGAAGGTTGTAAAGTGGCCAAAAATCTGTACTGTTGCCAAATGCAGGGCTCCAATTACTCGCATGCAAAGCACTGACTTTTTTGCAGAATGTATGAGCCAGCACTGTACTGAGTTCTGAAGTTCTGTGGAGCCTCAGTAGCCTGAGTGCTGTCTTCTGTAGTTACCACTGGTTCCCTGTCACTTAGTACCATGGACTACAGAGGATGGCACCCAGGCTAGAGCCTCATCGGAGGTGGTTTTGTTTTAAGAACTGGTGGAAATCAATGCGTGCGTGGATGTCATCCATATACATGTAATCAAATCAGTGTGGCCCAACCTGCAAATATGCACAAATGCTGTATTACATTTCTTGTAATGTTCCAAATGCTATCAGAGCATAAAATACGTATCTGCAACCAGGAACGTGCATCCAGAAATTGTAAGCAAGAAACACTAAATGCTTAATATATGTGGCATTCAGGCAATGGCTGCAGTGCACTGCCTTGCAATGCGTGCTGGGAAGGTCAAATACTGATATATTGCAGTCAGTTTGCACACTACAAGCATTTGGCTTCGCATAAAGGTGGCTTTGGCACAAAGTGTCTGCTGCTGCCTTCCTTTTAGTTCAAACCGCTTGAAAGGAACAAAATCTGTTAGTATGAAAGACATGTACAAGCAGGGTAATTTCTAGAAAGGGTTAGAGTTGGTGATTAATTTCTAAGGGAGAAGCACCATAGCTGGGCATATTAGTAAAAGAAGAAAAAATACCTAACAACAAAAACTGGTGAGAGGTTAGAAGCAGATAAGAGTAAGACATGCCCCAAAGAAGGTCGTACCTTGACAAAGGAAGGTCAAAGAAAGATGCGGCTTTGGTTTGGTCCACCAGAGGTGGGGAGTCCAGCCGGGAGTGGGGCAGGATCAGGGGGAGGGAGTTGTATCTTGGAGAGGAACAGTCAGAGGAAAGGACAGGATGAGTCCTGGTACTGGAACTGTCAGTTAGAATGCTACAGAGTAATTTAAGGCCGAGAAAGTTTTTTTGTCTGTTTTCCACGATCTTTAACCCTCTTGGACTGGGAAAGGTTAGAGCTACATTTCAAGACTGGCCTGTAAAATATCTTTTGCTCATGGAATGTATAAAATAAGACTGAAGTGGGAAAACAATGTAGACAAAGAAGTTGATACTGTGAAAAAAAATAACAAAGTTCACAAGGTTCTGTATTAATGTACTACATTTGCCAAGCTAATCATCAAAATACTCTGTGAAGGCAAAGGCTGAACTGTGTCCAAAGTTCAGAGTTCTGCTGGTTGAAGCACCTAGACAACAGATTCCTCTATTGTACCTTGAGGTAGTGGCTGGGTAAGTTTCTTACCTTTCGTTGGAAGAAGGCGGTATGGGCCAGGTGGAGTTGAGCCGGCCCTCCTGACTGGACCACTGTGTCCGCATCCCCTCCCCTCCCCACCTGTGCCGTACTTTACTCTGCTGGGCCTGCAGGTAGTTGTTCATACTGGCTACGTAGTGAGCGTACTCTGGATCCGACGAGAACTCACTCCCCGCAAGCTGCTCCAGGTTTCCGCCCAGCCCGCTCACCGGCCGGATCCTGCTGGGCCACGTGTTGCGGCCGAAGTCGGCCGGTCTGGGCAGGCTGTTGGACCTCTGGCTGCTGGCGTCCTCCGAGCTGGACTTCTCGCTGGGCAGGCTGCTCGGGTCCGAGGTGCGCAGGTTGGACAGGAAGTTGGCGGCCTCCGTGGTCCAGCTCTTGCGGTTGCTACGGTTACCGGGCGGGGACCCGTCGGTGGCGAGCGGCTGAGGTTTGTGGTGACGCGACAGGAAGTCGATGACCTCCTGGATCTCCTCCTCCGTGGCAAGACTTGGGGATCGAACAGAATCTCCTGATGAGAACAGAAACAACACAAAATTTACACAAAGTACTTTTCTCTAGCCTGGAATCCATCCCTACAAGTTATTTGCCAGTTCCAGTAGTGACTAACAGCTCGTAGGGATCCAGATGGATTCCAGCCTAACTTTTCTCTCGATCCAAGAAACTGGTTCTAAATATGATCATTTTGGTACCACAAAAAATAGAGCTTAAAATTTTCACCCACTACTGGTTAGCGTCAATTGAGATTGTAGCTAACAATGTAGAGGATTTGCAATCTGGCAATCTACAATAATACAGGGCCTGGCTTGCTAATGTTTGCAGAAAATGTAAATCAGTTATTTCGAGCTCTGGTTCTACTTATCATCACCTCTATTGGCTCCTTCTGGATTCTCTTCTGGCGCAGTTTCTTCTTTCTTCTCCTCTTCACAAGTGTTGGACTCAGACTGTTCCTCGATCATCGAAAGTCGTCTTTCCTCCTTCTGTTCCAGACGGCCCGGTCTCATCTCGGGGGGTGGGGGGTCCTTCACCACCACTGTTCTACTGGGATATGTCATACTCTTTGCTGATTGGTCAGTTGGTCTTGGTGGGAAGGTGAAGTTAGTCCCTGATTGGTCAGCAATGGGGGCAGAAAATCTATTCCCATTGGACGTTGCCATGGCAGCAGGGGGTTGGGAGGAGTTTGAGTAGAAGGCACTTTGTTTCGTGGCATCGTTAGAAGGGCTGGGAGAGTAAGAGCCTTTCCGCCCAAACTTGGAAGTGAGTTTGTTGAAGGTTTTCTTGATGCCCCCCTCCCCCTCTAGGTTGCCACGTCTGTGCATGGCCTCGCCTGGCATCTTGTAGTCTGCTAACACTGTGGGGGAGGTGGGGGCTGTGGCACTGGGAGGTCCTGAGTCCTGACTGTACATGTCCGACCGCAGCTTGACTTGGATAGTGGGTAACATCTGCTCCCTGTGGTGGTCAGGAAAACAACAGCACAGTAGATAAAGGTGTCAAGTTTGATGGAACATACATGTAATTACAAAACACATTTGTGAGCAAATGTGGCATATTTCACTCTCATCTTTCCCTCATGTAAAAACAGTCCCATTTTTATTTAAAGACCCCAGTGCAAAGATGGAACATTCAAGAAGTTTCTGCCTAAAAATTCCAACAATTCCAAAATTAAAACATACAAAAATGATATTCCCTATTTGACCCTCCATGTAAGGCCTGCAACTCTTCCAAAATCAGTTCTGTGGAAAATAGATAATGCTTTTAGCCCAAAACTTGACTGACCTTCCATCCAGGAGTCTAGCAGGATCGATTATGGCAGTGTAGATGGCATCTACGACACCCAGCCGACAACTGTCATCAGAGGTTCGCTGCAACTTGGACAGAACCCTGTTGTCCTTCTGAAGACACCTACAGTAGGGATACAAACAATTTACCTGCAGTGCCACCTACCTCCTGAAGGGGGTACTGCAGTCTGTTGAAGCTACTGATTACATCCAAACAAAAAGAAGCCATTTCTATTCCAGTTCTGATGCTCTGAATACCTCATTTCCCTTAAATCAAAGTTTTTTTTTTCCAAAATTCTTTATTTTTTTTTCCAAAATTTGTTTCTAAATCTTCAAGTGCTTTTTTCCTAACTGAATTCATTCTAATACTGATGACTGTTTGTTACCAAGAAAAAAACAACAACACAGCCTTGGAAACAGAGCAAAATCATGAGATGTGAGCCTTACCATGCAGTTGTGACCTGCACGACCACATGTGTGCCTGAAACGGTGACTCTGGCTCCTGTAGTACCTCTAGGCAGGGAGGTACAGCTTACAGAGACCTGAAACAGTCAAGTACAGTGTATACATCAGTTTGTGTCAACTGCACAAAACATAAAAGATATTGCTTCTACAACATTTGAACACAAGAACTTCATAGTAGAATTACAAAAAATGTCAAATATTGTAAAAATCCGGCTATGCCTTCTTAAGTAATTCTGCTCAACTGCAAAAAAATATCCTTATTGGTGAAGGTACCAGAGGGTACCCTCAGCATGTATAACATGTTCCAGTAGACTGTCCATGTCTTACCAGGCCTGCCCTGCCGAAGCAGAGCTGTACGGCTGTCTTGCTGGTGGGGTGAGTGACGGAGGGGCAGGCCTGGCTCAGCACCAGGCACGTCAGACGGTCAACCACGCTGCCCAGGATACTGCCCTTCCCATGCTGCTCTGCTGCAGCCTGAAGGCAAACAAACAAACAAACAAAACAAACCTCAGAACTTTCAACACTTTTGAAAAAAAATTAGATCATCCAATGCAATTTCATGGTGGCAAAACAAAAAATGAAGAAATCTGATGCTGACGTCATATTTCATACTTTTTACAATCATAAATGACAACTTTCAGACATTTTTTCACAATGAACTTTAGCCAAGTTTATCCACATTTCTTTACAATGAACTTCAAGCCAAGTTTAGCCATATGTTTTACAAAATTAACTTTCGGCCAAGTTAAGCCACATTTTTTTCTACATTGACCATTTCTTCGACCACCCTCACTTTAGCAGCTGGCGGGTTTTTTTACAACAAATTTTTTTTACAACACACATTAATTATTAACCTTTTTTTACAATGAACTTTTAGTTGTTTTTTTTTTACAATGAACTTTTAGTTGTTTCTTTTTATAATGAACTTTTAGCTCAGTTTTGTGACGATTCTTCTACAGTGAACAGGACCACCCCCACCTGTAGCAGCTGGCGCATGGCCACCATCTTGTTCTTGATGTTCTGTCCGGGACTGCCCGTGGACGTTCCGCGGTACACCACGGAGCCGATCTGGACGTCGACTCTGGCCAGCTCCTTGTAGATGAGGGTGGTGGGGTCCGTCAGGTGGGGGTTAGTCGCAGACTGTCGGATCTCATCGTCACTACAGCAGCCCTACAATAGAATGACAATCATCTTTATTACCATTACCATTACCATTTGGCATTTTTTCTTGGTACCTTTATATTCATGGTTTTCACAGTCACTTTTGTACTGTGAACTTACATTGTATCATTACCATGAACAATTTTTTTTACTGCACCTGCCGCCACTGCGAACGTATAGATCCATGAGCATGTCTGTTTCTCTCAGACCGCAAACTTTTGCTACTGCAAACATTAAGTGATTTTGTATCAGTATTCATGCCCATGCCTCATAATCTACCTTAATTAGAACATTACCTCTAGAAGTAGAGTACTCGTATTACAAACAGCAAAATATTTGCCTATCATAGCTGGTAGTTCATCTAAACTGAAGTTATACTGTACATTCAGCTTGTCACAATTGCATGGAAATCTCGACAAAAAAGTGTATCTGGCTCAAAAATTAAGATCTCTTGAAAAGTAATGAAATAAGCTGAAATTCTACACATAGCATCACACACCAATCCAAGGGGTAGTTTTAATTGGACCAGACTCCCAGAGTTATGCAGTAGGAGAGGTAGACCCCAGCAGTTGTTTTACTTCATGTGTGGAACATAGCTAAGAACGCCCACACACATTTCTCACCACAGTACAAGCAGCTGAGACCTATCTACAGGGACTACTGCCTAACAACCTCCTACAGCTCCATATAACAACTAAGGCTAGGTTGATTTGATTGTATGGATGGCATCTGAGCGCGCATGAATTTTCATCCATTTCCAAAAGTTTTGGCCATACTGTAATTGTGTGTAAATCATTCAAGACAGCTGAAAAATGAGCAAACATACATGTATGCCGTAATTTGCAAAAAAAAATTTGAAAAACAATACTACTGTCGTCATAGAATGCCAAAATCAATTCCAAAGGAAAAGAAGAAAATGTGAACAAAAATTAATGGAAACGAAAAGTCTATTATTTGCCATACCATATTCATGTGTTTCGTCACTTGTTCAACCTTGGTGGCCACGCAAAGATTTCATAATGGAACTTTTAGTTGCATGCTCGCATCAATTTTGGGGTTCCGAAAGGATGTCATCCATATAATCAAATCAAGTTGGCCTAAGCTTTCCACAGGATTTCAGTTACAACCAGGATAATGCTAATGATATGACAGAATAGAGGGAAAATACGACAGAGATTTTGTCCCCATCACTATGATAGGTATCTGATGTCCCGGACAAGATAATGCACTACTGCGCTACTTCATTTTCTTGCCAAGATTTGATCTTGGGGAATTACCAGGCTTCAAGTTTTTCCCACAAGTTCTTGCAATGCAGACAATTTATGGCTACACAGTGACACATGGGCTATGCTACATTGCCACTGTATTGTGTAGTTCTTACATTTATAGAAGAATTCAGACAGGGTAATAGAGCAACACTGAATACACTAAACTAATGAAAAACGTGTTAACAAAGACTGTTTCTAAAAATACTTTCAGTGGTACTTTTTGCTTCAATGGTTACTGGAAACTAAATTGCTTCCAGAATGAAATTGGCTGTTGACATGCACGCTACTGTAAAAGGTCATAGTCCTTAGCACAGGAACTTAAGCTGTGGTCCTTGTGTTTGTCGAAAAGAGCTAGGGGGAATTTCCCCAGTACAATGAACCTGTAAATAGTGTACATAGTGTCTGTCTTCTATGTCACAACCAGTGGGAGATTGGCTCTTCAGTCAGCTAAAACTGGATCACTTTTTAACTGTAGGAACATCACCATCACCATCATCTCAGTAGAACTCAAACCACTCAGCTCCTGGCAACGTTCCCACCTCATTCCCACGCCCACCCCCCTCCCACAGCTGAAAGGTCAGAGACAATTCCTGTTCCCTTCCCTGCATGCATTTCCCATGTGGAGCTCATCCAGACTCATTAACAAGGAAGGCTGGCAGTGGAATACAGACTGGTACGGTCTTATCGTGATGCAGCAATGTCCTGTTTCAAGATTAAACATTACAGATAGGCATTCATATTGTAGCTACTTCCAGTGGTAAGCCAAGATTCAAGTAGTTTGATTACACTTGTAGGTGTTAAAATCATCCTACACTTAATTTAAAAAATTACACATACATGTACAATGTATATAAAATGCTGAACTTGGACATTTTCAATTTTGTATCTAAAGACAAACATATACAAATGATAGAGAAACTATAGATATTGTACAATTACAAAATGCATGGATAGATATCTAAGATCATTTCCTACTACAAGACAACCATGTTTAAAATAACATCCTCTTTTTCTTGTTAACATTGTTTAAATCAAAGGATGTTATGAGAACGGGGCTGGGCGGAAAACTGGCTACATTCACTCCCAGAGCTGGTTCAGACCAGTTTTCTTGGTAGACTATGTCTTTTCATCATTTGACGGAATTTTGCCACCCATGAGACAAAAATTTTGCTCAATCCATCATTTTTAATGGGGGTCAAGATTTTCGAACTCCCCCCCCCCCCCCAGATTGTTGCGCTTTGCACATTGCATATGATGTTACGTCAAACAAAATTTTAGGCTAGAACACTGATTCATATCCTGTTTTTAAGTTTATCTTTCAGTTCAGTATAAGTCTTGTTGAAAATCCAGTAACTACATGTACTTGATGTTCATGGTAGCAAAAGTTGGCAGTCAGAGAAAAATGGACAAAATGGACATGTTTGCAGAACTGTAAGTTTGTGGTGGCGGCAGATGCAGCAAAAAGAAAGTCACCAAATTATTTGTTCATGTTCATGATAAGATTGTGGTATAGAAATGACTGTGAAAACATTGTGAAACACAGCAATAAATAAAACACTGAACTAGATCTTACCCGAGGTACATAATTTTCACTTGTTAGACAAGGGATGAAGAAGAATCTTTTTTGATACGCTTGATTCAAGACAAGCGACATTACCTTTAATATTCGAAATGTCAGAGGATGACTCCTCATTTCGCTAACGACCCCTAACTGTGAGTAGGGTATGGTTGTTCTGACCTTGAGGACCAGCTCCAGGGCTTGCGGGTTGCCATAGAAACCACCCAACAGTCGGAACTCGTTCCCAGCATACCTCTCCAGAGTCCGCTTGTACACCTGCAGGAGGAACAAAAAGGAACCACCATTTTAATTAGTTTCATTTAACAATCATTTCTTGTTATCTATAATAATTACTTATGATTTATTACTATTTTTATCAATAATTTTTACTTTTTTTATTCGCACACTTGCATCAGTTTTGGGGTTCGTAGGGGGTGTCACCTATATAAACAAATCAACATGTTCTAACTCTAAAGCATGAAACTTTCACAGTGGTTTTATTTCAAAGTACAGGGATGTTCTCACAGTGCAGAACAGTAGTTATACAAGGGAGGCATATGTATGGAGTCATGAATTTGCAGTGGATAGGTCGCTGCAAAAAACAGCTACTTTGGGGTACGTCCCTTATTTGAAGAAATACAGTACTTATATAAAACCACCACAAAAGTTTCATGATTGTACTAAGGTGGTATGTTCCTTACCAGCCAGGCCTGGTCCAGCTTCTGCCCAGCGTCTCTGCGAACCTGTTCTGACAGGTTTTGCTGTGAAAGGTCGGGTAAGGTCACGGCCTGACACTGGTGCAGGCTGTACAACATCTGAGAACCAAGAGGAAAACAAGTTGTATTTCAAGTGTCTCTAATATGCTAATTAAACATTTAAAAACAATTTTACTGTCACTTTTATGCTAATGTGGCCTGTATAACAGAAACCCTAGGGAAAACACATTAAAAGCGTGAGGCAATGTCACTTCAGGTTCCATTAGTTACCAAAACAGTGCTGTCACAAGTCTACCATGGAACACTTCCCAGATTGTGTCGTGACTAGCTAATGGCATTTTACATTTTACAGTCCTCACTCTGCCACGACTCTTACACCACCGTTATATCAACTGCCTGGTATAAAGCCTGTGTTCCATGAACTTGTAGAAACAACCCAAAAGATCATGGAAAAAAAAACGCGTTCACGCAAATTTGCATAGACTTGTGCAAATAAAGATACTTAAAATATAATACATTTGTTTTTGTACCTGCATGATATTTGTATGACTTTATTAATATTAGATTACTTGGTAGTGCTTCATATGGTTTCTTGGATTGAAAATGTGACAATGTTTTTGGAAAACACCTGATCCAGTTGCTAAAGTAACTGTTTTTTTTTTGCGTATCTTATTACCTGGATGTCTAACCTTCATGGGCATAACAATGTTTGATCACCCCAGACCTAGTGTCACGTTTGAGAAACATCTTCTTGGGGGCATGCATGCCCTTTTTTGTAAGGCGTAATCAGGCCTTTTTAGTCTTCGTAATTCATAGGCAGCCTCCCCAAAAATCAACGTAATTCGTAATAGTACATTAGCCACAAAGTGTTTAGTCGTAATCAGTTCTGAGACTTTAACGTAATCCATAATCGGCGCCGAAAATTTTACGTAATTCGCAATCACTACCACCGCCATGCAGGCCCTCCTTCTTGCTTACCTGTTTGACGGTTTGCCAGGAGTGCAGTGCCACCTCTCTGGACGACTGCAGTACTGCATCTCCGTGCTGCCGTGACTCCGCCGCCAGCAGCGAGGCGTGGTTTCCCGCGCTGTTCTTCACGGCGGCCATGATGCTGCCGTAAGACGTGAGGAACTGGTACTGTAGGTTCAACATGCACTGCAGACACTTCCCCAGGACCTGTACGGCACAGAATGTTAGAACTTGTAAGGACTGGACACAAGGATCTATCTGTGAAAATGATCTGATTTTTTCCTTCTTTCAGTTTACTGTACAGGGCTCAAAATAATGGGTGCATGTGCACCTTATCGCACCCAAATTTGGAGATGTGCACCCAATGTTTTTCTGTGGGTGCACCAGTATACCCAAATATTTTTGTAAGTTAACGTATGTAAAGATGTTAAATGTACAGTAGTATACAGCATATTCTTAACATTTCAGTGTCTGAACTTTTTAGCTCTACCAAAACTTGCATGTGACCTTTGTTTACACGATCGTGTCCCAAACCCTCTTGTACAATGCATAAAGTAAGACCTTTGCTGAGTTTTCCAAAATGAAAGTCCCAAGTGCCACTTGCCAACTACGCATTTCCACGAGAAGAAACACAAACTGGTACCAGCACTTACCTGGCAAATGTTACACAAACATCACTGACATGTCTACAAAAGTCCTATATACAGCCCAAGTACAAGTTCAATCAAACAGTACAAGATGGTAATACTAATAGGCGCCTATGATTACTATATCCACAGCACTGTTATCATACCATATCAGTCAAACAACAAGGTCCATACCCAGTCTGCAAACCTTCTCTCACGACAAATTGACTGAGTGGGCAGCCCAGAGACAGACTTCCGCTGGTAGAACACTGTAATCCTCAGACATGCTCCCACCCACGCCTACACCCCAGCAGCAGAGCAGTCATTAGAAAATAACTGGCTCCAGTTCAAGTCCAAGGCTGGAGAGAGACGATAAGAATCTATTTTCCTTCCTCGCTTTCCGTTTTGGTTCGGCTAGATCTGCATCTGGCAATCTAGATCCGATGCAATCTAAAAGAAGATTTACTACTAACACAACATCTTGAGCCAGTCCAGAAAAATCCTACTACATGTACTATACAGTATACTAGTAACCAGATCAAGATCACTATTTGATCACAAGATAAGCCTGTAATACATACTAGTAAGGTCTAGGAAAAAAATGTTGGGTTTCCAGTTTTATGACCGACATGAGAAAAAACTGCCGACCCTAGCCTTTTTTTGTGTGTGGACCCCTGCAATGGACATGCATTTTCGAAAATCCCTACCTACCAACCCTAATTTTTTCAGCACTGAAACAGGAAACACAACAACTTTTCCTAGGCCTAATGATAACTCAAGAAAGGTCAGCGATATTTCATATCACATGACTCTTACCATACAACATCACATACCACAACCAGCAAGGCTAACAGCAACTCTAAGAACAAAAGGCCTGACGCAGGAAATAAATATTTGGTGACCCTGAAATCAAGAGGAAGCTTGCCCTTTCCCATGCCCGATAATAACAGTTTACAAGTCTGGACAACTCAACACTTGTTCATTACCAACTTTAATTTGTAGCTACCTTATCAACTCTGTCAACTCGGCAACATCAGAATACACAGTTACTAGTATAAACCAACATTTTTTTGTGGTATCTTTTTATTCTGTACTGCAGACTTATTATTACCGTGAACAAATAATTTGCAGACTTTCGTTTTGTTACACCTACAAAGTTATAGTTCCACAAACGTGACTCTATTTTTCTCAGACCACAAACTTTTACTACCACAAACATAAAGTGATTTACAGTACCTTGGGAACTTGCTAGCAACCATTGATAAAGTTCAGCTGACTTATTAGAAATATTCACATTCAAGATATCATCTCCGATTGGACAGTGGTTTTCGGTGTCCTGCTTAGTTTGTTGACCTTTCCTTTGACAAGGCAACTGTGTCCGGTCCCAACCGGTCAAACAGGAAAGAATTACATTTCTGCATGAGGAGTCAAGGCCACCACACCCTCATTCCGAGGACACTGGTGTGTCAGAAGAACATCATGTGGACTACCAGACAAAGACTGTGTACTTTCAGTTATGATGATGTGGTTACTAAACAAACATGTAGCGTTATGACATAAGAAACATTGCATATTGCTGAAGCACTGTAAAATCTTTCTGTAGTGTTATAAGAAACTTGTTACAGTATCAAACCACCTGTAAGTTGCCACTTTACAAAAAGGTCAAAATGCCTACCTAACCATTTTTAAATGCAATTTCAGGAAACAAAAAATACAATGGATGAGAAAATCTGTTTGATAATATTGACATCTTCTCAATCTGTCATTTCTTCTAATCATTTTTGCCACCATTACATACTTGAAGAGTTTATGTTTAAAATAGCCCCCCCCCCAAAAAAATAGCTATGTGAGGAATCTCTAATTTTTGGGTACCACCAATAAATAGCTAGAACCAGCTTACAATACGAAACAAGCTTAAGCAACCATTCTCCGTCAGTGACATCATATTTACCTCACAAATATCAGTATGCTATGAGGGTTGATTCAACTTACTACATGACCAGAAAATTGACTTTGAAAATCCATTTTTACTGCCCTGAAACCTCTTTCGGTGCCTTTAAACCATGGTGCATCTGACTGTAACCATAAAATCTGGGACAGACATGGAGTTTCCAGAAAACCAGTTCCCCTTTTCATGCATAGATTCTCAAGGTTACCATAGATGGTTTGAGACTTGGAATTGTGCAGGAAGTAGGGGAATAGACAAATAGAAGATCGAATTTCACTTTCAGAGGCAGCATGTACAATGTACTTCAACTATTGTGCCATTTTCAACTTTCTGTACTATAAAGATGGGTACCAATTTATTGGGACCACTATTCATAAGAATCTTGGATTACCCATTTTTAACAATCATCTTGCAGTTGAAGAATGTGATCAAACATGTAGGATTTCAACAACTAGATCTTGAATTCTAGAAAGAACTATTTGTATGATGCCTTTCAAAGGTACTTTCCACACATCATTAAACCACCAGAGGGTCCCAGTATTCCCCTAGACCAAGGCACACTGTAATGTAAACAAGCTCTTCAAAGAAAATCTTTCATCGCTATTTAATAATGATCCTTAACTATGTTGTAATTCTCTTTTCAAAATACAGGTAAATAGGGTAAACATAATTCCTTGCCTTCTCTTGTTATACTGTTACGTAGTTGTCAGTATAGGCCACCAGTACTGGTCGGTTACGGAAATAACCGACTAGTCGACCGTTTTCCTTCAGTACAGCCCGACGCATTTCAGACAGAGAAGATTGATGGAAACAACATTAGCGGAAACTCAAGACGCTGGGCACACAATGGTCTTACCTTGGATCATCCCAGACAAAAGACCTTCTCAAAGAGTTGGGCAACTGTATGGCTATCACATGACAAGAACCTTTTCACAAAACTTCTGAGCAACGCGGAACACTTTCTTAATTGTTAAACCTAACATTTACGTTGTCTGACTGACCAGTCGATAGTGTCGTAAAACCTTGAATAATCCTGAAGTTCAAAGGTGGCAACCTTAAATGTCCTGTGGGTGAAATCATAGTTTCATACACACTTCTGAAGTTTACAGAAAGGAAAACAAGCAGTCTCATTACCCTACACCTAACAACTGGGATAAATAAAGGCTACCTTACTAGAACTACTGATACTGTATTTTGTAATCATTATCACAAGAATAGAAGCATCCTTACTGCATATTTTATATTTTCAACATACTGATATCCTTATTTAGTGATACAGAAATACAGACTGTGAGAAACACCATAACACAATATACAATGTACTTTGAAAGAAACTTTTGGAAGTTACGGTCAAATACACTGTCACTGAAAACAAATACAGTATATCATTATCAAAAAGCATATTACTCAGTGACTACATTTCTTTATGTTACAACAATGTATTATAATATTATGTCATTAGAGTGTTAATACATAAGCAAACAAGAATTCAAAAGCTTTGATGTTATCGTTTAAATATATAATCGTTCTTTGATCATACATGTACTTACTAAATGGTGGCCATAAGTAAAACAATATCATATCACTGATAAAATCACTGTACAATCAAACATACCAGTCAAAATGGACACATCCTCTGAAAATGTTCAGAATTTTCCTAGCTGAAATCTTCTCCCAAATCGTAGCACACAACTGAATGTTCAAGGCTGACTAATAACTAGGCAAGTTCCCTTGCTAATCTCCTTTTAACTCTCACCTGCCTATCATTACAATCTGCCAATCAGAGCCCAGCTAGATAAACAGATTAAGCTGGCTACCCAGACACAACACAAAACTAGAGCGTTCCCAGGTCTGACCCCAGCCTACTGAACTTGTAAACTGCTTGTACTTATTAGGTTATCATAGGAAAAGAACACTACGGTGTCGACAAGTAATTTTTAGCAGGAATGAAAATGACCTCCCCGTTTTGGTTGCATGGCGCGGCCCCTGCCAGTGGATGGGTGGGACTAAACCATTGCCTGAGGGGTGGGAAACACTCCCAGTCAAAAAAGGAAGTGAGTGTGTCCCTCCAGGGGAGTTGGGCCTGCCCTCCAGCACACTAACACAAAACCTCTGTTATGCTTGAGGGTCCCATGTGCTCATGCCATAGGAATGCTGCCAACAGTTGGCCCCATTTGGTGCGCTGTATTCTAAACAGGTTAGCACAAGACACTAGGATCCAAGCAGATGTTAGGGCAATTTACAATTACTGCAATTCTGTACAAATCGTAGTTACTTGTGACATTTTTGCCAAACTTGTTGAAACAAAACTTAATTTGACAATAGTAGCAATACAGTAGAAATGTCAATCAAACAGTGTCAATTAAAAATGTACACTGTAATTCCTGACTTTTTCTCATTTTTTTTTACTTTTAATATATAAAAGTCACAAAAATGTGCAAAAATCAGGAATTACAGTATAAAAGTTTTATGTTGGCAGTTTTTGCCATTACTTCTTTCCTGTGAACTTATTACCATTTACAAGTAATTCACCTGCTGTCACAGTGAACATGTACATGTCATTCCTGCTGCCAAATGCATTTTTATCAATAAATCATCATAATTTACAGCGCATGGTATACCAGCTGCCCAAA